GCACATGTTGTTAAATAATACTGTAAACTATGATACTGAGTTTGTAAGTCTGTCAACACACTGTTTTGTGGGAATGTGTTCCATAAAACAACAATAAAGATTACTAATTCCAAGTATTAACTTACGCTTTATAACATTTTTGCGATACAACGTAGTAATTGAGAAAGTCTTGAAAATGATGAAATGATTTTGAAAGTAGAGTTTACACTTAGTAAAGAACTAGAAGAATCTCTAGTAGACGTAGAAGTCTAATTAACTTCTGTTTCTGCCTTCGCCAGATTTCAAACTTTACGAATGTGGAAATAAAAAAAACTGAGAAGTAGGTTATGTTCTATTCCGGACTATAATCTACCTTTGTTTCAATCTAAGTTTTAAGCTGTTCTGTAGTTATTTAGTCAGAAACAGCTGATTATTAATAAATAATTATTAAGATTAGTAAGAAGTAAAATTGCGTAACTATTCGTTGCCAACTTCACACATATAAAAATGGCTGACATCTAAACGTGTTGAAATTCTAATGTCGTGTTGTTTAACTATTTGAAACGTGATTACTGTGGTATGGACGTGTCTGTTTGTTAATGAGCTATGCTTACAATGTTGACATCGAATTGTGATCAAAGCCGGAGCACTTTACATCCATCCAATGTTTTATTATCTGTGTTAATTACTAGTCGTTTGTATAAACGAAAGAAAAGCAATCGTTTTTTATATGCATACTATCGGTCGCCCGCGACTCCGTCCCCGCAGTATTAAAAACATTATTAGCTTGTGTTCTTTCACACTATGTTCTATATGCATGTCAAACTTTCAGTCGTTCTGTAGATACCTTCAAACAAACATTCATCCATATAATATTAGTAAGATGGCAAAGAATTACATCAGCCTAATTATAATTGTTATTGTAAAATATATATTTTATTATTACTATGAGTTTCCACAACTCAAAATCATATTAAAAACAAAGGTAACTATACTTTTGTTGGTAGTAATTAGTTAATCCGTTTCGGAGTTAACAAACATCCATCCAAACATTTGCATTTATAAAATAAGGATTAGTGTATTTGGTGAATCGAAACTGCGATCGTTTTGTTTTATTCTTTGACACACGTCGATCGTGTTGTTAATGAGGAATGTTCGTAATGTTGGCACACGCCTTGATCAAAGAGTATCTTGTAGTTGTAGCTAATTCGTTACTTAACGTAGATTAAAAAATTAACCACTATTATTTTACAGCAGGAGTTTACAGACACTGAATGACATAGATTTTCGCAAAAATAATCGTAAATAAGCATCTTTTAGTTTAAAAGTAACCCAGTCCATCTTACTAGTAAATAATAAATGCGAATGTTTAGATGGATGGATGGATGGATGTTTGTTTGAAGATATCTCCGGAACGGTTGAATGAATGTCGATTAAATTTGGCGTACATATAGAATATAGTCTAAAGGACAGATAGGCTGCCAAATATTTTTTTAATTCCACGCAGATGGAGTCGCTCGTCAGCTACTTTTAATATAATTTATGGAACTGGAAGATTACATATTGTGCCGATAAATAGCTAGCAAAAAGGCAGAGACATGAAGTATGGTCGGTTTAGTATTTCTGGCGCCCTGGGCGAGACTTTAATGTCAGGGGAAAATCTTTTAGAGATAGGGGCACCGTAGGCGACCATTTATATCTAACACTGTCGCTTACGGTGCCCCCTTAAGCTAGGCGCCCTGTGCGGTCGCCCCACTTTGCCCTACCTTAACGCCGCTACTGGATTTAAGTTAACTTTAGATCGTCTTTCATGATGTTATATGACATGATGTTATATTTGATATGAACTGCAATATTCTTTTTCTTTCTCTTTGACAAAACATAGACAACAATATGTCTTAGGTAATGGCAGTCAAGCTTATGAGTTGTTTTTATAAAGCGTCATTATGAGACGTGTTGATACAGCGAGCAATACGCGGGGTGGCGCTGTGTATACATGTGTTACTTCACAATAGGGTTGTCACAAATTATTTAAATTTAATGTTGGTGGGGCTTTCAAGACTATCTTGAGGGCCTTGAAGTACAAGATAGGGGTCTCCAAGTAGAGCGTAACATATTTCTTTTAGTCTATGGATTTTATGACAAAAGCTACAACGATCTTAGCAAGTTTGTAAATTTAGTACCTATTTTTAAACAAAGGCATTTCTGCGTATTTTGTTATCATAATCTTAATTCTAACTGTCTTACTAACATTATAAATACGAATGTTTAGATGTAGAACAAAGCCTGAAAGAAAACATAGGCATACATAAAGTTTGTTTTTTAATTTGGCGGACGGAGTCACGGGCGACAGCTATTATTTTTAATTATCTTTTTTTCAAATTTTTCATTTTTTATTTTACAATTTTCTTAAAATTGCCATCCCTAGCCTGCAACCGGATCGGCGTCCGCGCAGGGCGGTAGATTTATAGCGTTCAATCAATGCGGATTTATTGCTAAGGAAGCGACCGCTCGTCTCCTTTTGTTACGGTTTAAATTTAGACAGGCATTATAATTGCCCTCCCACCACCTGAGACTATGTCATTATTACTGTGACATGGTCGCTTACTATTGTTTTATTCTAATCTAATTAGCTTATAACTTGCGTACACGCATATTATTAAGCATACGAATATTCAAAGAATTACATTAACCTTCAAGTTTTTATTCGATTGCAATAAACGTAAAATTAGAGAAAAAGGTTATCAAAAATTCTTCCGCATTGGGCCAGCGTGGTTAACTATGGCCTAGTCATGACTTAGAGTAGGCTCCGAGATTCTCAGTGGGGACGTATAATGAGCTGATGAGGATTGATCTTACTAATGTAATAAATGCGAATGTTAAGATGGATGGATGTTTGTATGAAGGTATCTCTAGAACGATTTAACGGATCTCGATGAAATTTGCCATACATATAGAACATATTCCATAAGAACACATAGACTAATAATTAAGTTATTTAATATCATAGATTTAAGTTTCATTCTTAACAAGGACTGAGAATATTAAGTTTTTTTTTAATTCCGCGTGGACGGAGTCGCGTTCGATAGCTAGTATTATGATACATTCATCAAATACAAGACATAGGTGGGATGGTGATAAATTTAATGCAGAAGACATTAATGACCAGACAGCACCGCCTCAAGGTATCGACATGGTTCCGCTCCAGATGCAACTGTGTCACTTGCCAAATTACTATTACAATTAGAACAATTCATTAGAGATAGTATTTAATATACTACGCTATTTAAATTGAGTGGAACGGCATGTAGGCGACATTCAAGACAACAAAACTCAACACAAGGGGAAAACGTAGATAGTCGCATTGACCCATTACTTATACAAAATTATATTGAATCAGTTTCTTTGGGCGAGTGAGAGGTTATCTAGGTTAGTTTGATATTGATTGGGCCACGGACGAGAGCGAAAGCGTGCCCGTGGTCCCGTCCCGATGCGTTGGAGGAACAGAGGGGTTTAGTGGGTATGCTTCCGCTATGGAGGAGAATCCCACATAACTACCGCGTCCCCCCCGGGGCGCGGAGTATGCATAAAGAATTCCCCTCTGAAAAAAAAGGTTAGTTTGATATTATTAGCTAGATCAGGCTTTCATTGCTATTAAATGTTTTTATGAAGAAATATAATTTTTTTTCTGATATTTCCCGAACCGTCGTCTACATGCCGTCTTGGTTATTCAGACAAGATTTGTTATGATAAAATTTACGAAGACACAACGACACTTATTGCGGGTTTCTGAGATCAAAATTCCCGTTTAAAACATATTGCTATCTCTGTTTTGTCAAATATAATAACAGGGATTTTAATTTATTATACATCCTTATTAATATAATTACATATAGTCTTAAATCTATCATATAAAATATTAAAAAAAAACGAATAATTCACTAGTAACAGGGATGACGCTAAGTTTTAGACAGAAATTTTTGTCTCGGAAACCAACATAGAGACACTTTGGTTTCGGTTTTAATAAAATAATGACTCATGTTAGGTTTATCTTCTTTTTAAAGTGCCTCTTCAGTTATACACACTAACATCATACATACACTAACGTCAAGCAAAACTTACTTTATCTTTGGCAAGGCGGAATAATTGGGCGGCACTCGCAATATAGACAATGTTTACGATAATCGATAAACGCTTCGACTCGGTCAATATGTTTCAATACTAAAAATAAATGTTGCCACTTAAAAATAAGACGAAGATCATTGTCGTTCTACGCGAGTATACATTTCATCGCCTGCCTTTATTTATAATCCACATCTTGACAGCGCGCGATGAAATTATTGAGGACATATCGTATGTGTTTTGAGTTTCCCGCCATTATAGCAATTAGTTGAGTGAGATGTCCGCTGCAGAGTGGACGCATTATCATTTTTATTATTCTGTTTATTTATTCTGTGTGTACGATCGAGTTTTATAAATATCGCTTTATGGTTTTTGGTTATTAAAAAATGGCTGGTGATACTGTGGAGTGCTAACTTTTTATAAGATGCGAACAAACTACTGTTAGGGTCTTAAACTTGTAAGTGATTTATACGTAAATTCGATGCTTCATTAGTTAAAAATATCTTGCTCAAAGTTAACAGTAACTATCATAGAAAGTCAATTTATAAAACATATTTTTTGATATCAACAATTTTTTTTGTGATTACCCACACACAAGTATTATAAATGGCCATGTTTTGACCAATATTTTATTTTCATTTTTGTTAACTAGCAGTCGAATACGACACTGTGCGCGCAGAATAAAAAAAAACGTAATAAACAGCCTATTTGTTTCTCCAGACTATGTTCTACATGTATGCCAAATTTCATATACATCCATCGATCCATCTAAAAAATTCGCATTTATAATATTAAAAAGATATCTTAACCTTTTTTCCTTCATTACGTAAAGATCCGATTAGAAATTATTTTGTCGCTAATAGGAATTATGTATCAATATATGTTTATATTGTTCTCAGGTGGTTTATCAAGTAATCATTGTCCAAGGGCGACATTCCTTCAGCAGTCCATCGCAGAGCGCGTCGGACGGGACCCTGAACAGATACCGACTCTACCTCTACATCACCCTATTGGAGATGTAAGTTTATTTTATCATCCTGTATACACATTTGTGGTCCGTCGTATTAATTTCCGGACATCCTGTACAACGATATTGAATAATTACGTCATTGAATGAATAGTTTAAGTCGTATAACATTTATGATATTTATATCGCGGTCAGTTTGTGCTAATTTTATTTATTTTGAAGAATAAAGAAAGGAGTCTTGGCTTAGAATCTGGGAATAGACGAGAATTAAATCATCCAAAGAATTATTACGTATGTTAACCGGATCAATTTGTGAACTCTATACCTAACTAATCTTCGATATTGAAGATTAGGTACTAAACGAAATAGTAATAATAACGAGACGTCACTTATTCCACGTCTTGGTGCATGTCATGCAATTCCACAGCCGGAACACTTTTATTCAAAATTTTTTTTTCAAATAGAACTATAAGAATAGCTGTTTTTTTAATTGTTGTTAGAATGCGGTATGCGGTCGTAGTACCTATTCGCCACTGCAGGCGCTCAGCGAGAGCACATGTCGGGACCACGCCGCGCAGCCCGCGCCCCAACACCCACCTATACCACAGCCTCCACGACTACAGGTAAAGTCTCTTATCCTTTATAGTATAGTTTATCCTGCTTTGTGGCCCATGTCTGTCTCGTTTGCTCTGCCGTGCAATGTGTATCGGCGGAACTTAGGCATGCAGGTGGATGCAGCCCTAGGCACTTTGACTTTCTTCATCAACGTTGGGCCTACCTGGCACAAACTTGAGACTTGTAACACATCGTGCACTATATAAAGATAAAATAACAAACACTATTATGCAGGTGACATCACAAAATGTAACCCTCCACCCGGCGGTCGCGCGTTGCTCGGCGAGCCTTGAGCTAGCAGCACTCTGGCGCAGCTTTCACGAGCTGGGCACAGAGATGATAGTGACAAAGGCAGGTCGCCGCATGTTTCCGGCGCTACAAGCACGTCTCGCGGGACTCCTGCCCACAGCCGACTATCTACTGCTGGTTGATTTCGTACCACTTGATGACAAGAGATACAGATATGCTTTCCATAGGTTTGTTTGTCTTTAAAGTTTACAAAGTACATAATAAGATGCTAAAGAAGACTTAGTGTAGATTTAGTAAGATCTGTTTAAATCACCAATATTTAAATATAAGTGTGGTCGTAAGTTAAGCTAAATTGAGTGGAGGATAAAAAGAATTTCCTTACAAGTACTTAACTTGATTTGAATAGATTTTTTATTAAATAGCTCGATTGAAGAAATATCACGACCTCTTAAAATGTAGGAGTGAGTTAGACATAATGTAAAGGTGCGTAAACTTTAAAGTGAAGCTGGCAATTTATGCTGTCTGTGTGGTGTAGTGTCATTCAGTTTATGTTTGTATCCAAAATGTTTTCTTTGAAATGTGAGCCTTAATTCCTTATATGTTTAGCTCGAGCTGGGTGGTTGCGGGCAAAGCGGATCCTGTGTCTCCGCCTCGTATCCACGTGCACCCTGACTCGCCCGCCGCTGGCGCACACTGGATGCGTCAGCTCGTCTCCTTCGATAAACTCAAGCTCACCAACAATCAGCTTGATGACAACGGACACGTGAGTTTTTTTATATCATAAGGTGACAAAAGAGCAAGCGGCCACTTGAATTCTGCGAAATGGTGAAGCGACCACTGCCTATAGACATCCTCGATTTCAGATGCGTTGCCTACCTTTAATCAATTTTAATACCGATTCTCTTTCTTTTGGAGATATTTAAGATTAAATGAAAGTCCGTCCTCTCTACCTACCCTACTTTAATATGGTCTTAATTGTCACTGTAATCTAATAATTTTTACATCTCTGTTGGCTCTACCACAGATCTACAATTTGTTATTGTCTTTGTACAGATAATCCTGAACTCTATGCACCGCTACCAGCCGCGCCTGCACGTGGTGTACTTGCCAGCAGAGGGCGCGCGGCCCGCCCCCACCCCCGCCACCGTGCCATACCGCACATTCGTCTTCCCGGAGACCGGATTCACTGCTGTTACCGCCTACCAGAACCACCGGGTCAGTTATACTTCCTAACTATCCGTTAATGTACAGTCAGCTGCATAAATATGTATACATTGTCAAAGCTTCAGAAAATTGTGTATGTATGCAAATATCCGTCCGTATTCTTCTGACCATGAATACATGCTATTGACGAATACGTGCATATGTATTTTTGAAACCGAAACCCTTTATAACTACCTAAAGTTTTGTAAATGTTTACATATTTATGCAGCTGACTGTACAATACTACATGTTAGAATGAATTGTTACAAAACTTTTTTTGTGTTAATGTATATTACAGATAACACAATTGAAAATAGCAAGCAATCCATTCGCTAAAGGATTCCGAGACTGTGACCCTGACGACTGGTGAGTTCAAAACTAACTAAAACCACATTGTATACAATAATTATAGCTTTCTCCTGTCACAACAGTAGCCATGAATCAAGCCGTGTGTGAATGATTAAATTTTATGCGTAAACTCATTTATGTGGCAATGTAAAGGGACTTTACAACAGCCGGTGACGATTTAGTTTTACGACTCGTCGTAGGTAAAGAGTTAGGTGACAGTTATGGCGGACACGCCGTGCATTTCCCGCCAAAATAAAAACATAAACTGTAACTAGAGACAAAAAATATACGTACGGTTCTTTAAAAACTTATTAAAAATCTATGAGAAGTATCAATATTTTTTCTCCGTAATTATTTTTCGAAGAAAACTTATATTAAGAGAGGTTTTGTTTTTTGTTTTGAATTATAACGTTATCAACAAAGATTTGTTTTATTCGAATAAATGACAATAAAAAGTTAACAATAAAGGGAATACGGTAAAAAAGTTAAACGTCAACACTAAGAAGGTTTTATTCCTATGCAAAGAGTTCAGTTTGCGTCAAGAAATAACTGGCATATAAAACGTAAAGAAAAAAATTGCAGTAGGTACGACTTGAAGCTAGAAATATCTTCAAAGCTTTAAGAAGTGTTTGTAACGAATCATTGAATTTGTTTACAATTACCTCTTAACTGCTATGTTCGTTTCAGCATTGGCTGTACGGTGGAACATAAATCGTTTTCCCCCGCCGTTATTTCCCACGCCCGTCGTACATTTTGTTTATTTTACTGTTTTATCTCGAAGCTGTTGTTTTTAAACGCCCAGTAATAAAGTTTAACTGAAACAGAGAATATAACGCTTTGTTATTTACTTCAAAATAGACTTTATTTTTTCTTAAACTTAAGTTCTGCGGCCATGGATATAATCTTACTAATATTATAAATGCGAAAGTTTAGATCTATAGATGGATGTTTGTTAGAAGGCATCTCAAGAACGGCTGCATGGTTCTCGCTGAAATTAGAACATAGTCTGGAAGAACACTACTAAAGTTTTCTTTAATTCCACGTGGACGGAATCGCGGGCAACAGCTAGTATATTACTCTCTCTCTCTATGCATTAGATATTTCTTATGATTGAAAAGCGTTTTAATAAAAATAACATGGAAACTTGTTTATTTTCCTTATTCAATAATTGTCAGCCACATGTGCATTTCATTTGATTTTTAATTTTAGAAAAGTATCGCAAAAAATATCGTAAATTAATCAATGAGTCGATTTAGATAACATATTAACGTTTTATAAACAAATCAAGTCATTAATTATATTGAAGAGAAAAAAGAACACCATGTGCGCAAAGTGTGAGCGAGACAAAAAATACGATGCTCCCTTTTTTATCCTTCAACTTTCAATGAAACTTCCTGGTATTATTAATGTGACCATACGCTTCAATTCAAATAGGAAAGTCTCGCGGATTTGATCAGTGTCACTTTAGGTAATTTTTTTTTATCATACAAATCTGAGAAATATTTTTTTCAATTTCTTTTTTTTCTTAGAAGTATAGTCCGTTTGATTATTTCCCTATAGCTAAAATAAAAGAATAATATATAATATTATAGAAGTCAGTTCTTAATGCTTACGTATTATCTTAATATCCTTTGAAGGTTGGTTTATAAAAATAAACTCAAATTGTAATCTTAAAAGAACCTGTATAAAAGACGTAATATCATAACGTCAATAACGTTTTACTAGCGTGTTTCTTGTTGCTTTTTTTGCTAGCTATGTTATGGTCACCCTACTTTTAATAGATTAATTATGGCCGGTTGTAACTTATGAGCTCCATTTGTCGCGTGTTGTCAAAATAGAGGATTATCAGAAGTAACTCGACTCCTCCTCGTAGGCGGGTCACCTACTTTATCATAACGATTTATTAAAAATAAGAGCTGTCATTACGATACTTAACTTTTAATAATATAAATACGAATGTTTGGATGTATGGATGGATGGAAGTTTGTTACGAAGTATCTCTAGACATGCTTCATGGATCTCGATTAAATTTGACTTAGATATAGAACGTTCTGGAATAACAGATAGGGTAATAATTAGGTTTTTTTTTAATTCCGTGTGAACGGAGTCGCGGGCGACGGCTACCATCAGAATAAGCGGTTGGCCAATATAAAACAATTTTAACTGTATGGCATATAACACTCTTGTTTACGTTCAGCCCACCGGAACAAAGCCAGCAGAGAGCAGTGGCACGGCGGCGCGAGGCGACAGCTCCGGAGCCCTGCCCTGCGCTGGCACAACCCTACGCCGCCGAGCCCAGCGCGTGCGGACCTCTTTATGCTCACGCGCATACAGTGCGGTAAGCATAGCCTTTTAACAACACTTCATCCTCATCAGCTCACTATCCGTCTCCACCGAGGGGCTCGGAGCCTACCCTAAGTTAAGGGTGATTAGGCCACAGTCAACCACGCTGGCCAATTGCGGGTTGGTTGATTTCAAACATATGTCGGATAAATGTACATATGTAAATTGGAAATCGAATAACACATTGGTACATCGCGGGATTCGAACCCGGGACCTGCATATTGCAAGTCAAGTGCCTTACCACTAGGCCACCGACGCTCCTTATGTAATACAAATTTCACACGAGGACAGAACTGTTAGACAGAGCAGTATACTGTGCTAGCTATTATTTTTGTACCTACTATATTTTTCTAAATACAGTATTGATGTGTTTTCTCAGATATCAACCACACGCGGGACCAAACACAACATACAGCGCATACTATGCACATAGATAGTGCGTATACAAAAGGAGTTTGTGATATATTAATGTAAAATATCAATCAGTAGATATTGTAAGGTTGTAGGAAAAGAGTGAGAGGATCCTTTTAGATGTAAAGAAATACAACACGGAGGGATTGAAAGGAATACGAATTTCCATACGATCAATACATTTTTGTCCTACTCACGAAGTACGACAAATTTATCTAGACTGGTGGGCAAAAGTGGAACTAAAGCTAACAGGCGCCATCTATCAATATTAAATATGTGCCTTAAGATTCTTGTTTTGTTTTGTGTCATTTAAATGCCTGATTTCTGTATTAAAACGGTGTCAGCGCCTCTTTTACCGGGCAGATAAATTTGTGGAATTAAACGCATAATCTGTTTACAAAAATGGACTTCTAATCTAAATTAATTTAAATTGGAAATCGTATAAAGCAATGACTTCATCTTGGATATTTTAGTATAAAAAGATAAAAAATACGTCGATTTTTTTGTTATAAAATCGAGGTAATTTTGTCTCCGTGTTCAAAATCACGATGTGTAAAAACACAACGAAGTAGATAATATTTCATCGAAATTTAAAACGATAAAATGAAGTTACCAACTTATCTTCTCTCTCGCTCTATCAATGACGTCACTTTGACACAAATGTTTATATTTTAATTGTTTATTATCTGTACTTAGAAATTAGGAAATAATTTTATTAATTTTACTTAATTTTTCTTAATTTTTCGTAACATAGATATGTCACGTTCAAGTAAATTTAAGTTACTTAAGTTCTTTCATTTAGATAAACGTTGCTAAATGTTTCGAAAATTGTATTTTAATTTAGTACCTATACTATTCATGTATTTTGTAATATGAGGTGACTTTGGTTGGGTCAAAAGATGGTTCAAAAGTTGGGTCAAATATTGGACCAAAAGTTGGGTCAAATGTTGGACCAAAAGTCGGGTCGAAATAGTTTATGCAACGTTTATTTCTTTTTGCTGTTACCAATATTCTTGTAATAACCTAAGAGTAACTTCATTCGATGCATTCAAATTCATTTTAAAAGCAAATGAAAATGAGTGCAAACCAGTCAGTGCCAAATGTAACCAAAGAGTATTTATAAATAAAAAGATTTGGTAAATATTACTGTATATTTATTTAAATCTAGAAAATAAAGATTATACAACGAATTGTCTTTTTCATTATACATTAACTTCTTAATTTATGAACTAGCTGCCTCCCGCGACTCTGTCCGCGCGGTAAATAACTTAGTAGTCTATGTGTTCTCCCAGACTATGTTCTACATCTATCTCAATTTTCATCAAAATCCGTTCAACCGTTCTGCAGCAACAAGCATCCATCCAAACATTCGCATTTATAATATTATTAAGATTTCATCATATGTAGAATACGAACATAAATTATACTAATAAGAAATAATATTGCATCTGTTGTGGTAAGTTTTCAATTTGCGGTGTTCTGTAATGCGTTTTCTCAGCAATAGTATAAGTCATAACATGGTTGACTGTCGCTGCTCCAGGTTCCACCTCATGATCAACATATATTTTAGATGAAATAGTTTCTTCAAATTCTTCACCAACTATTTCTGGTTCAGGTTCCAAATAATCATCAAAAGGTGATAGTGCATCAATAGAACAATACGGTCCATAATAATCCATAGGATTGTATGACACAGCGTCGTAAAAAGTTTGTTTTTGACTGACTGGTGGCGTTGGGATTTGAGTTTCGTATGGGGAATTGTAAATACTATTATAAGTGTACGGATCTACGTTATGTACATGATCGTACACTACATTTTTTGGGACATCTTCAACAGATAATGTCATATTTGATTGTGTTTCATTTTCTGATAGATTATAAGAATGTATCGGACATGTGTAATTCTCATTTTCTCTATTTCTTATACATTCAGAACTGTTATTTGTTAATGAGTTTTGGCTGCAATTTTTCAAATCACATGCGTCTTTTAAAATTGATGTTAATTCTTTAGCTTGTTCATTTGCGGCGACAGCTAATTCTGATAATATTTCAGTGTCAGGTGTAAATTCGATACCGTATTTATCAGCTATTTCTTGAGCTGACATCATCTTTTCTATAGCTATATTTTGATATTCGTTATTAGATTTAATATGCTTTAGTAATCTCCAAACTAATTTAGTACTATCCATTGGTGTGTCGATAGATCTTTTCTTTCTATTACTATCTTCAGTATTATTGGTTATACTTAAAGCATATGTTAGAAGATTAGCCATTTCATTTTGTATCGCGTTTGTTATTGATGTTGCCATTTCTTTTATTTCTTCTAATTGTTCTTCTGGTGATTTATCAGAATTTACAACTTGAGCCATCGATGCTGTTGATGTAGAGAATAAATCTGTATCAGGTACAATGAAAGTGTCTGCCCAATCTTTTGTTTCCTGTGAATTCGATTCTGTTGGATATATTTCTGTTATATTGTCATTTTCCTCAATATCTATGTCTCCATAAATTAAAGTACCCTGGAAAGAAAACATGATTATTATTAAAAAAAAATATCTCGAAGATCTCTTTCCTTCAAAATTTCTTTTATAAAGAGTAAAAATAAAGAATTTATAGAAACAGACGTATCTTACTAATATTATAAATGCGAAAGTTTATATGGATGGATGTTTCTTTGAAGGTATCTCCGGAACGCCTCAACGGATCTTGATGTAATTTGACACAGATATGGAACATAGTCTACAAGGACACATAGGCTACTTATTAAGTTTTTTTTATTCCGTATCAACGGAGTCGCGGGTTAAAGCTAGTATTAAATATTTTACATATTTACCTGTATTAATAATACTAAAATATAATGAAAGGGCGTCATGTTGAACACAATGTGATGACCTTTTTTCGTTCGTATGCTTTATATATAAAATTATCACTTAATGAAGTAACAATTTTGTTATTAAGGTAATTGTGATAAGTAAAGTTTGATAGAGTTCTTGCTTCAGTTGACAATTGAGTAATATTACTACATTATTATAAGTAACGTAATTATTGTACACTTTAATATAATATTTATTAACAAACAGTGTATTTTATAGTATTTATAGAATGGTCTATCCTAAGCGTTATTTCTAAACCTCGAAGGACCATCAGAGGAAACTCGAAGGACCATAAATCGTAAAACGAGTCCTTCAAGTAGCAAGAGTACGTTTTTTAAAGGCCGACAACGCATCAACAGTTATTCTAGTGTTTCGGATGTCCCTCGGCGTCGATGATCGCATCGATGTCCTTCCACTCTGTCCCTTCTATTATAAAAAATTAGCAAATATCTTGCCTACCAATAAACTTACGTTGTGATCGAATACATTAGTATTTTAAATTATTTCTTTGCCTTATCCCTTAACGACTTTTAACTTTTTTTTAATGTTTCTGCAAATGCATCCAGTTTTAAACAAAGTAAAAGTAGAATTCTTTAAGTAAGCTTAGAACTCTTTAAGTATTATAAAATAAACAAACAATTTCTTTGTATACCTTAGCCACTTTTATCTGAAAAGGTTAGGAATAAAAATTCAATAACATATTTCACGTTAAAAACATCATATTTTTAATGTTACATAATCAAAGACTAAATTAGTATTTAAACAATCACGAGTGTAATAAGTTAGCATAATTTATTAAAAACATATAATATAATAATTAAACATACTGTGGTGATATTGGAATCACTTCAGAATATCTGGGATATTGGGGCGGAGGCGTGGGATATACAAATGGTGGTTGTGGTGGTGAATGGTAAGGCGGTGGCTGAATTGCTGGTTGAGGATATTCAGGTGCTGCGAAATGCGGTTGAGGGTATGCCTTATAAGGCCAGGATGAATATGTTACAGGCTCGGGATACCCAGGGTATGTAGGCGATGGATAAGGATAGGGTGGATATGGTACACGTGGTGCAGGTGGATACTGAATGGGTATATACGCATGGGTAGGTGATCCATAATGGGGTACTGGGACTGGATATTCAGGTGGCGATTCTTGTGGTGGGTAATATGGAGGGGGTATTGTTGGTGCGGGATATGGTGGTAATGGTGGAGGGTAAGCGATTGGTGGCGTTGGGGATACGTATATCACTTGTGGCGATGGGGGTAGAACTGGTAAGTATGTTGGTGAGTAATATTGTGAGTCGTAAGATGTTGTATATTCATTCCCATTGGTTGATTCTGAGCTTTGACTCTCTGCGCTTGTTGACTTCGGTTTTGGTAGTAATGCTAAAAAATAATTGCATGATATTATTTATAGCCTAATGGTTAAGGGTACGGATTAACGATCAGGAGGTCGGGGGTTCGGATCCCGCCATTCGACTATTGTTGTAAACTATGTCTTAACACAAGCCTACAGCTTAGTTGGATTTAGTACAAGAAATATAAGTAAATTTACAAAAATCTGCTGATATTTTATACTAAAAAAAAGATATTAATTAGAGTAAGGTTATTACTTTAACAATAATAAAATAGACTTACACGATGAGTAAAGTGCTTCAAGCATTTGGTTCATTCTTTCATGAAGCGAACTCATCTGAAATAAAAAAAAACATGTCTTAACTGAAATTTCTTGACATACATCGAACACGACAAGAGAACGTGTATCAAACAATATGTTTCATTAAAGGTACGTGTACATTGGTCCGCGGTCCACCGCACGCACGGGCGCGGATGACACACGCAGCGCTATGTAAAATCATATAAAGCAAATTAAAATCCGTTGCGAGCCGTGCTTGCGCTGCGTCCTGCGCAGTCCAATGTACGCGTACCTTAAGACCTTTGTAGCTTATACCGTTTTACCCATTAAGAAGCACTTAAACACTATACTTAGTATAAGTACGACTAAATAGTATGAAAATAGACAAAGAAACTTACCTGTGTTTGCTGCAATTTCTGACATGGTGTCACCGGCGTCGCATAGGTTAGACCTAAGCTTAGGGCACTCAATTTTATTATTAATACCAGCATTTTTATTCAGATCTTTGTTACTTTACAACTACTAAGCTTGACTACTCCATATCTTTGAAAACATTGGACCTCTGTATCCTCATTATACTGATATTTAAAGGAAATAATTGTCTTGATAATGTAAAAACGTGATGAGATAAAAAAAGGAATAGAGTTTTAAGATAAGATTATTTATTGATAATAATTAATTGATAAGGACCGTTGATGATGCGTGAGGTTAACTATATTAGTTAATCTTAAACCACAGTTAAAAATGTAGACTGAAAATTTAAGGCTAATAAGTTTCGATTAAACGAGATAGATGGCGCTAAAAATAATACAAGCTATTTAGTGTAACAAACATATAATTCTACGAAACGTAGTATTAAGAATAGAGTTAGGTTATACTCCTTTTAATTTAGCAAAAATAATCTCTATGCCTAATATAAATAAGGACAAAGCAGTTCCAAGAACAGAGAGCGCTAATAATGGTGCGATATCACCAAACTTCACTCGTTCAGCTAATAACGCAGCTCTGCAAGGCGGTGGTCGAAGTCTCAGATTTGATACTAGGCGTTTAGTTAGACCTACTTCTGTCAACCAGCAACCTTTAGACCGGAGATATTCCAACCATTGCCCTCGTTTGGTTGTTGTCACCCATGTCACAGACTAAAAAAATAAATGTTTTTTTTTGTGATTAAAGATAAAAACAAATGAACACGCAGACACACTTTTTGATTACTACTTCAAAAATTACTGGACACGCGACAATCACGTGACATATTGAAAGTCATTTCACACACGTCAATTCGATGCATTTATGAAGTTCGTTATGGAATCGCTTCTAAGCGAATGTGAGGGCGTGAAGTGGAAGCAATTCCGCGTTTCGTCTGATGAGTGTGCGTCCTGGAAGCCAAAATTAGTCCTCTTTCCCTTCCCATCCTTTTTCTTATAAGGAAAGGATGGGACGTGGAAGTGGACTTTCCGGATGAGAGAATTCATGGAAAGGGAAAATATTTTCTTTCTGTGCATCCTCTCCTCCGTCGCATATGCAATTGCGTATGTCTATGGGCAACGGTCACTTCGCTATTTCAGCGATTTCAGGTGGCCGTTCGCTCATTTGCCACCTTATGATATAAAAAAAAACTTTGTCTAGCTCTCTGAACTTACAAGGAAACAATTCTACATCACACCATCAGAAGATCAAATAGTCAACTGTCAACTTTACCTCTGGTATAGTATCCACATACTGCAGCTTACAAAGCTGATCATCACTGAATGTCTTCAGATATGGGTATAGTTGGTTGTACTCGGTATGGTAGGCGGTGTACCCTCGCCTGATGAGGTCCACACCTCGCTCCATATCCACGTAGAAACGTGATGTAAGCTTCTTACTCTTTAAATACTCTAATTCGTCCCAATTGGTTTCCACCTGGTTATGTTTTGTAGTTTAAAATTTGCGCATCAATAAAATGACCAAAGGATCCTAAACAATTGAAGAAATGACAAGCAATTCTGCTTTTTACGAAATCTAGGTAACTAGGTGATAAGATGATTAAAACAGTAGCTGTCGCACGCGACTCCGTCCGCATGGAATGAAACAAAACTTAATTAGTTTCCGGCAATTATTCGAATTTTTCTCACCTTTTAAACCTTCCCTAAACCTCCATTAACATTTCAAGACTAAGATAAGATAAATCCGTTCAGTCGTTCTCAAGTTTTAGCGAGACTAACGAACAGCAACAGTCACTCAGAGTTCCTTCGTGTAGGATTCTCATTATGAATCTACACTAAGATTCTCCCTTAGTGATAATTAAACAACTCTTATATCAGAGTGTCAGTAAAAGATAACAAAAACAACTCACATCAAACATTAAATAACGCATATAATCATAATCCTCTGACGCGATAGCATATTTGGAGTCGGCAAGCGCTCGCAGCGAGTCCGGACCACTTCGCCCTGTGCTCATCAGATCTGACACTATAGCTGAAGTATAGTACGCGTGAATCAACATAGAGAACACAGATACCACCACGAATGTCCATCTACCTGATGCACCCTCGGGTACTGCGCTTGCATCTGACGAAAAATATTTCAACAGATAAGTAAAGAAAATTACAGCAGCGTATTTAAAGAAAGCAAACGACCAATTAATTTTACTAATATTATAAATGCGAAAGCTCATGGAGGGATGTTGGTGAGAAGGTATCTTCGGAACGGATTAACTAATCTTATTGAAATTTGACACAGATGTAGAAAATAGCCAGAAAGAACAAATTACTACTTATAAAGTTTTTTTTTAATTACATGGGGATGGAGTCGCGACTGACTACTAGTACTATTACTAAAATATGAAATTCATCGCAGATATTAGACATCTGCTTTAAATTGAAAAGAAGATGTTAGTAATACATCGACAGCGTTTAAGGGATAGAAGAGAAAATGTACAGAAAAAGATTATTTCCATTTCTTATTAATCCCACCTATAGCTAACCACTTTAATTTTCCCATTCATTCACGATAGAATTTATTTTGAAACATGCCGTGATATCTTAAATAATAATTATTTTAGGCTGAGTAATCGAATGCTTATTGTTTACGTTTTATTTAGCAATTCTCACGTATTGCATATTTTACAAATGAGTTTTTATTTCTTAGAACTCCGTCCACTCAGATTTAAAACTTAATTAGTAGCTTATCTGTTCTTCCAGACTATGTTCTATATCTATGCCATATTTAATCGAGATCCGTTGTCCGTTCAGATGATACCTTCTAAGAAACACCTATCTATCAATTCATCAAAACAATCGCATTTATAATATTAGTAAGATAACAATGAAATCTCCCTTAGTGATGTATTAACGACTCGTGAAAACCACACCTTGTTGTAAATAAGTAGCCAGCACAGCCATAATCGCTCCTTCTTTCTCAACAGGCTTCACAGCGGTCACTCTCTGTGCTATAGTCATAATTAAGACAAAACCAAAGCATGTCAACCAAACTGCAGCAGTGAATGGTACCACGAACATATTACTGCTACTCTCACGCTCAGATAGATACGTGAAACCAACGCTGAAATATCAACAAGTACTTTTAGAAAGACAATTATTATGGTCTAAAAATAGATGGCGCTGTTATAAACATTGGTGTGAAACTGATAATTTAAAATTAAACCCATGACGTGTAAGTAGCTGACGACACGATTAGCGACTTATACCACAATGAAAAAGAAAAAGAAATTTATTAAACTTATTTTGTACCGAAAAGGCCATATAGGTAAAGCGTAGTCAAGTCGAGTGATCCTATTGGGCAGGATCCGTAACACTCCACCGCCAAGATCAGCACTGCCGTACGACAACATTAGTAACATGCTACTATTGTGGATTTCGGTACTCCATAGCTCCGTTGGGTACAACACGTCCCTGATAAACATTAACTTAAGTCAATTATTTAACCTACTGGTCCAAATCGACCTGCCACACATTGGTTGAGAGGTTGTTAAGGGGACATTTCGACCTGACGGTAAACAACCAAGGGGTACCAACCTGGGGAACAATATAAGTCGAATGTGATACAATAATATCTATTTTAAAATATTAATTAACTAACGTAGCGTTAAGTGCTTCGGTTAGTAGGACTGAAGCTCCGTATGCACATCGAACTCCTGTATCATGTTCTGGCATTGATACATCTACCAAGTAATCCTTGAATGTACCATTGTACCGATCTTCAGAGTATTGTCCTAGCTGTTATAAGAAATTTATATAAGTTTACTTCAGATTTAATTATCATAATTAAGAAATTAATTGGCACAAAATATATTACACGATATACTTTCATCTTGATACAATTAAAATCATAAAAAAATTACAATAGTGAAAAGGACGCGTCACGTTTGGTCTAATTTCGTTACAAGAAAGAGACGAAAGACATAAAACGTATTGAGTAAAAGAGAACACATGATAGAAAGTGTTGGAATACAAAAGTAAAGGAATCAATTACGTACATTAAATATAATATTATTTTCAGATTTTCAAAGGAATTCAACTTATTAGAAGATACATACGGGAGTAGCAATTCTTAAAGGATATTGCTTCAAGTCTAAACGGCGTTGTATTCTCTCTCGTCCGTGTGTTATTTGTATTCCTGATAAATTCCAATAAGCCCAAACATATGTGGACACACCATCACGGGGGTGGATGTATACATCGTCATAGAAAATTTGCGAGAGAACTACAGCGGTTTCTGTAACATGTAGATATTTTTTGTTTATTCTAACACGTCTTACTGTAAATTTCTAACAAAAAAATCTCCGTGTAAAACATCGTCATCCCTGTCAGATATAACAGTACGATTTTAACGAGGATTTTAGTATCGGAAATCAATGACTAATCTTGCTAGAGATAGTCCATTTAAAACTAAACTAAATAGCCTATGTTATTTGATTTTAAAAGAGAGGGGTACTTTTAGACATTATTAATTACAATCCTTTGGTGCGAATGGCGCGCTTTCATTGCAAAGTCAAGTGTCAGAATGATTAGTGAGGGGACATAGATGTCGACATTTTAGTAAGGCTAGTGTTGTGCCAGTACACCGGTTCAGTGTTGGATTTTCTTCCTAACAGGAATAAATTTAAAATCAGATAGTTTTTAGGTTATGCGGAATAAATAAAATCTAACATTTTCTACATTTATTAAGTCTAGATTAAAAATTTTAATGTACTTAAAGATGATGAAAAAGGAAGATTTAATATTTTTTTTAAATTGAAATCTTACCGTTTAAGTTTGTGATATTTTTAATTTTCTCAGTTCGTAATAACACCACGTCTGCATCGTATCGAGTATTTAAAAGGAACTGTGGTATTTTATTTATAAAAACCCATTTGTACCATTGTGAAAAATGTTTTGGTCGTAGCTAAAAACAAACAAATATCAGAAACAAAGTTTAATTCTCTTTCAATTCTTGCCAACTAGCTGTCACCCGTGACGTCCGTTAAAAACTTAAGTAGCCTATGTGTTCAACCAGACTATGTTTTACATCTATACTAAATATCAGCCTTTCTATAAATACTTTTTAACAAACATTCATCAATCCAAACATTCCCATTTATAAGTAAGATAAGACGTCAACCGGGGATAGTGTAGCTTCCCAACTGTGAAAGAATTTAACAAATCTGTTCGTTAGTTTCGGATCTTATTCAAATAAAAAAAATCCTTTTCCTCTTTGTAATATTAAGGTACAGCCTTGATGATTATGACATAAGTACTTTGGCATGAATTGCGCGCTTTCGTTACAAAGTCAAATGTTCCTAACGGTGGTACTACACTACTTTCTTTCCTTAGACAGATTATACATACCTTTGAATAGTCTTGTGAACTCGGTATATACAATATGCCGTAGAAATGATTATTGTTTTCCAAATCTAAGAGAAAGTTATTGCAAGAAAATGTTACGGTCATGCCGTAAGTAGAAAACTGTTTGACAAAATTGACACGATCTGAAAAAATTATATATTTTTACATACATTATGATAGGTACAGTATGTTCAAAATTTGAAATCCATAATTTCTCTAATCTAATGTAGACGTGTTCACTATTTATTATTTAACTACGTTGTACTAAGCCTAATTTTAGTCCTCTTTCTCTTCCCACCCTATTTCTTATAAGGAAAGAATAGGAAGTGGATTTTCCGGATGAGAGGATGCGTGGGAAGGGAAAGTATTCTCTTTCTGTGCATCCCTTCCTCTGTCGATTAACGGTAGGCAACGAATCTGTAATTGCATATGTCTATGGGCAACGGCCGTTTCAGGTTGCCGTTCGCTTGTTTGCAATCTTATAGTATAAAAAATTTAGATTTATTAAAAAAAAAAAATTAAACTCACCACTTGCTGGCCAACAAGTTAAAACTATAATACTTCCAACTAGTTTGAACCTAAATAAATCTACAATAGCAGGAATAAGCATTGTCAAATTCATATTTAGTAAGAAAATTTTTAGCTCAAATTTGAAATACCCAAAAATAAATCTATTAGAAAATATTCTAGTCTTAATACTTGAAACTAGATGTTGTGGATTAAAAACTATTTCGAACACTAATATTGACGTAACGAAATATTGTAATATTATATATATGTCAAAAAAGAAGTGACACTAGAGTTTAAAAAAAGTAAGAAGGTGTTGCTGCAATGTAACCTGGAATGTGAGAATTCGTTTTATTGCCAAGATCCCTCACACTAGACATAAACTAACTGCAATTTAGTATAATTATTTTATTTTATCGTATTTGAAGCATTCAAATAATACGTTATGCAATAATATCTGGTTTTAACGAATGTCGTGTCATTTGATTTTCGTATGAATAATAAATCAAATTATAGGTTTACAATGCAGTTCAAGTAAATCGTCTATGTTGTTAGAGGTTATAAATTATTGAACAGAGTAAACTGCAATTAATTGTTATTATTCCTTTTAGTCTGGAATTATGATTCGTGTACATACGTATTGAAATTTATTACTAATAATAATTCCAATTCCCATTTTCCTTTTCAATGAAATTAACATGTTAATTAAATATTCCGTAATGTTACAGGATGTTTTTATTCATTGCACATTTTTGTTGGATGCCAACATCCATCATGTTCGAAATATAAATGATTAAAAAAAGGAGATTAAATAAACCAGATTCTTGTTATATCTGTGTTGTTTTTTAAATCATCTTCTTTCTCAGCCATAAGTTGCCCACTGCTGGGCATAGGCTTCCCCCAAAGGTCGCCAACATGACCGGTCATGTGTTACCTGCTTCCAGGACGCTCTCGCAACCTTGACCAGGTCATCAGTCCATCTTGCGGGAGGCCTGCCCACGCTGCGTCGACCTGTTCGTGGCCGCCACTCTAGGACTTTGTTGTCCCATCGACCGTCCATTCTGCGTTTTTTAATCAGTTATAGCCAATAAAATTAAAACAATACGTATTATTCAATACTTTATTAATATATTTCTCTTTAAATTAATAAATAATAATTCTAAAACATTAATTGAAATGTACAAAATACTTAAATCTTAATAGAAATGATTCACTTCATTTGAATTGATTTAAAAAATCATCTACAAATAATGACAACTGCATTTAGGTAATTCAATGGGTTTTGGTTCCAAAGTTACAGGCACGGGAGGTGGGACCATGAACGCTGTCATAGGCAACCCTGGAGGTGGAGGCGGGCAGCATGAACATGGAGGAGGTGCTGGAGGTACAAGGGATATCACTAGAGGAGCAGGCGCAGGAGGTGGCAGGCACATTGGCGCGGGTGGAGGAGGTAAAAACATAGGTGCGGGAGGTGGAGGTGGGAGCATTATCGGTGGTGGAGGTGCTGAGAATACGAATGGTGAAGGAGGTGCAGGAAGTATCATTGGTGGCTGTGGGAGACACATGGGCTGTGGTGGGGGTGCTGACAGTACGATGGGTGGTAGAGATGGCAGTGCGGGCGGTGGCATTGGCAGGACCATAGGTGGAGGTGGCGGTGGTAGACAGCCTGGTGGTGGGGCAGCAGGCATGAGGACTAGAGTTGGAGGTGGAGGTGGAGGCCCGCAAACTCCACATTTACTACAATGCCCCTCTTTCTTTTCTGAAAATGAATTTTATTTGTTAATCATCATCTTTAGCCAGAGATTAATTAACTAGTGGTGATGTAAATTAGATTTGATGACTGAAACCTTACCTAATTTAGCAGCAAGAAGTGGTTTCAGTAATCTGAAATAAACAATATCATAATTTTAATTATTTTCATAATGATCATGATAATCTGGGATTTGAAAATTACTTACGAAGCGAGGACAGACTTTTTGCATTCCTTCATTTCCTTTAGTGCCTCTAACTGTATGAAAAAAAAATATAAAAACTATTAATTAGATATTGTGATAGTTTACTGTCTAAATATTTTCTTAAAAAAACTATATTTTTTGCATAAATCAGAAGAATTTATTTCCTTGAACACTATTTGTAAATTTACTTATGCAATTGACAACTGTATCAAGGAAGAATTTAGGTTATACCGTATCACGGAAAGTTCTTTACAAAGCGAACAAACCGATACTTTATATACGTAAGTAAAACCGTAGGTCAGAGTTAGTTTACATACCAAACATATTCCTTTATCACTGCAAGCTTTTACGTATATCGATGTTAATAAAACAACGGTTAATGAGGACCAAAACAGTTTTCGAACCTTCATTTTAACTCTTTGCGAGTGAAAAAAATATTATGCTTTTAAAAAAATGTTCATACGTATATATGTAGTCGCTAAAGATATTTCGTACATAAATGATATTGCATTAACTATGTAGTAATTAAAAATAAGTTTTCTACAAGCAAAGATTGAACGTGATGATTATTTAATTTAACGATGTTTCTTATCATGATATAATTGTTAACAATTTTACGATATTATGTAATTATTGAATAAAAATAACGAATTGTTTCAAAGATTTCACAATATTATTATGTTCAATCTCTCCAATTATATTATTTTACCGAACTTTTAATATTATTCATAGCGTTTTGGTTAAAAATGCTCATTTTTTTTTCTTTACTTGTCAGAGTTACTGTCTATCATCCCAGTACTATTTAGCCAGTTACCTTTATACACAGATAGGCTATAAGCCATTTAATTTTGTGCCTATTTGATTGTCGCCATTTTGGCGCTGACATTAGAGTTTGTTAGCGGTAGTGAAGATGCGATCTCATAACAGAGATAGAATAAATTTTCAGTAATCATGAACAAGTATGTTTAAGTCGGATTGAAGAAAAAACTGTCATTTAAAGCGACGGCTTATCCATATAATATTAGAGATTAACGTATCGTTTTTTGTTAATCACATGATTTTTGCAATAAAATTTAATAGATGGCGCTTTATTAAATGCCAATAGTAAACTTTTCTTTTAGCCGACCTTATGTCAGTGGGATAAGGGCATGAAGATTATGACTTAAGATACTATTAAAGAGAACCCATGATTTAAGTAGAGTATTAAAACTATAGATTTTGACTACCGTGATACATGTATTGTCATCCCTTACTTTCTTATTAGATAAACAAAGACAACAATATGTGTCATTTTTACATCTTGTATATTGCTTGTATCTTTTATAATGTTGGTAGCATTGTAATTGTATTGTTCGAATTACATCGTAATATTTTTTTATGATTGCAATTGTTTTCTTTATACGTGATCAATCAGATGCTAAAGATAAAGGTTGCATTGTTATTACGAAAAACCTTAAGTTATAAGAGGCCCTGCAACTTATTATCGACTTAAATCGTTGCCTTTAAAATACAAGATGGCGGGATACACTTTACAAACGATACGAAGTATAATAATTTTCTCCTTTATTTATGTAAGTTTTTACTTTTTTTAATATGAAATTGAGAAAATTGTTTAAATAAAGTAATAGTCTTGAAATATCTTAGAGGCTCAAGGTCATCCTTGCGCAGTGTCCTCCTCCCGCATCCCAGTAAGCCCCGATACACCTAAAATTGTGTTCTGCGCAGCGTCATCAGCCAAGATATCTAAAAACATTTATACAAAATGTATTAAATACTAGCAATGGACCGCGACTTCGTCTGCGCGAAATTAAAAAAAAAATTGTAGCCTATGTGTTCTTCCAGATTATGTTCCACATCTATGCCAAATTTCATCATGATTCATTTAGCCGTTCTGTAGATACCTTCTTACAATCCATCCATCTAAACATTCGCATTTATATTAGTAAGATCTGCTTGATAATAAAGTTAATATTTAAATGATGTTTTAATCATTATGAACGACAATAGCATAAATCTTTTAGGGTATTGACACCCAAAAATTAACATTTTTGTCCATTAATCAAGATGACAAACTTTATTACAATTTTTAATTATATATATTGTTTATTTCAGGTTCAATTAAGTCATGGATTGTACTACGAGACGATGTCAAAGACTTGCATACGACGTTTACCTTTTAAAATAAAAAACGTTTCCACGAAAGAAATTAACGTATGCCCATCGAAAAGTTTAGAATTACAACCGAGAATGATTTCTAGAAATTCACCGCAAGTAAGAAAAAGAAGGTCATTATTGTTACCTGGGTTACCTCTTTTGCCTTTGTTACTTCCACCTATAATACCTAAATTACCTCTTCTTCCTTTACCAATTTTACCTCCTCCTTTACTTCCATTGCCTAAATTAAAGACTTTAAAACCTTTAAAAGTTCCAATACTAAGCAAAAGGTCGGTGTTTAAAGGGGGGTCGAAATTAAAACCTATTAAAGTTCCCGGATTAGATTTAAAATCTGGTAAAAGAAGAATATTACATCACCTAACTAAATTAAAAAGGAGCGGTTCTTTGAGTACAGCTGAATATTTACGTTTGAGAAAGAAATTATTAAGATAAAAAAATGAAAAGGAATTGAAATACATATTAATTTGTATATACTATAAATAAAAAGGAAAGATTTGTTTGTTTGCATTGAATAGGCTGCGAAACTATTGATTCGATTTTCGAAATTCTTCCACTGTTGGGAAGCTACACTACTTACTACATATTTTTTAATTCTGCGCGGGCAAAGTCACGGGCAACTGCTAGTTGAGTCATAAGATAATCGAATGAATTAATTTTATGTTTAAAACAGTGATGTTATTTATTTTATTTATTAAGTGAATCCTCGATTTCGTGGGGTAATTAAAGTACTGTATGAAAATGTCATAAAATTTTATTTTTTTTATGCTCCTATAATTTATGATGTCCATGATAATTTCTATTTACGTTTTGTTTAATTGGAAAGTGCGATTTAATCTTCGTTGATAAAAGCCATTAAAATTGGATTAAAAAGAGTTTGAATTGCAAAAGTCTGAACTGGCTAACGAAAAAAAAAACAAATATTATAAAATTAAGTGCATGTTAGGGCTTTCCACTGCGCTCTCCATGCCACGGGCGATTTTTATTTCTATGACAATTGCGATAATATAAGTGTAAACAGCATGTCTATATTTGCGCTAATCGCCTTAGTGGAATATTTATTTCATTATATATATATATATATATATATATATATATATTTATATCAAAAGGTAGCAAACGAGCGAGCAGCCACCTGAAATCGCTGAAATAGCGAAGTGACTGCTGTCCATAGACATACGCAATTGCATATGCGCTGCCTACCTTTAATCGACGGAGGAGAGGATGCACAGAAAGAAAATATCTTCCCTTTCCATGCATCCTCTCATCCGTAAAGTCCACTTCCACTTCCCATTCTTTCCTTATAAAGAAAAAGATGGGAAGGGAAAGAGGACTAAATTAGGCCTCCGGGACGCACACTCATCAGACGAAACGCGGAATTGCTTCCACTTCACGCCTGTCTTCTGTGTGGTCGTGGTATTTCACCGGGCGAGCCGGGCCGATTCGTGCGAAGATGTTAAAGCGGGCTCTACCACATATTTTTCATATATCATTGTTGATTGTTTAAAAAATACATTTTAACCAAAGGTCTTGAGTTTAACCTATGCAAATTGACCGACTAGTGCAAACAATATGTCTATTGTTTTTGTGTTTAGTTAAAAAATATCAAATCTTTGATTTGTTATGCGTTCTGTTATTAATTAAATGAAGTGTTTAGTACAAACAAAAATGTATAGAGTTGGATGATATTGATTTCTATTTTAATTTCTTCAGTACTGAAAACTAGAAGAAGAAGAACGATTGTATAAAGAAAACAAAAGAGACTTACTAAAATATATTTCTTTATCAGAATAGTATTAAATAAAATTAAATCTAAGTAACTTACGTTCAGTTCAACAAAGAGTTATGTCTTACTTAAAAACTTAAAAATACAACATTTTGCCCAATTTTTCTATCACTAACCGTGGGTTTCCGAGACCAATATCTTTGTTTAAAACATATAATAATAATATGTAATATATTTATTAATAAAAAGGTACACTTTCATTTAAACTACCCCGCAAAATTGCTTACGCAGTTTGATGTTATATATGTTTTGTCAAACATGACATGACAATATTATTTATACAGAGATTTTGGTCATCAATCACCAAAAGTCTTAGACAATTTATCTACCACAATCCGTGTCCTATCTGACAGATATTGATCTATCTGTCCCAACACTTTAACAAAGTGTAACAATTTTTGTACCCCTTTCTTGAACTTTTCCATTCTTTCCGCACTGGATTCCTCTTGAATGTTAACTTTTAATGACTTAAACTTCATTGGCGCACCGATAGATGGCGCTGATCCTAATTTGCGAGTAACTGGTTTTAATTTCGGTACATTTATCTTCGGTATACCCAATTTAGATGTTCTTAAGTTATTAAAACCTAAATTCGGTATGAAACCTTTTGGTGGTGATATGGCTATTGGTGCTTGGGAGTCAGCATAGCCCGTCATGTCGTAGTCTTGTGAGCTGGGAAGAAATCGCCCGTCTTTCACTGCTTTGGGAATAGCTCTTTGTACCATAGCACAAAAGGAATCCACGTCAAAATGTGAACTGCCAAAGGCTTCTGCTGAAGAGGAGCTAACCATTGGGAAGAAACCCTGAAAGTTTAAACATAGATTTATATATCTGGTAATTTACGACAAAACTTAATTAAACTTATCGTATTTAATTAATTATCTTAATCAAGTTTACTAGTTATGTTTATGTTGTACTTGTAATGTTTTACCTTTGTAAGATTTGCTATATTTTTTTTTATTAAAGACAATCACTTACCTCTTCATCAGAACTACAATCGATTGTCAAACGCATCGGCGGTGGAGCACATCTGCAAAAGTGTTCCATCTGGAATAAAAACATCGGTTATTAGACATCGAAAAAGTAACCTTATGTTTAAAAGACATTTTGTACAAATTAGAATGATAACATTTAAAAATCAAATTAAGATCAATTTATAAATTAGTAAATTATTTGACACTGACCGCAAATAAAAGCGCGATAATGAACACGTATCGAGACATGGCCGCTTCAGACGACGCATTGTTTGTTATTAATATCGATCATCAAATGGTCACGTATCGATATGAATCGATTTTACAGAATCAGCACATCCTGCACGACACAATTTATAATCGAGACATTATTCGAATCCCAAGAAATCATACTGGCCTTATCTTCAAACGTGATCATCGTCTTTTTATTTTTTAATTATCTTTTTTTTTCGATAATGCACTGGCTGTCAAATGGTTGTTGTGCTGCCAGTATCCTTCTATATTGCATCGTGAGGTTTTATTTCGAAAATGAAATTAAGAAAACAAATTGTCTGCTTAGTTCTCTTGGTGATCATTGCATCAATTGTAGAGGTATGTTTTTTTTAATATTTAAATAATTATTAAACTGTGTATTGATTTTAAGGAACGTATTATTGTTCCGATATATTTCGTGCTCTCTATCCCTTTTGTCAAAGCAAACAAAACAGACGACAATATTAATTGTGGTAGAAACCTTAAGATCTTAATCCTACCTTGTACCTGGCTGATCTATCTTCCATTAATTCCATTTTATTTCTTTAGGGAAGTCTCCTAGTACGACGGTCACTGTTAAGACCAAACGGAATGGAACCATGTTACACTTGTAAAGCGGAGGACAAGCCCTGGTCTTACACATTGTTGCAATTCTGCGGCAAACTAAAGGATATGATGACGCGTGCTGTCAATGCAATCGCCTCTACAACTAGGATACAGAAAATCAATTAATTCGAACCATCCACACGACGAAAAGGTGAAGAAAATGGGTCGAAATGTGTGTTTTGTACAGTCTTTTAGTGATTACAATTCTACACTTCGTTGTTTAAACTATTGAATGATGTATGGATATTGTTTCGCAACCGTATAGCAGTAAATGGCAATTTTGTTATAAATTATTTATTTTAGTGTTAAGCACTCTTTCGCACTGGCACTTTTTAACGCCGTGAACTCTACATTGGCTCACGGGCGACGAACACCACGCTTAAAAAAAATCGTCGCGTTTCAAAACCGCTACAGTATTAACAAATATAATACATTGAAATGCATTTGTTCATTGAACGTTTTTTAAACGCGCGATAAAAAAGCGCTAGTGTGAATGAGGGTTAAGTTAAAATTTAATTTAGTGCTAAGTTTTTTAACCAAATATTTTTAATTTGTATTTAAATTTTGCTTGGAAATCGCACTGTATGCTGTTAAAGTTTCCTCGCGTTCAGGACGAAGTTATAATGCGTTCAATACAAAGTTTATGTGAACAAATAATTATGAATATTAAAAATGGTATTTTAATCTTACAATTACAAAGAAAATTCTTAACTTTACTGCGAGTTTCCACTGCCGAAACATTCATACAAACAATTATAACTACGTCAGTTTTTTTAAGACGAATAAGAAGGATAGTAGGACAGAGATGTTAAACCAATGGCACGCGTATCATTTCCATGCGAGCAAATGTTTTGGCTACGTTAATAATTACAAAATTAATTTTCCACTAAGAAAAAAGTGTAAAATGAATACTTAACGTCTATCACCAGCGATTTCTACGTTACGAAACGTTCTCAATTATAAAGTCAAAATTATTTGAAGGCGTTTCTATGACTTTATTAATAAGCAGTTGCCCGTGACTCTGTCCGCGCGGAATTAAAATAATATTAGTAGCCTGTCTTCTTCTAGACTATGTTCTACATCTATGAAAAAAAATCAACGAGATCCGTGTAGCCCTTCTGAAGATACCCACTAACAAACATCCATACAAACATTCGCATTTATATTATATAAGTAAGATTTAAAATAATATACGTGACTATTGGTTTATAATCTTATTTTAAATCAAATTTAATTAATTTAATGTGTACCATAGTAAGTAAACATTGTACCGATTTTTAACGGACTTCAAAAAGGAGGTTCGATATTCGTTGTGCATTTTTGTAATAGTTCAAGACAGGTCAAATAATAAAGAAATAATAGAACTATCGAATCAACATGGAAACTTAACTTTTTACCAAACAATAGGTATATCATTGTATGCAAATACATTACTATTGAATTTTTATAAGTTTTTCTAATGAATTTAATGAATCGAAAATACGTTACTTTATGTGAATTAAATTAAATAAAATATAAAGTTATCTACGTTTGTAAAGCGCGCTTCAACGTCAGTGTTGCCCTACATCTTTCACAGAAAGGTGCTATAAAACCAACTTTCAAGTGATACCATTGGTTTAAAAAAGGTACGTACAGAAATATTATTTTTAAAAACTTTAACCAAGTTTCTGAAGTGATCATTTCATTCATCATCATCAGCTCACTATACGTCCCCACCGAGGGGCTCGGAGCCTACCCTAAGTTAAGGATGATTAGGCCACAGTCAACCACGCTGGTCAAGTGCGGGTTGGTTGACTTCACACATATCTTTGAATTTCTTCTCAGATATGTGCAGGTTGCATCACGATGTTTTCCTTCACCGTAAGAACGTCGGATAAATGTATAAGGCGGGATTCGAACCCAGGACCTGCAGATTGCAAGTCAAGTGCTTGACCCCTGAGCCACCGACGCTTGTAAGTGATAATTTAAACTACGATTATTCACTGCTATTCTTATCGTGGATTTCTGAATCTAAAATCCCCGTTTAAAACATATTTTTATTGGTTTTGTCAAAGACGAAAAACAGGGATGACGATATATTTTATACGGAGTTTTTACTGTCAGAAACCCACGGTTAATATTTCCAATTGGATGGTTAATCGATATCCTAATCTTTAAGGAACCCATCCTTTTTTAGTTATTAGTATATAATTAAAAGACAGGACACAACGGGAGATAAATGGTAGTTATTCTATACAAAAACAACGCACATACTATGCACCACTCATATTTAATTAAAAAAATTATAAACTAACATTAGGAGCTACACTTTGGTCTTCTTGTCTTCATTCTTTGGCAACCGGATGACATAGAACTGGCAATTCTTATTAATCTCTTACTGTGGGTTTCCGAAACTGAAATCCCCGTTTAAAATACATTGTTTTGTCAAAGATAATGACAGGGTTGACTATATGTTATATATATAAAATTTGATATCAGAAATCAACGGTTACTAAGGTTCTTTTAACGGTTTCTACATTACAGAATAGACCATGGTGCCGACACCGCAAGAACTGAATGCAGCCCCTCAAGGAGTTGGGGATGGAGAGAAGTCAGGAGACAGGGTCGTGATCTCCGGCATGTCTGGTCTTTTCCCCAATTCTTACCATGTGAAAGACCTTGCCGAAGTATTGTATAGCAAGGTAAGTTTTTAATTATTGATGGCAAAGGCAAGCAAGCGGCCAACTGGTTCGCCTAAATGGCGAAGCAACCGTTACCCATAGACATTCGGAGTATGTACATACTATGTCGACCCTCCGTAATGTTAGGAAGAAAATCCGACATTGTGCTGGCGCAACACTAGCCTTATTGAAATGTCGACGTTTATGTCCCCCTCACTAATCACACTTGACTTTATAGCGCGCCATTCACGCCAAAGGACTCTAAATTGTCTAAAAAAGTATGGAGAGGCAAAGGTTGATGATGATAATGAAAGGAACGCAAGGGAAGAGAATATTTGCCCTTCCTGTGCCCTCCTCCACCAAAACCACTTCCCCATAATGATATGCACCCACTAATTATTGTCATTGTATGCTCTACTACTTTATATTCATCAAAAATACGTGAAGACAAATGCCTAAGTCAAAGATCAAACAATCCAAGGTCCAAAAGTGACGCGTCATATAGCAAATTAATTATCTAACGCTTGCTACTCGGTTCGCGAGGGATTAAAATGTAGGAGCCGATTTTCAGACCTATTGAGTTTCAATTTCATAAAATTGGAAAAGCCATTTCGGAGGAATGTGGTAACATTGTGACACGAGAATTTTATATATTATATCTTCTATATATAAAAGAAAGTAGTGTTAGTTACACTATTTATAACTCAAGAACAGCTTTACCGATATTACAGAAATTTGGCACACGTGTAGAACATAGTATGTAAGAACATATGTGCTACTTATTAAGTTTTTTTTTAACTCCGCGCGGACGGAGTCGCGGGGCCAAACTAGTATACAATGTGACATTACTAAGGTCGTTGAATGACATTAGAATTATAATATAACCATTGTTGATTAATTGTAAGTAATTTATACACATTATTCGTATTGTGTTTTTCTTTCTATTTAATTTATTACGCCTAAAGGTCAAATTAAAAACTTTAATTATTTTAATTAAACATACTATTAATTATTTATTAGGTTAAAGTTAGATTTTAAATTTTCAAATATCGATGGTAATCAATATATTAAATCTTAGTAATCTTACTAATGTTAGAAATACGAAAGTTTCGATGGATAAATGTTTACGTATCTTCAGAACGACTGAACGATTCCGCTTAAATTTGGCACAGATGTAGAAAATTATTAAACATATATACATTAAAGCATAGACTATTTACTTTTTTTATTTTACACGGACGAAGATCGCTGGCAAAAGCTGGTCTAATCATCTCATTAGTGTACATTTTAGTTTTAAGCATGAATAGATCTTTCTTATTATATAAGTACTAGCTGTCGCCCGCGACTCCGTCCGCGTGGGTATATAAAAAAACTTAATATATATAATAAAAAGCAGCTCTTCAAGGCACACATTCGAGAAAATAAAATAAAAAAGAATAAATATCCTATGTCCGTCTCCTGGCTCTAAGCTACCTCCTCACAAATTTTCAACCAAATCGGTAAAGCCGTTCTTGAGTTATAAATAGTGTAACTAACACGACTTTCTTTTATATATATATATGAATATCTACAACATGACTTAACCGATCCTAATGGAATTGACATTTGGCACAGATGTAGAACATAGTCTGGAGGAACACATAGACTTCTTATTACGTTTTACTATAACTGCTTCTCCAGTAGAAATGGCAATATTTTGCGGGTACATGTAAAAATTGTCAGCCAATTTGACTTTTAAAAAGTGAAGTTTCATTGCGTACATAGACTTTGTATGTAACTCTTTAAAACTTAGTTTGTTTTTTTTCTGTACAGCGAGATCCAATCTCTTCGAAACCTCGATGGCAATACAACCATCCCGAGGTAGCCCCGTTCACTGGGAAAGTGCCTGACATTGAATATTTCGATGCTCAATTCTTCAAGGTTCACTTTCGTTTGGGCCACACTATGGATCCAATGGCTCGCAAGTTACTGGAACAGGCGTATCAAGCTATTTATGATGCAGGTAAGATTCCCTGGCTTTTATTCAATAAGAGCGAGAAAAAAATGTATGTATTTTACAAAACAAGCAATATTAGTATATTCTTGAATATACATATGATAACCAAATTAATGCCTTTCTTAAGATTGAGAAAGAAAGGAATTAACCGTTTTAACAGTGGTAGAGACCGCTTTAACATCTTCGCACTAATCGGCCCGGCTCGCCCGGCGAAATACCACGACCACATAGAAGACAGGCGTGAAGTGGAAGCAATTTCGCGTTTCGTCTGATGTGTGTGCGTCCCGGAGGCCTAATTTAGTCCTCTTTCCCATCCCACCCTTTTTCATATAAGTAAAGGATGGTAAGTGGAAGTGGACTTTGAGTTTGAATAATTTAATAACAAATATATATGTTTTCTGCAATGGGAATTCGTATATTTTTAAGGCGTAAGTCCGGAACATCTCTCCGGGAGGAAGGTGGGCGTGTTCATCGGTACCTGCTTCTCTGAGACTGAGAAGGCATGCTTCTATGTAGCCAGCACGAGAAATGGATTCGGGATCGCTGGGTAAGTGGCTTAACGTGGGTTTCAGAGATCAGAATCTGTATTTTGTCTCAAATGACAGGAATGTTGTTATGTTTTACGCAAAAATTTGAGTCCCGGGTCCTACGAGGCTAGACAAAGTGTTTTCGCTTCGAATCGATTGCAAAACGAACTTCAAAAATGTATAGAACTGACAATAACTTTCGATAAGTCACGTGATTGTCGCGCGTCAGTTCTATACATTTTTAAATTCGCTATGGAATCGCTTTGAAGCTAATGCATTTTGTCTAACCCCTCTGGCCTAGTTTATCTTAGGGATATAAAGTCCTTAGTTAATGATGCTTTAACTATACGATTTTCTTAACAGATGTAACAAATCTATGTTCGCCAATCGTATCTCTTATTGGCTGAACGCGAAAGGGCCATCGATGTCGATTGATGAGTCTTGCTGCAGCTCTATAGCGGCACTTGAGCAGGCGTACTTGGCATTAAGCCGTGGTGACTGTGAGGCTGCTATTGTCGGTGGTGGTAACGTCTGTCTGCATCCACAGTCCTCTCTGCATTACGGCAGGTTAGTTATGCAAAAAGTCAACGCTTCACGTATCTGCAATAACATATTGAGATGCAGCTGCTCACTTAATAAACACAGGAGATAATAGAAAATGTGGTGTTTCCTCTTTCTTTAGCCATACATCAGTCTTTCTCAAAGTGGGCGATAACGCCCTCTTGTGGGCGCTGCAGGTCTCAAGTTGCGGGTTATAGTAAAAGTTTCGTTTAGAATTCACCGTTAATATACATAATAATTAATTAATTTAATTTGAAGTTATAGTGGTCTTTAAAATGTGAAAATAAGGGGGCGTTAAAAAATATTTATTCTCAAAGTGGGCAGTAGACAAAATAAGTTTGGGAACCACTGATGAAAATTTTTTTAAAAAAGGAACAGGATTAGACTTGAGTACACGACTTATAATTCTAAATGGCCAGTATTAGACTTTAAATATAATATTTTAGACTTCTGATGATTATATGTTCTTTGCTCTTGAGGTTATTGTTATTAAAAAAAGTATGTAACATATATATGTTATAATTATGCAATATTACATATCTCATTTCTTATAGGATCATGTCATTAAGTATGGACGGGAAAACTAAATCATTTGATGAGAAAGCATCAGGCTGCGCGAAATCGGAAGCTATCAACGTTCTGTTTCTCCAGAAGGCAAAGGATGCTTTGCGGTAAGTCACTAAACTTCGTTATCGTGGACTTACACTTTAAACATTTGTCCTAAAAAGCCATCCCTTTCATTTGCTTTGATAAAACCGAAACAGCAACATAAGGTATTTTGTTGATATGTTTTGGTTTTTGAAATACCCCTCTATCTCGCACACTCGACGAAGAATTTCTTCCAATTAACGCCTGTCTTCTGTGTAGTCGATTGCATAAGTCGATCTTGCTATTTGTACGGTAGCTGCAATTTTCATTTGTTTAATTACAGAATCTACGCGGATGTAGTCCACGTTAAGAGTGAATTTTTACAAATCTTGAACAATGAGACCGGACCTAGATATGGTTTCTACCGTAACCCTCGAGATGTCGCTGTGTTCTTGAATAACTTTTATAAAGAAGCCAGAGTTCCACCGCAAGCCGTCGAGTATGTTGAAGCATCTGGATCAGGTATTACGTTCTTTTTCACTCATTGTTAATGGCTAGATTATTGTATCATGTGTACCAACCGTTAGGCAATGTGCGTTAAATTCTTTTGGAATTGCGGTTCTGATTAAGGCTCTCATTTCTCTTGGAATACTTAAAAATTTGTAAGCGCAAGACGTGGAGTTGTGGAAGCCATAGTCCGTAGTACTAATATTCTTATCGCTATAAACTAAAATCAGTGTTCTTTTTGGCACTCTAGCTATTCCAGAGGCAGATAAAGCAGAATTGGAGACAATCGACGCTGTATTCTGCAAGGACAGGGCGAAGGAACTTTATGTGGGTAGCGTCATGTCTAACATCGGGTACGGTGAAGCAGCCTCTGGAATCTCTGCTGTTACCAAGGTAAATTCTATTCAATTTAAATATCACGTAACTACAGAACGGTTGAACGTATTAAGATGAAGTTCAGAACAGAAATAGATAGAATGTAGATAACATATAAACGGTATTGGTATTTTCAAAACTTAGGGTTTTTAAGAAGGAGGCCCATCTCTTTCCCAAAGGCCGACAACGTATCAGAAGCTCCTCTAGTTTTGTACATGTTCATGGGCATCGTTCACCAGTGTTTACGTCGCTCGTTTGCCTCCTTCTCTTATAAAAATAATCTATCTTTGGTCTCGGAAAAATATACGATACTCGTGGTAGATATTTGTTTTAGCTAACCAAATAACTTCAGTTCCTTAGTCTGAAGTAATTTTCGTGTTTTGTTTTTCAGGTTCTGCTAGGTTACCACACAGGTGAACTGGCAGCCAACCTTAATTGTGATACACCGAGGAAGGATGTCGCGGCACTACGCGAGGGTCGCATACGTATCGTGACCGAACACCAGCCATTTAACAGATCTTATGTTGCTGTGAATGGTATATCTATCACTGGTGTTAACGCACATGTTTTATTACACGGACATTATAAACCTAAGGTAATAAAGTTTAACCCTACGTTTCCTTAGTTAGTTCCGCAATTATTAATGACCAATTTAACTCCCCTTATTGTAGATGTTTTAATTCTTACTAATATTATAATTGCGAATGTTTAAATAGATGGATGGATGTTTGTTTGAAGGTATCATCGAATGCATAGATCTCGCCAACATTTGGCATAGATGTAGAACATAGTCTGGAAGAACACACATGCTACTTATTAAGTTTGTTGTTAATTACGCGCAGAGTGAGTCACGGGCGACAGCTAGTTTCATACTAAATGTACAAAACTATTTTAAAATTGTTAAACATGTCGATTGCTATAAAATATATGAATTTTACCCGACACTTCCCATTACTAATTAGTTTGCAATCATATTTTTTATTTTCTAGGATGTAAACCGATACAAAAGTAACATTCCACACCTGGTCACTCTTTCTGCGAGACAAGATTCTTCAGTAAAGAGAATTCTAAGTGACCTGAAGTCCAGACCTATTGATCCTGAGGAGTTAGCTCTGTTCCACAACATACATGAGACCAGAATTAGTGGACATTTGGGCAGAGGTTTTACTATTTTATGTAAGTTTTAGGACTAGTAAAAAATTTGCATTTTATAGATTATCTTGCTGGTAGAGTCAACGCCGGTTTTAACATCATTTAAGGGACCAGAAATTCATTATTCATTATCCAGATTAATAATTATGTTAGGGTTCCGTACCTCGGAAGGAAAAAACGGAACCCTTATAGGATCACTTAGTTGTTCCGCAGTCTGTCTGTCAAGACCCTTTTTTCTAATAACTGAATTGATGATTGAAAGCGTCGGTGGCTCAGTGGTCAGGCACTTGACTTACAATCTGCAGGTCCTGGGTTCGAATCCCGTCATGTACCAATGTGTTTTTTTCTATTTCCGATTTACATATGTATGTTTATCCGACGTTCTTACGTGTGAAGTCAACCAACCCTAACTAATTCTTTCTACACTTCTGAAGATGACAACGTCTCTCTCTAATCCAAGTTAAGACCAGATTCCAAATTTGAGGTATCCAAAGTACTTCGGGTGTTTCAAGAATGAACTTTTGCATTATTTGGTAACTTTAACGCTGTTACTATAACAACTAGCTATCGCACGCGACTCCGTCCGCGTGTTTAACCCTTAACATTTAGGAGGATGAAAAATAGATGATGGCCGATTCTCAGACCTACTCAATATGCTCACAAAATTTCATGAGAATCGGTCAAGCCGCCGGTCGAGGAATATGGGAACGAAAATAGTGACACGAGAATCTTATATATAAGGTTATAAGTTACAATATTGCTCGTTTAGCTACCGATGCGGAAGGAGAGACCGTATCGTTATGCGAGAAGGTGGACTACTTTGACGACGTGCGACGTCCTCTGTGGTTCGTGTACAGCGGCATGGGCTCGCAGTGGCCCGGCATGGGGACACAACTGATGCGCATACCAATATTCGCGGCTGCTATTGAACGGTATAAGTTTAATTTTAATATTTGGTTTATTAACTTTAAGACATTATTAATTAAAAACCTTTAGCGCGAATGGCGCGTTTTCATTACAAAGTCAAGTGTCAGAATGATTAGTGAGGGGACATAAACGCCGACATTTTAGTAAGGCTAGTGCTGTGTCAGTACACCGGCATAGTGTCGGATTTTCTTCCTAACATAACATGATATGAATTTGTAGTTGATGACGTCATCATCAACCTGCCCCAGGGACAACCCTGCGGAGAGACGACATACTTTGTACCAGTCCTTAATACATAACTATCAGTCGTCATATCCTCTTTCACATAATTCATCTATACCTTTGGTCTTTCTTTGTACTTTATGAAGTTTCTTTTTTAAATAAACTAAAGAAAAAATAAAGCAAATAATTTGCTGTGACAGTTGCCATCGTGTTCTGGAACCTCTGGGAGTGAATATAGTGGACATCATCACAAATCCCGATAAGACGGCGTTTGACAATATCCTACACTCGTTTGTCGGCATCGCCGCTGTACAGATCGGACTCACTGATGTGCTGCGAGCAGTCGGTCTGGTGCCGGATAAGATTATAGGTAATGTCCATTTTGAACTCTTTCTCTCTCGTACTTAGCAGTCCATAAAGATGTCATACCAAATAATAACTCCATAAAAATACTTTGGTGGAAAAGAAAACATATGGCAACTCTATAGCTTGAAAAAATATTCCAACTTTAATCATTTTCATGTTTGGTCAGAATATCGGTAGCTTTGTTTTCTTTTTGCCGTCAAAACGAATATTTGGTAACTTTTTGACTATTCAATGGAGCGTTGGCTTTATACTTTGGTTGTTTCTATAAAAGTTTATTTTTCTTTTTCCATCAGGCCACAGTGTCGGTGAGTTGGGCTGCGCATACGCCGACGGTTGCTTCACCGCTGAGGAGATGATACTAGCGGCCTATTACCGTGGCCTTGTATCTGTACAAACACCGTTCATCCGAGGATCTATGGCTGCTGTGGGGATTGGGTATAAACAGGTATTTCTTGAGTTATGACCATAATTATACGCTTTTCCAAAGGTATTTCAATTGCGAAATCAAATGTTTAAATTTTTGTACGACAGGTGATCAAACTGTGCCCGCCAGAGATCGAGGTGGCATGTCACAACGGCCCCGAATCCTGTACTATCTCCGGTCCGGCTGACGCCATGAAGGAATTTGTAGCACAGCTCACTGAGAAGTCCATATTCGCTAAGGAAGTTCCGTGCTCGAATATCGCTTACCACTCCAGATATATTGCTAAAGCTGGTACGTTACTAATTAGATATAGGGCAAACAAATGAGCGTTATCTAATTTCTCTCTCTCTCTCTCAAGGCGCCTCTGCGTTTAATGGAGGTTGGCCGTCAGATCCGTGAACTTTTTCCGGTCTTGTACCAAGCGGCACAAATTTTCCACGTTGATAATATTTGTCCGTTCCAAAAAATTCGGATTTCTCTAAAATAGCAAAATGACCGCTGCACATTGATATCTGAAATAACTTATAGTTACCAAGTTACCAGATGCCTTGCCTATCTTAGCTTAGAAGAAGTACGAAAAAGGATTCTTAACTTACCAACAAGTCCCAAATCCACTTTTTCTTCCTCCTCTTTCCTTATTAAATTGATGGGAAGGTAAAACTGGATTAACGGAGTCTAGATGACTCATCATTAGATGTCTATCATTTTTGTCTTGATTAAGGCTTACTTGTTTATCTAGTACGATTCTAAGGCGTATAACTAGTCTCCAATATTCCCAGGCCCTGGTCTGCTGAAGTATCTAAGCCAAGTAATCAAGTCACCGAAGCGTCGTAGTGAAAAATGGATGTCAACTTCAGTGCCGCAAGAGAGATGGAACGAACCGATCGCACAATACTCTTCAGCGGAGTATCACACTAACAATCTGCTTGTAAGTTGTCGTAATACGTGTATTATTTACGAAAAACAAATGCCTTTTACGTTGTCTTTAACCTTTGATGAGCTTAGAGAATTTATAGGAGAGAACTAAAGTCTCTTACCCACCCTGAAATTGTCAATATCTTTCAACTGTAAATATGAATTTGGACCAGTTGTCCCTGACTTCTGATTTTGTTAACATCTATCCTGATAAGTATTTCTATTATAGAACTCTGTGCTATTCGAAGAGACGTCAAAATTGATACCAGCCAACGCTGTACTTGTGGAAATAGCTCCCCACGGCTTGCTGCAAGCTATCCTAAAGCGATCCTTGCCGGAGACCTGTCGCCACGTGCCTCTCACTAGGCGAGGACATCCCGATAATGTGCAGTTCCTGCTTGAAGCTGTTGGAAAGTCAGTCTTCTTTTCGAATCTTACTAATATTATAAATGCGAATGTCTAGTCGGATAGATGTTTGTTTGAAGGTATCTCCGGAATGGCTACATGGATCTCGCTGTAATTTGGCATAAATGTAGAATATAGTCTGGAAGAACACATAGGCTGCTTATAAGGTCTGTTTTTAATTCCGCAAGGACGGAGTCGGGGGCGCCAGATAGTAAAACAATAAAATAAATTTCGCATATTATTCAATATATGTTTGAAGAATGAAAAATTTTGTGTATGAGAAAAGGTATAGATGGAAGCTTTGGGAAAGACACAAAAATGTATAAATTAGAAACTAGTAAAAATAATTTAAAAAGGTTGAGGAAATATTTGGTGTTTGTTTCCATCCAGTTTGATCTTTGGTTACTCTGTATTTTGATATACAGCAACAGAATTTTTTAGCTTTTTTTTACAATTTTTTTCGAATGTTGAAGCAAAATTATTTTTCAGACTTTACATGGAGGGATACAATCCAAAAGTAGCAGTGCTGTATCCTAAAATCGAGTTTCCTGTTTCTACGGGAACTCCAATGCTGTCCCATTTGGTAGAATGGGCTCATCATGAAAAATGGTAAGTATACTCTAATCATTTCACTGCTGAGATATGAGCATGTCACCATCTCTAAGGCTGGCAACGCATCTGCTGTTCTTTTGGTATTATAGATGTCAATGGACGTCGATGAACACCTCGGAATTCGCGCTGTTCGATTTCCCCCTTCTCTTATAAAGAAAACACAATTTCTGTTGGCACGTGTATATTTATTTTTATATTTTATTACTTTATAAATCTCTACCAAGAGATCTCTTGGTAGAGATTTATAAAGTAAGATTTATAAGTAATAAACAGCTGGTGCTGTCACTTCTGAATTCATTCTCTTACGCATATCTTCATATAATATGCCCAGAGCTTCTTAGTTCTTTCTCTATTATTCAATCTCATGATGTACGGTCGTGGAATCTGCGGTGTTTCACTTACAGAAAAATTGACTCGTTTCTTATAACGAGACAAACTGGGCCTCTTTTTACAGATAACCAATGAGGTAGCAGTGTTAAACAAACAACGGTATACACACATTACATATACGAAGGTTTTGTCTCTACACATTTAATAGTTGCGTCCCATTGGGGTTCCGCGTCGTCGTCTCAATGCCTAAGAAAGAGTCTTGGCAAACAGACGGACGGACAACAAAGTGATCCTATAAGGGTTCCGTTTTTTCCTTTCGAGGTACGGAACCCTAAAAACGTTAGTTTAACGACTTTAGCTTTTATGGTGGAATACTGCCCGTTTCCCTAACTGTACATCCAAAAAACAAATAAAACTGTTTTTTATCCAGGAACATCCCGACGTATGTATCAGCGCATAGAATTGTCGCGGCTTCATACAAGTCCGTTTACTCCGTTTACGACGTTGAAAACGAATATCTTACTGGAAATGTAATAAAAGGTGGGTATCTTTGACCAACAAACATTAGTGTAGTACACCAATATACTAATATGTTGATTTTACAGACAAATATATTAAAACTGTCCATCTAAAACACAGCAAACTGCAGCAATAGGTACCACGACCAGTCGACTACTATTGCATTGTATCAAAAGAAATTCCAACAAAATAAAACTGAATTTTACTTCCTCATTAGTACATAAATACTTTTACACCTTATTAGTTAGAATCATTTAGAGCGAATTGCGCGCTATCGTAAGTCAAATGTCAGATTGATTAGTGAGGGGACATAAACGTTGATATGTTAATAAGGCTAGTGTTGCGCTGATACACCGGCACTGTGTTAGATTTTCTTCCTAACAATGCTTACTTATGTCTATACCCACTTTCAGGAAAAAATACATTCCCATTCACGGCAGCTCTGGTCGCAGTTTGGGACTTACTCGCTATGTCGCTCGGTATGCAAAAGAAACAATTGTCAGTACAGTACAAAGACATTAAGTTGTACTGCCAACCAATGCTTCATAAGCAACGTCAGTTGCGTCTCTTCAGCACCCTTCACAGAGGAACTGGCTATTTCGAGGTATGATAAACTATATTCAGTTTCAGAGAGTCAATGATTTCTTGTTAGAAACTAACCCAACAGTAAAATATAAATGTTCTTGAGAGGGAAGGAAAGAGAATGACTCAAGTCTCTTAATAATTTTTAGACATCTTTTTTAAATTTCTTATAATATCATCGTGTAAGTATTTTACTAAGTTAAGAAGGTTACCCTTCATATTAAGAATAAATGGTTCAGCTTATTGTTGGAAGCAATTTCCTTACTACTGGTACCTAAGTAATTATTACTATTCCGAATCTAAGGTTTTCTTTTGGTGTCGGAACTCAAAAACATTCTTATCTTTTGCAGATCATGGACGAACATAACAGAGTCGCAACGGGTTATATCAAAGGTGAAATTGATGATGACGAGAGACCTGAAAATGAATTTATCTCATCAGAGGAATTAGATTTAAAATCAGAGGATATTTATGAAATATTAAAAAAACGGGGATTCGACTACAGGTGAGTAACTAGAAAAATCACCACGTCAAAGTTTGAAATTGGTTCACTCTTAATAATATAAAGTAACTTGAACTTTCTAGTGGTGAATTCCAAAGCATTCGCAAAACGAACAAATCGTTAACACAAGCTCAAATAATCTGGAATAACAACTGGGTGACTTTTATTGATGGCATTTTACAATTGTATGTACTTGCCCGATCTAACGACTCTATCTCACTGCCTACACACATCAGGAAGATGATCATCGATATTAAGAAGCACAGTGAAACACAAGTTGACAATGATAATGTCATGACTGCACAAGTTTGTGATATACTCAAGTTTACAAGGTAGGTTAGAATGTCGTTTTTTTTTATATCATAAGGTGGCAAACGAGCGAGCGGCCACCTGAAATCGCTGATATAGCGAAGTGACCGTTGCCCATAGACATACGCAATTGCTTATGCGTTGCCTACCTTTAATCAAAGGAGAAGAGGATGCACAGAAAGAAAATATTTTCCTTTCCCATGCATCCTCTCATCCGGAAAGTCCACATCCACTTCCCAGCCTTTCCTTATAAGAAAAAGAGTGGGAAGGGAAAAAGGACTAAATTAGACCTCCGGGACGCACACTCATCAGACGAAACGCGGAATTGCTTCCACTTCACGCCTGTCTTCTATGTGGTCGTGGTTTTGGTGTGTAATTCCTTGTACTAAAATATGGTAAGCTAAAGACGCTGCCAAAATGTTATTAGATATCATTCATTACATCCTCGTTTAGTGATAAACGAGAATGTAAAGGAAAGTTCATACGACACGACACTTCACTTCTAGGACAAAATGCAGTTATGCTTGTGTAAAAGCTAATTGAAATATCATTTATGTCTCTATTGCTTGTTTCCATTTGAGCAAAAACCCATTATGAAGAGGAAAGATTTGATGTATTTGATTATATGATATATGATTTGTTGTATTAAATAGACTCCGAAAGTACTTTCCATCTTTTCTGAACTTTCACTGTTGGGAAGCTACACTATTCCCGGATCACATGGATATTTTTTTTTATTTCGTGCGAACTATGTTGCGTATAACTGCCAGTCTGAATTACCATATTCTGTTCTAATACTCAATATTTGCAATTTCAGATGCGGAGGTGTAATAATAGAAGATCTTAAATTCCGTGATCTGCCACCGTTGACAAAGGAAGCAAATTTAATGGCGTTGAAAATTGTTCCGTATTTCCAACAAAATACCACAGACGTAAGTAACAATATTTGCTAGCCGAAAACGTTTTCAAGTTTCTGAAGCTATGTAAATGTACACATATTTATGCAGCTGACTGTACATAAAAATAATGTAGTGTACTCTACCTAGATTTATCTTCTTTTCGAAAGTAAGGTAAGCTTCTCAATTTTGTGATATTTTCAATTTATTCCAGTTCTCCACTGCCATGTTGGTATTGCTGCAAATCGTAGCTGAGAATTTGAACAAAACAAACATTAATATTGTGGAACTTTGCGATAATGATGAAGAGTCAAGTTTCGAAAACTTAACTGATGTTTTAAAAATGATACCCGCTATTAATATTCAACATAAAATAGTAAATAGAAAGAACGTGCTGGAAGAAAGAGTTCATTTCCTAACGGACGCTGATATACTACTCGTTACAGATCTGTCCAAAGACGATAAGGTAATTTTATTAAAACATTATAATTGGCCAATGCGCAAAATCTTATTTTCCCCAATGTTCTATCTTTAGCGGATAGATGGTGCAAATTAAAAGCCCAGATACTTAATAAAATTAATGTAATTTAAAAAAGGATGCGAATTGCACAATGATTTGCTGGTAAGTGACACGAATAGACAGAGACATATATATATTGCCCGAGCGCCTGATGCGGGCATCGGCAACGTTCCCGCGATGGCGGTTTGCCGCAACATTTGCGCAGGCGTTAAGTCTGAACACCCAAACTAAGTTAATGTTATGCAATCCCTTTCTCTCCTTTACGTTCCCAATTACAAATATTAACATGCCGAAATGAAAGAAATTTCACCACTTAGTGGCTCGGAATCCATCCTGAGTTGGGGTGACGAGGCCAACCACGCTGGCACACTGTGGATTAACTTCACACATATCTTTGAATTTCTTCTCAAATATGTGTAGGTTGCATCACGGTTATTTCCTTCATCGTAAGAACGTCGTATACATGTACATAAATTGAAAATCGAAAAAAAAATTGGTAAATGCGGGATTCAAACCTTGTACTTGCATATTGCAAGTCAAGTGTATAACCCCCGAGTCACAGATCCTCTCATTTCTTTACTTGTTTAAAAATCCAATCAAGTATTCTCTCGAATAATTCGTGCTTCTGAGTTGTAATATGTGAATAATTCAAAAAGTTTCTTATTTTCAGCTGTGTCAAACACTTTACCGTGTCCTCTGCCGTGACAACTTTATAGTAAACAAAGAGAGTGTTGCAAAAGAATCGCCGCTAAACAGACCATCAGCTTTGTACCGTGTTGTCAGTGCGCAAAATATTACAAACAGCCGCTTAGAGTTAGTAAGATGGCGACCAACAACCACCACAGCGTCTACCAGTGCGTTTACTGTACGATCAGCTTCAGATTTAGCTTTATTGGTTTCCTCTCAAGCAACTCTACCACAACGACACAAGTTGCTCATCATTACGTCATATCCACCAATCGATGGGTTAAAGGAACTGGTTCAGAAATGGAGAAAAGATCGCAACCAGATTTACGTTGTTATGATTAATCATAAGTTCGCTGAAGACCAAAATATAGATCAGCTTCCTAATTTAGATTTGGTTTTTAACGTGCTGGATAATGTAAGTCACTTAGTGTGCAAGTTATTTCGTTTTTGCATCAAATTAATCCAATGTCAAAATCTATTTGTACCTCATTTGATTAAATTTAAAATGTTATTTTACAGGGACGATGGTGCGGCGAATTCACTGTTCCAATTGAACAGACACTTACCACAGCACACAATGTAACACTTCAAAGTTCTCGCATCGGAGATTTTAACTCTTTACAATGGGTAGAGATGCCCAATATCAAAGGACCCGGAGTTAAAGTTACTGTAGGTCTATACTTAAGTAAAATATTTTCTATCAATTTTGTAAAAATCAATGTTATTTAAATCTAATTTATTTTTTAGGTCCATTACGCTGGAATTAATAACACTGATGTTAAAAGATGTTTAGGAATAATCCCAAATGTTGGCAATGACAATTGTTTTGGAATGGACTTTAGTGGTGTGACTGAAAGGTAACAAATCATCAGATTTTGGTAATTAAATATTAGCAGATTAATTTTAACTTTACTAATATTTCTTATACCATTCCAACTAAGCTCTATGCTTGTGCTAGGATATGGTTTACAACAATAGTCGAATGGCAGGATTCGAACCCCCGACCTCGTGGTCGGAAATCCGTATCCTTAACCATTAGGCTTTTGACGTTTATGTCATTGTGTTGTCATTGTCAGGATTGAAATATCAAAAGAGTAATATAACCGTTAACAGCTGCATTTGTTACTGATATAATTAAGAATGTGTATTACCAGTGGTGAGCGTGTGATGGGTGTACTGCCGTCCGGCGCTATCAGCTCGCAAGTGCTTGCGGATCCCAATCTACTATGGCCGGTGCCAGACCACTGGACATTGGAGGAGGCGGCTACCGTACCACTGGCTTACTCATTCGCTCTCTACTGTATTGTAAGTTTATAGCAATATATAATATTATACATTTCTACCGACATATTATAGAATATGCTGGTAGCACCCAAAACACTGGCTCCGTAATGCACGCGACAGACGTCTGGTCTAGCTGATATTTAACTCCGACTCAATGCTCAAACAATGTCCCCAACACCGCCACATACATGCAGTTCCGATTTATTGGCTTTGCGAGAACTATTGCATTGAAATCCAAATTGAAGTAATACGGTTCTTATGGATATTGTCCTAGTTTTTGGCTGCCATAAAGTTTGGTTTTCTACAGTCCAGCAAACCAATTCTTAACAAATATGTTCCAGGGTATCAAAGTCTTGCTAAACTCTAACATGACAGTGTTAGTACACGGAGGTGCGGGTGCGCTTGGTCAGGCTGTTATATCCATAGCCTTGGCCAACGGGTGCAATGTCTTCACTACAGTTAGTGACATCGGCAAGAAACGATTCCTTTGTAAAATGTTCCCACAACTTAAAGGTAAGAACAAAAACGTTGTAAACTCATTTTCTTTAAGAATTTCAAATCATATTAGTTCGCTTTAGGAGTGTTGTAAGGATGTGTACTAAAAGATAAGACAATACAAAACAAAACTCATTGTATATTTAAACTATCTGTCGCACGCGATTCCATTCGCGCGGAATTAAAAAAAACTTAACAAGTACCCTATGTGATCTTTCGAGCTATGTTCTACATATATGCCTTAAACAAATATCCATCAATTCTTTTAGACATCCAAACATTTGCATATATAATATTAGTAAGATTAAAACTTAAATTAATTTAATTTGCAGAGAATCAAATCGGCAATTCGCGTGATCACACCTTTGCTGACATGGTACTGGCTGCCACTAATGGTGAAGGTTGCCATGTCACCATAAGCTGTGTAGCTGGAAGCCTTAAAAATGTGAGTAATTAGTGCAGTCAATTATCATCATATTCTTTTAATTGTTAAGACAACTCTGACTACAAAATAATTGGTCATTTCAACATACTAGCTGTCGACTGCGACTCTAATCGCGCGGTATTAAAAAAAACCTTATGTAGCCTATGTCGTCTTCCAGATTATGTTCTACATCTATGTCAAATTTCAGTGAGAACCATAGTGCCATTCCCGAGATGAATTTGCATTTATAATATTAGTAATATGTAACTTGTAATGCAGAGTAAATAAAATAATCAGAACTTTATTTTGTAGACCAAGAATCACTTCTTAATGATAAAGAATCAATCATACCTACATTCATCATCATCAGCTCACTGTACGTCCCCACCGAGGGGCTCGGAGCCTACCCTAAGTTCAGGGTGATTAGGCCATAGTCAACCACGCTTGCCAACTGCGGGTTGGTTGACTTCACACGTATCTTTGAATTTCTTCTCAGATATGTGCAGGTTGCATCACGATGTTTTCCTTCACCGTAAGAACGTCGGATAAATGTACATGTGTAAATCGGAAATCGAAAAACACATTGGTATATGGCGGGATTCGAACCCAGGACCTGCAGATTGCAAGTCAAGTGCTTGACCACTGAGCCACCGATGCTCACCTACTATATTAACTTTAATTAATCTAGACTTTTTATTTCACAGGCAACACTCAACTGCTTGGGTCTTTGCGGTATTCATTTTGATACGATTCAAATTACTACGCGTGCCAATTTCTCGTATGGCATGTTCAACTTGACGAAAGAGAGGTCATACATGGCCGTTGACTTTGCACATGCTTTGAGGGAAGGAAACCTGAGTGAAATCTCTGTAAGTTAAATCATTTATAAAAAATCATTACACGAACGACCATAACTTTAACTTTCTATTATCTCTATACATGTACCAATTTTTTTATTTTCAATAATATAGTAACTTTACCTCTTATAAGTGTTTTAACTATGCTCTAGATTTATTTTACATCGTATAATCTCTAGTCTCAATCGTCTACTGGCGACGCCTAACGAAGCTACGAAAAATAGACAATTTCTTACTTTGGGCTCATTTTCAAATGTCGTAACACATATTGCTATCTCTGTTACCTAAAAAAAGAATGAAAGAGATGCCGATAAAATAGTAAGAAGTTCACCGCTTGTTACAGAATCTGCAGTTAATGTTAGCTGAAGGTATTAAGCGAGGCTACGTACGGCCATTGTCTCGTGTTGTATACAGTCCTTCGGAGGTGCCGCGTGCCTTCCGTCTGTTGGCGGAAAGTCGTCACCGCGGCCGTGTCTTGATACAGCTGCAAGGACACCAAGATGCTCTCACACTGAAGACAGAACCAAGGTAGTAACACTGTTGGAATAAAGTCTTATTGCCGAGAAAAATGTTAACTTTTAATATGTAATCCACAATTAGGGGTTCCTTTTGCGATTCCTTAACTGAGTTCAGCACTTAAAATACACTTTTTCTGTGGATTTTTTTGGCACTATAGTTACTCCGTTCAAGTACTTCTTTATAAATGTTGAAAGTATGTAGCTGGATTTATGAATCTGTTTATGTAGAAAAATCACTCCAATAAAAACCAAGTGCGCCTACCAAAATATATTAGCTAATTTCCGTTGCGACACAATTGTTTAAGGGATTTTATAAAAAGTTAAAAACTGTAATATACAAACTATCGTTTGTAGTTAATGTATCTTCTTTGTTTTAGATTAAACTGTTCTCCTGATTTAAGCCATTTAATTATGTGCAACAATAACTACTTTGGATTAAGAATCGCAGAAAGACTAGTCCTGCGCGGCGCGAGAAAGATATATTTACATTCTTTGAAACCATCTGGGCGTCTTGATTTCGAAATAAGGTAAGAAATTATAATGGCATTTATTTTAAATATTTTAACGTAATGCACTAATGTCTATTTTTACACAAATTACAGGTCCCTTGAACAACAGGGTGTGAAAGTTGTACTCTCCAACGAAGTGTTAAATACTAGTAGTGATTTGAATTCATTGTTAGCTAATTGTACAAATCTAAGTACTATAGAAAGTGTCTACGTTGTCGCTGTTGACAAATATGAAGAACAATTCAATTTAATTCAAGAGTTAGATATGGCTACAAGAAAACTTAGCCCGGCTCTTAGGTAAGATATAAAAAAATGTGTGTTACATGTTTTACAAAATTATTTAATCTTAATGAGAATAACCATAGACAAAGCAAAAATCGTTTATAAAATCGATTTTTTTATAATCGGATAACACGATTATGATTAATTGATTCACATCCCTAATTACGTTTCATTATAGTACGATAAAATGTTCGCATTAAAGTACTGAGATGATAAAATTTTTGGTTTTAATGTTTCCGCAACGGATTACTATGGTTATATTGTTAAAATTATTATAACTTGTTACAGGTACTTTGCAGTTATTAACGGTGCTAAAGATTATGGAGTTCAAAGCTGCCTTTCAAGAGTGCAAGAAAGATTGCCAGCAACCTTGATAAAAATACCATCACTAAATAAGGTATTTTTATAATCTGAAGTTGATTTTAAGTTTTACTCTGGCGATAATAGATGGCGTTAGTGATATAATGAATGTCGCTATTAAGTTTCAAATAGTTCAAAATTAACATTTTTTATTTATTATTGTTTTAAGTTATTTGTCATAGATTTTTTGGTTACGTTTTATGCTCATCTTTAAATTCTTGATTTTTTTAGATGGATAAACAGGGCTTGAAATCCGAAGAAGAATTGACCGAAATAGACGCCGTGAACGTATTTGAACGTAGCCTTAGATCTAATGAGGCTGTTTTGATCGCAAACACACGCGCAATGCAGCCACAATCACTTCTGGAACAAATTGCGTGCCTGGCTGGTAAGATTACTTTGTAAAGACACGAATTGTTTAATTTTTATATTATTATACTATTTACTAATATTATAAATGCGAATGTTTAGACGGATGTATGTTTGAAGGTATCTCCGGAACGGATCTCGCTGAAATTGGGCATAGATATAGAGGATAGTCTGAAAAAACACATAGCCTACTTTTAAAGTTTGTTTTTAATTCCGCGCTGGCGGAGTCGCGGGCGACAGCTACTTTAATAATGAATTTAATATAAGCTGCCAGTTATCGTGGATTCCATTCAAAAATACTGGCACAAAAACACACATTTTTTTTTTCAAATAAATATTTTATGTGCCAGGAATTGAGATACCCAAAGACGTTGCAGAAGAAGCTACTTTATCAGATCTAGACTTCGATCACGACAAGTCAGCAAACGTAACCACGTACTTACGTGATGTACACAACATTTCACTGTTAGAAGAACACATTCCTTATTTGACAGTGCAAAAGTATGTATTTTTGATTAAACTAATCTTACTTATATTATAAATGCGAAAGTTCAAAGTTGTTTGTCATATATGTAGAGCACGAAGGATACATACTTACTTATTTAATAATAAAGATGCTACTATCTGTGTTAATTATCTCGCCTGGAATGAAGGTTACGGAAGGAGACCAAGAGCTATAGTCACCCGCCTTCTAGGTGGACGGCGGGTAGTCATTAAATGGGGAAGGTACCACATACTGTGGAAAGCAGAAGACTTATGTCGAATAGACCAAGCAAAGGCTTGTGATGTTGACGATGAGTGAATATGTTGAAAGTTGTGATAAAAAATAGCGTAACTATTTGATCCACTTTTTGCAGAATACGTGAAATAGAAGAATCAATGAGAGACATAGAATTCGAAGAAACCAAAGGTTTAGCTACATTCTATTCAGATGTGGATACTGATGAACTTCAAGTGACCACTGAAATGGTGTTTTTGCCGACACTAGCTAGTAATTCTGCTATGGTAAGGTCTTATCATCGTTAACCTGATAAACAAAAGGCTAATGTTACTTCTTGTACGATTTGATTGATAGTTAAAATTTAGGTGTCATCTGATTCTTATATTTTTCCATAGAGTTAAGTCGACATTTTAAAATGCTTTATTATTGCAGCGTGACGATGAATTCGATGCTACCCAGACATACTTATGTATAATACCTGGGTTGGAGGGTAACCGTGAACGTTTCCGTTTACTTTGCGAACGAATCAAGCTGCCAGCTGTGATCTTGCAGCCCGGTCTCGACCGGCCAGACGAAACAGTGTCTAATCTTGCTAAAAGATATGCAGAGGTAATATTAATCCATATTAAAATAACATCATTATCATCATCATCAGCTCACTTTACGTCCCCACCGAGGGGCTCAGAGCCTACCCTATGTTAGGGGTGACTAGGCCATAGTCAACCACGCTGGCCAAGTGCGGGTTGACTTCACACATATCTTTGAATTTCTTTTCACATATGTGCGATGGTTTCCTTCACCGTAAAATTACATAATTTTATTTAATTAATCGTTTTTTTTAACAGACGCTCTTGAAAAAAACCGCACTGAAACGTAACTTTTACCTTTTGGGATATGAAAGCGGTATCCTGGTGGCACTGGAAATAGCTGCTATTTTAGAAGATCATGGTAAATTAACTCTTTTCGCTAGTATTTAAGAAAATATCAGTCCTTCTTTCTTTTTTTCTTCTAATTTATATCCATAATTGGACATTGGCCGTCAGCTCAATGAACCCATCCCTGTCCTGTGTAAAACGAAAAAGTGGTCCATTCCCGGATGTTTCTCTCTGAGGATTTTTAAAGAAGAAAAGTATATCACAAAGTATATCCAAATCCAAACGACAGTCCCTTCAATCTTATCTTACTTCTTACTAATATTATAAAGGCATATTGGATGGGTAGATGGATGGATGTTTGTGTGATGGTATCTAGTGAACGGCTACATGGATCTTGCTGCAATTTGGCATAGATGTAGAACATAGTCTGAAAAAACACATAACATACTTTTAAGTTTGTTTTTAATTCCGCGAGGACGGTGTCGCGGGTGACAGCTAGTACTATATATACGTAAAAAAACTTTACTTCGATAAACACACAATTACTTAGAAATAAATTCATTATGATTTCCAGGATTGACTGGTACTGTCTTCTGCATCGGAGCATCACCTGACGAATTACAAGTAAACATTGCAGAACATCTTAAAGAATACGATACCGATGAAGCATTAAGAATGGCCGTAGCTAGACATATGTTCAGTTTGATGGTTGGCGGAAGCACTGATGGATTTGAAAAGGCTATAACAGGTGCTTTCACTTGGAAAGAAAAAATAGAAGCTTGTGCCCGCTCTATTATTGGCAAGGTGTCTCATTCAGCTCAATATACTAAAGAAATGATAGATTGCGCTTATAAAAGGATTAAACAAATCCAAGAACATAAGCCAACACCAAGAACGCTACGTTCAAAGATAATTTTACTTCGTGCTGCTTCTGTGGGTAATAATGATCAGTCCTTGCAGAATTATTCCAAGCAACCGATCACTGTATACGAGCTGTCTGCACCGTTAGCTCATTCCGCTAAGGATTTACGTTGTTCATCGATAATCAACAATCATCTAGATGCTGAATTACTTGAGGAGTTCGAGAAGAAGAATCTCTGCGATACTTACTTGCTCAATGCGGATACATTTATGACTACTTCTAATGAAAATTAGAACTTTGAAGAAAATTCGTGAAAAATAAACAATTTAATCTTAATATTTATTAAACAGCTTATATTATTATGTACTTTCTTTAATAAATTGGTCTTTGAAAATTTGTTTTTTTTTTCTTAACTAACATTACAAAAACAAGATAACACATTTTATTTTTAGTCTGTGGAAATATTTAGCCATCGCTATCTAACTCTAGGAGACGCAATACTATCAACATATTATAATTAAATAAAAAACATTTTAAATCAACGGATTTTTTCATTCATAAATAACCTTACCTTTAAACAACCATCCATCCAAACATTCGTATTTATAATATTAGTAAGATATATTAGAAAAGATTATGCAATAAATGGTTATCTCTGAATCAGTTATTCTATCCGCTATCCCTGCTAGTGTTGTGTTTTGCACATATAATTTAAGCTAAAAATTAATTTATGTTAGGAAATAATATTTTAATAAATGTCAAGCTATTATTTGCCCCAGTGTTAAGATGTTATTTTCGATAAGTACCCGCAACTTTATCAGCGTACTTTTAAATAATAGCCTATGTTACCCTCGCATCCATACTGTCCATAAAAAGTATATTCAAAATCAGTCAAGCCGTTTCAGAGAACCTTCTTTTTCCAGTGCCTCTTCAGTCTTAAAGATACGCCGCTAATTTAGAATTTCAGAGATTGTACGAAGCGAAGGCGGATTTGCGGACAGACAAAACTAATTGTTTTTCGTTAGTAACGCAAATTGATTTTCATGTGTACCAAATTTGTTTTTTTTATCAGAGTTCCGTTTTCACAGTGACTTTGAGAGTGAATGTTCGGTGTGGAAATTTTACGCATCGAATCGAAATTTTATTTTTCGTAACGTCCATCACTATTATTTTAGTCTATGGTCCATGCATTTGAAGTTGACGTTTCGATTTCAACTCAATTTTGATGTCACAGTTGTCGTGTTGGATTAAAAGATCAATGTGAAACAAACGTGGAATTATTTATTTAATGTGAAAAATCATTTTCCTTAATTAAAAAAGTATTTATAAGTGTACACATAAAGTTAATATAAATATGCCTAACATCGAGGGTTTGTCCCTTAGTAAGTTTGATATTCAAATTTTATGAATAACCCTAACATATTGAATCAATACTTCAAGTTTTAATCTAACGTGTTTATAAAAATTCGTAATAAAGTCTGAATAAAATTAAAATTACAGCCGAACTTTATACGTCGGAGAAAAAAGGTAATGACGAAACAGGAGATGGGTCGCGAGAAAAACCATTTAAAACTATTCTTCAGGCGATGAGGCATGCAGGAAAAGAGCCCTTCCCAGCTATCTACGTCGATAGTAAAGACGAGAATACCGAATACGACATCGCCGCTAAATCTCAATTGAAAAAGATACAAAAGATTTGGGTAAGAGAAAACTATAAAGCTGCTGACAAAGCTAAAGCTGAAGAAGAAAGTCATGAAAAGAGGCTTCAAAATTTAGAAGAGGCGAAAAAAATCGTGATTACAAAAGACGAAACTCTTCCAGAGCCGAAAACCGTGAAAATAGTTGAAGGTAAGTTTTAATATAATTCAAAATGATTACAAACATTTATACTTTTGCCTTCAGAATTGAAGCTTGTTTATAATTGGGAGATATATCTATATTAGTAAAATATTATGCAGAATATATACTATATCAATGAAAAAATTTCAATAAGCAGATTTTATTAACAATCTTTTTAGTTAATTATCATCTTTAATGAATAAATTATTAAAAAAATAAATAATTTTAAATAAAAATGATTGCATGCATACTCTTCTAGGATGATGCAATACTGCAGTGCAGTGGCACAAGACTGTCATAGATCATAGAGGTTAAATATTTGTTGGGATTTCCAATCCATGCAGTGTAACTATTTTATAAATATTATTGCCAAACTGAATAATTAAAAAATATTCTTCTGTATTTATTTATTCACTAGAAGTACTGTCTTCACAGAATTAAAAAAAACATAATTAGTAGCCTATGTGTTCTTCCAGGATATATTATACATCTGCCAAATTTCATAGAGATCTGTTGAGCTGTTTTGAAGATACCTTCAAATAAAAATCCATCCAAACATTCCCATTTATAATATTAGTAAGATTTATTTCATGGAAGACCAACAGCTATTTTTACAAATTAAGTATAACAATATTTAGTATACATATATCCAAATTTTAAAACATGATTACCCACAGCTGGTGAGCACCGAGGTGAACGTCTATGCATCAAAGGCTGGGTACACCGATTGAGGAGACAGGGTCGTGCCCTAGCCTTCCTCTCACTCCGAGACGGGACTGGGTTCCTGCAATGTGTACTCCAAGGTGTTCTTTGCCAAACATATAATGCATTAGTTCTGTCTACTGAGTCATCTGTGATTCTTTACGGGAAGCTTAGACCAGTGCTTGAAGGAAAGACTGTAAGTATTGTTTTTTGTAAACTAAACTAGCTCTCGCCCATGACTCCGTCGGCGCGGGATTAAAAACTTAATAAGCAACTTATGTATTCTTCCAGACTATGTTCTACAACTATGCCAAATTTCAGCGAAATCTGTTGAGTCATTCCAGGGATACATTCATACATCCATCCATTTATATAAATATTCACATTTATAACATTAGTAAGATATAAAAATAGTTAAATATTACCAAATGACTTTGTTTATTTAGGCTCCCGGTGGACATGAATTAGTTGTTGACTACTGGGAGCTTATCGGGCTCGCTCCACCTGGGGGTGCTGACTCAATACTTAATGAGGAAGCGTTGCCTGATGTGCAGCTGGATAACAGGTAATTTTTATCTTGTAAGAAATAATTTAATCATGAAAATATAAAACTTGAAGTAAAAATTGCAACTTGATTCTGCACTTTCTAGTTAACTATCCCATTTAAAAATTAAAATAATAAAATTCCTTGTTTAAAGAATAACGTAATTAACTACTAGTTTTTTAATGATTTTACTCAGAGTATCGCACATTAAAGTCAATGAGCCGTTAGGTACTCTTTTAGTGTAGCCTTTAAAATCATTCCAGCCGTTCCGGAGTATACCTGGAACAAACGCAGCCTTCAATAGACAAAAAATAAATTCGACATTACGTACAAACTCTCCAATTCTATTTATGTATAATGTATACTAAAAGTTGCCCTTAGTGATTATTTAACAAATCTATCAATATGTTTAACCCAGGCACATAATGATTCGCGGTGAGAACACATCGAAAGTACTGCGTGCGCGTGCGCTGGTGACGCGCGCATTCCGCGAACACTTCGCCGCGCGTCGCTACACAGAAGTGACACCGCCTACATTGGTGCAGACTCAGTGCGAAGGTGGCAGTACTCTGTTCAAGTTCAGCTATTTTGGGTGAGATTTTAATATGTTTTAATGAATTAACTTTAGAATGAGTTGACACGTAGGATACAGAAGTATCGGTGTTCCAGACGTGCCAACAAATGATGTGGTCAAGAAGTAAGTGCTAAGTCTGGGCACTCCTAACTTAGGGTAGGCTCCGAGCCCCTCAGTGAGGATGTGTTGGGAGCTGATGATTGATTGATTATAATATGTTTTTTATCAACAGTGAAGAAGCATTCCTTACTCAGAGTTCGCAGTTGTACTTAGAGTCGTGTATAGCAGCGCTGGGCGATGTCTACTGCATTTCGCAATCGTATCGAGCAGAGCAGTCTCGCACTAGGCGACATCTAGCGGAGTAAGTACAGCCTGTTTGTTGTTTTGATTTCACCAATAGATGGCGCTTATCTTAGTTTTCATTTTGAAAGTAAATTAAATAATTTAGCTTATTATTTTCTTAGTAAATTTAAGCAATAAATATGTTAAGTCGTTTTTATAAGTGTAACTCTTTTGTGACTAATTTAGTATTCAAATATCTTATCTTAACGCTTGTTTGGTTAAAATAAGGGAAATTTACAAAGTTAGATTTGCATACCTTTGACAGCCATAATCTAAAGAGGAAGTGAACGGCAGTGTTTACAACTCATAATAGTTTTCCGCTTTGGCATCTTGGTATTTGGGTCACTTTTATATTCTAATATAACTCATTGTAACCAATGCTTGTTTCACAGATACAGTCACGTAGAAGCTGAATGCCCTTTTATAAGTTTCGATGATCTGCTGAACCGGCTTGAAGACCTAGTCGTGGATGTGGTGGATCGCGTCCTTGCCTCGCCAGAGGCACATCTTGTATATGAACTTAACCCTAACTTTAAGGTAGAATTAGTAAATGTTACATCTTTAGCATAAGAAGAAAAAATTAGTGCTACCGCCTACTTTCAATTCGTTTGCGACGAACGAAAAAGGCGAAAATAGTTGTGTACTAGCTGCCGCCCGCGATTCCTTTCGCGAGAAATTACGAAAAACTCAATTAGTACCCTACATGTTCTTCCAGGCTATGTTCTACATCTATGTCAAATTGCATCGAGATCTGTTGAGTTACCTTCTAACAAACATCTATCCATCCATCCATCCAACTTTCTTTCGTATTTATGATATAAGTAAGATAACTTAAATTAATACGAATAATAATTTCAGCGACCTCAAAAACCTTTCAAGAGGATGTTGTACTCGGAGGCTATAGAGTATCTTCGCGAACACAACATCACTAAGGAAGATGGCTCTTTTTACGAATACGGAGAAGTAAGTTAAATTGTAAAAAATAAACGAACATGTATTCACACTTGCTATATTCAATTAAGAACAACGACATCTAGTTTCATTTTTATGTAGTTGTAAGTTTGATGACAGCGCCATCTAGTTTTAATTTGATTTACTTATTCCAGGATATCCCAGAAATGCCGGAGCGTAAGATGACTGATGCCATCGGAGTTCCGATACTGTTGTGCAAGTTCCCAGCAGCTATCAAATCTTTCTACATGGCCAAGAGCCCTGAAGACCGTCGCCTGACTGACTCCGTGGACCTGCTAATGCCAGGAGTTGGAGAAATTATTGGAGGCTCCCTCAGGATCTGGGATTACGATGAACTTATGTCAGGTGAGAAAATCAGATTCATATTACTAAAGAATTGTATAAAATGAAAGGAAAGGGATGAAATTTTCTCAAAATGACCGCGAGTTTTTGTGTCTTCATTTTGGTAAATTAATGTTTAAAACGGTTCTTTAATTGCAGTTTACAAAGGTGAGGGCATTGACCCCAGCCCTTACTATTGGTACACGGACCAGAGGAAATTCGGTACTGTACCACACGGCGGGTACGGATTGGGTTTGGAGAGATTCTTGTGTTGGTTGCTTGACCGCTACCACATCAGGGAGGTCTGCCTCTACCCGCGCTTCCTCGAAAGATGTACCCCTTAACCAGTTTAACTTGACCCTTGCTGCATTTTACTTGCATTTGTTGTTTTTACTTACAAAAACCAGTTATCAAGCGTTTTTAAAGCTTATGTAAGCTTAATAAAGTTTATTTCGTGACTCGATTGTGTGTTTTATTTCATTCAATATAGTAAATTTTATTTTGAAAAGTTACTTGATCAAAAAATCTTACTAATATTATGAATGCGAAAGTTTAGATGGATGGATGTTTGTTTAAAGGAATCTCCAGAACGGCTTCAACAGCTTATGATGAAATCTGGCACAAAGTCGCAGGCGACATCTAGTGTAATAATAAATGAAACAGTTCATCAATTTTATATCAATTTATTACAAAATTACTAAAACTATAATGAAGAAATGCATTTCTTTGACTTTTAATTATTCTACGGAGTAAGGAGTATTCTTTTACACTGACAGCTGTCAAAATGTCATGACATGGCGGGAAAATATGGTCTATGAGTGTTAAAGTCAATGTAATGTTACCATAATAGTAACTTTGTAAATAGTTTTAAAATATTTCAGTCATAGTGTAATTTTCTATGGCAACCATTCTGCATCGTCATCGGGTTTAGCGGAGAGTCGGTTTGGGGAGGCCAAATGCATGTTTGGTGTCTCAGTGAGGTCTTCTTTGCTATCAGTCACTTTGTGGTACACTTTCTTGCCAGCTTCCACTACGTATTCCACACCATCCGCTAAAAATAAGAATTAAACAATTTATATGCGTCGTTTTATCTTGAAAATCGATTGTTTACTGGGAAAATACTTGCGGCATCTAAGTGTCTTTACTGCATATTTGCTATTTAAATCTTGCAGGCGCCGACCAAACAAAACATTAAATTATTTAACGGGGTTTTAGCATCAAAAAACTTAAAACTAATTGAAAAGCGCTTTTTGCTGAACTTTACTAAGTGTATATAAATCTAAGATACTGACCAATAACACCGCCAGTTTTCCTTACAACATGTCCGATGTTGTGCGTGGAGAATGTGTCTGGGTTAATGTTGATATCAACGCCGTCTGTGGCGCCGTTGGGTCGGCCCGGGCACTCCGACTGCGAGATAATCGACAGATCGTATGGATCTACACCGAAAGACGCCAGCTTCAACCGCATCTGCAAGTTAAATAATATTTTAACAATTTAATCCTAAATTAATGAAGATTAATGAGAACAAATATTGTGATTAAATTTGTATAAATTGAAGGAGATAAAAGAAACATCTACAAACCCTTTTGACTACGGGAAAAAAAAAGAAGTGAGTCGTACCTTATCAACAAATATTTTATCTAGCTCCTTGGTGCGCGAAAGTATGGTGGCAGAACGTCTGTGAGCGAAAGCCAACTTCTGACAAGTGAATATTGCTGCGTACTGGTCATAATCAGTCGCCAGTATGGTATAACTTGCTGAACCAGCGACGCCTGGAGAGAAAAAATAGTTACAATTAATTTTACGGAATTGCTACTAATAAACCTGAAGGTGCATTGTCTTGTTTCTCCAACAAACTTTAATTGTACCACTTTTAAACTGTCCTAAAAAACTTTACGCTTGTTATATTGTAGAGACTGTCGTTCTCAAACCCATTTCACATAAGATACTCACTTAAAGGAAAGCGCACTTTCATTCTGGCCGGCACTGCTGGGTCAGGGACAGTAAGAACTCCTTTATATCTGCAAAAATGTACTTAATTAGAATAAAGAAAGTATATCTCTGTACAGTAATAGTACAGAGATATACGATTATGGGTTAGATAATTCGTCACAAAAATCGACATTTTAAAAACGTCAAACACAAACAAACAAACAGACCGACAAACAGAAAAACGATCGGAATTTGCTTTTTATTTGATTATTCAGAATAACCTTTAATATAAACGAAAGCGGCTCACTTACAATCATGTCTAAAAACTAAGGCACCTACTACACAGTTCGCGTTCGCGAAAAAGGACTATGTGCAAGTCGGTTTCATAGGACTGACTACGACTCCGTTCGCGTGGAATTAAAAAAAACTCATTAGTAGCCTATGCTACTATTCTGTAGACACCTTCTAACATCCATCCATCAAAACATTCGCATTTATAATATTAGTAATATACCTGTAGTCATGGTCGAGTGGTGTCAATCCTAAGATGAAATGCTGCGAGACCTGTTCTATCTCGAATGTACCTGGCTCCGGCGTCCTCGTGAAGTTATAAGTGATACAATGAGACGCAGTTGATGTCTTCTGTATCACGTACCACACGCCGAGCATCTGATGAAAAATTATTAACACACACGATTCATATGATAGCACATATATGCATAGCACGCGTTATTTAAGTTTGCACGTTGGGATCTTTAAGATTCTTGTGTCCGACGTGCCAACTCAATATCCATCTACTATTCAATGAAGGTCCGAAAAAAATAGAGGTCAATTTTATTTTTATTACTTATACTTTTTATACTAATATGACACGGTTATTGAATGACAGCTAGTTATATTACATTGACCTACAATAATTTGAATTCTTATGATTGTCTTTGATTGTAATCCGACTTCATTTACATAAAAATTGAAGAGCTGGCTAAATCTAAAAATTTTGAAATTAACTACGAGAAGATCACACCGAGAATAAAATAAGAAAAAGTCGGTATATGTAATAACAAGCTTAACGTTAATCAATAATAATATTATCAAGTATCTTGCAAAATTTAGTTAAATTAATTAATTTAATTATTACTGGAAGAAAGAAAGCGCTTTTGTCATTTATCAGTCGACTGAATCACCACACGAGTCATGTAGATAATAAGTCCGTTGCATTGAGTTACATATGTGAATCACTTCATTGTTCACTTCAACCTATTTCATACACATTCATACATTGTGTAACAAGTTTCAAATACATAATATAATATGTTAAATATACATAGAAACTATATTTAAAAAATGCATAATTTTTTTTTATATTACACGGTGACAAACGAGCAAGCGGCATAGAAATCCACAATTGTAGATGCGTTGCCTACATTAAATCGACGGCGGAAAAGACGCAAAGGGAGAAAAAAATTGTCACATCTTCGATCAAAGCCCCATCCCCATCGCGCCCTTTTGCCATGCGTAAAGAGGACTAAAATTAGGTTATTACTGCCACTTGACACCTATCTTCTGTGTGGTCGTGATATTGCTCCGGACAAGCCAGCCAATTCGTGCAACAAGTATTGTTGCTTGCGGCTACCACTGAAAATAGTCTGTGTCAACAACAATAAAGGAATAAAATCGACATCACATTACTATCCTGTCTATTGAGCCAGACGCTTATGCCGCGTATAAAATAACAGTAGACACATTCTATGTATATGGTTATAAACAGAAATATCTTATCAGAAGTCAAGGGTTAATTCATTTGTTGATATCGACCATAGATCGAATAATCATAATAGTGAAGGAAGATTAAACATTTGTTGCAACAGCTTACAAATTATCTGGACGCACATTTTTACGTTAATCGTTAGAGAATTATAACATTCTATTTCCAATTCCTTTAATAATCTTGTTACATTTTATTTTAGTATACCTCCAAAATACAGCTTTATTCTAAAAACTATTTATTGCAAAAGTAAATTTTCTCTATTCATATCCTCGTAAATCCTGTTCGTAATAACGAAACAAAATAGTACACCTAGTTATGTAAAAAACAAGATTTTTGAATGAAACTACAAGACTACTAACCTTGTTCATCTCAAAGCCAGACATAGGTTCCACGATGGGACATGCTCCTAAATGATAAGTGTGGCCAATTGCACTGCCAGTAAATGCCAACAATAAACCAAACACCGTCAACCGATGCATTTTTAAAATATAAAATAAAAACTACACGAATACAACCTCTACGGAGCGCGATCTGTCGCGTACTGGCCGGTATGACAGCTATTTACAATTTAAATAACAAATGAACGCGTTTGTGAACACTGAACTTTGATTTGACATCGTCCGCCATGTTTAAGATGAACTAGTTTGAGTTCCATGAATTGTTTGTTTACCTAATAACTAATAGGGTTAAAGAAAGATTATATTACACTTCTTCCTTTACTTCGTTACTTCATAGAAACTCTTAAACAGTAGATATTAGGTCAATAAATGTAAAGACTAACTCTTCATTCAAAACTCTATAACTGTAAATAATTGAATGTGAATAATTAGGTAAAAAAAGAAGTCCTTTGCTCATTTTTTTATTACCTACATTTGATTAGAAAGTCGTTGTCATAGTCAATAAATAAAAAATGTTCTTTAGTCTCCACGTGAATAAAAATGTAAGATTTGACAGGGAATTAGCATAATTTTATAAAATACGTAAAATATAAAATTTAGGACATTCGATTGCAGCGGTGAAGCAAAACAAAAACACAAAAGCAGGTTTTAGCGCCATTTGCATTTTGGTGGAGGAAGTTATGTTTTAAAAAATATTATTTATACCTTATTGACTCAACTATACCATAAACCGTATTAGTAAATATTTTGGTTAATTCATTAATATTAACTCTTCGTTATCTGTTTACGTAAATATTAGTCAGCGGTAAACGTGATTTTGCGGTCGGAGTACAGAGTGACTCATGCGCACAGATGATTTCCTGCGAATGAAACAACGCTTCTCAGTACTACAGTTTACTGTATTCCACTGATTTTATTGTACCAAATGGCAAATAAGTCAGCGTCTATACATCATGTTCGCAAAATGTTATTTAATTACATACAGACATTCCAATTTTATTATTTTTTATTATAATCTATATATATATATATAAAAAAAAGAAAGTCGTGTTAGTTACACTATTTAAACCTCAAGAACGGCTTTACCAATATGGCTGAAAATTGGTGAAGGCGTAGCTTAGAGCCAGGAGACGGACATAGGGTACTATTTATTAACTTTTTTTTTCGAATTTATTCCTCGAAGAGCTGCTTTTTATATAGCTAGTCTTTTAAAAAAAAAGTGATTTTTTATTTAAACTTCCTGCCTCTCAAAATAAATTGCTTCGACTCCCAATTTCTTTTAAATCATAAATTAAATTGTTTAAGATTGAATTGACATAATTTTAATTAAAATTTCTCTTAACAATTTACTGTTCACATTATCTTGTTTGATAAAGGCAAACTTACCGATGTCGCATCGAGGTCAATAACCTAAACAATATTTTTAGGTTATTAGCTGTAATAATAATAAAATAATACGTTAAAGCCAAATAAAAAAAAACATAGAGACATTATAGTAGCGCTGGATCAAATGGTTTTGATCGTTGTATATCCCTTAATTCGACGTAATTTTTTGTAGCAAAAAAACTGTTTTTTTTTAGTAAAGTCATACTTACGTAATTTTCTCTAAGCTAGTTCAGTAGATTTTTTTTAATTAGTTGTTCGTCACACTGGACACCATAGAATTAAGGGTTAACATTTTGTCAATTTTTGTTACGTCATTAAAAGTTTGTTTTCAATGTAGACGTGAATCATAATGTATATTATTCATTGAACAATTCTTTTATTATTATTAAATAATATAAACACAAAAGTTGTTACATCGCAAGATGCGTCATACGATGTCGCTTAGCCCTGAACTAAACGAGTTACCCTAACGACATCTTCCTGTCATTATCTAATATAACTCCGCACTAGCCGTGTGTTTTCTACTGAATCAAATATACAAAAATATATATCTATCTCTGTTTTATGTAAAAGAATTAGTGAGATGACAATATGTTTAAACAGTGGACATTCACAGTAAACATGCAATTTTTGATGAACGGTTAGAACAGTCTGGCTATTCTTATTTATATCTCAAGCTCTTCTTTAAAGTCTGAAGCAAAGTTTTTTTTTGTGCAATATGATTTAATAGAGTTCACATCACAGTATTGACTGCCATTTTCCTCGTTTTTTTTACATTGTTTTTTCGTTTTAATTAGACGATATTTTCTTTACGTTTAGATATTAAACTAAAAATTGAAAATTATATATTATAAAATGTATAATAAGTGTCTAGATATCCATAAATTAAATTAAATATACAATAAAAACATATTAATTAACAAACAAATTGTTTGATTATTTGTTTTATTTCAATTTGGGCATAAACTGTTTGATTTATGACTAAAAAATAAAAAAAACATATTTTATAATTAAACTTAATAAATTACTTAACTTAAAGTACGTTTAATTGTTACTCAAACAGTAACTCAGTGTATATTTCCCATCAATCTATAGTAAGCTTAGTAAACCTTAAGCGTCTCTGAGTACGTCCGTTAGAGATTTTAAAAACAACAATATTGTTTTATAAAACGCAATAGAACTCCATCGTTGTAACAGATTTCGCTTCCAATTCTAAAACAGCTTTCTTCTTTCCACATCTCACGCTGACTATTCTTTTGTCGCCCCTGACACAAAAAATAAAATAAAAGGGTAAATAAACAGTTTGTTACCACTGCTAATATTTTGTATTAAACATTTTGTTGTCTCTGTTTTTTTGAAGAGAAAAAAAAGGATAACAACATGACCTTTCAGGCATATGTTTTGTCACGTTTAAAGAGAGCCGTCTTAACAATCAGTCTGGTGCCTAAAACCGTACCAGCCTAGCTCCCCCCAGAACCGAGTGGCCTTGCTCTTTGGGTTAAGACGGCTCTCTTCCAAGCTTCTATCTAAAGTTGACGACTTTAGATAGAAGCTTGGAAGCTTAGAACTGATTGCCAATGGCCACCCAGACATATGGTTTATTTTTCTGTAATATCTTTATATATATATAATTCTTCTGTGAGTGTGTATGTCACTGAACTTCTCTCAAACGACTGGACCGATTTTGATGAAATTTTTTGTGTGTGTTCAAGAGGATCTGGGAATGGTTTAGATTCAAAATTTTGAAACACACACACAGACGTGAACACACAAAGACGTGTAGAGGACAACGTCTGTCTGGTCCGCTAGTATAAATATATGAACCAAATACAAAAAAATCATATGCAACTAGGGTTAAGTTTGAACTTAAAATGAAGTCGTTCTCTAAATAGGACGTCGTCGACTTCTTGATACTTGAAATATATTTAAATAAATACTTACTCGTTAAATAGCACTAAAACTACAGTGCCATCAGGTGTAAGAAAACCGACATGTTTAACTGACCAAGAAAATAAGGGCTTTATTTCGTTCACTTCGATTCTTCTGGAGCCACGTTTGATAAATTTCGAAAAATGGCCCATAGCGTAGAACATTGGCTGTTTATAAAACTCGTTTTTGACTGCGTCTACTATAATAGGAGAGTCGACGTAGTTCTCTGACCAATTAGGTCCCCCACGCGTGTTCAAGCACAAGTTCCAGTCAATCCAGCCCACTACATTGTGATTTAAATCCTGAAAAATGACATAGAGCTTTATTTATTCACTAGCTATCGCCCGTGACTTCGTCCGCGCAGAATTAAAGAAGTTAATTAGTAGTTGTTCTTCAAGGCTATATCTTGTTCTATACAAAATTTTAGCGAGATCCATGCAGGCGTTCTGGAGGTACCTTCTAACATACATATCCATCCATCCATCCAAAGATTTGTATTTATAATATTAGTAAGATTTGTTAGACCATCAAAATATGACAAAAATAAATACCACACAAAAGATTATTTGTCTGCAAATGCGGTTGTCTATGAATAGTTTTTATAGACTTACTTCTAAGATGTCCGATATGTAAGTAACAGCTCTTTTCCAAGACCCTAGGTCCACTTTCTCAGTTTGCCAAGGAAAGCTTCCTACAATTATTCAATTCATTTTACATAGTATATGTCAAATAAAGCTAGAAAAATATTTAAACAAAGAAATATATAATATAAGGGTACCGTTTTTTTTCCTTTCAAGTTACGGAACCCTAAAAATTGATCAAGTTAATTACATTATGATGCCAGTTTATCGCCAGTCTTATTTAAATGCATGCAATGTATAGGCACATGTTATTTAAAAACAATACCTTCACAAGCTTCGGTCGCAAGTATAAATTTATCGGGATGACTATTTGATACAACATTTAATATTGACGCCGGCACCACTTTATCTGCATAAAAGTGTACACCAACACCATCTATGTACTCCAAAGCTTTAGGATTTGTACGGAGCATCTACAAAATTAGAAATAATTTTATTAATTCACAATAGCTTAAGGGCTAAGGGTAACAGATGATGTGGTTATGGGTTTGAATACCGCCAATCGACTATTGCCTGATAGCTGATGATGATGATGGATAAAGACGAGATAGCTTATTTTGTGTTGGAGGATTCGTACAAAGACTTCTATTGTAATTAATTTTCTTTTCACTTTTTATATTTGTGCAAATATTATGGATATAGGTAGGTACTCGTAAAAGCAGCGAAGAATGATTTATATGTATCAAAGCTCGATAAGTAACTTGATAAATAGTTATTATCTTTATGTAATTACTTAGGTAGAAGAGAGCGTCGGTGGCTCAGGGGTCAAGCACTTGACTTGCAATCTGCAAGACCTGGGTTCGAATCCCGCCATGTACCAATGTGTTTTTCGATTTCCGATTTACATATATACATTTATCCGATGTTCTTACGGTGAAGGAAAACATCGTGATGCAACCTGCACATATCTGAGAAGAAATTCAAAGATATGTGTGAAGTTAACCCTCACTGGGCTGGCATAGTCGACTATGGCCTAATCACCCTTAACTAAAGGGTAGGCTCTGAGCCCCTCGGTGGGGACGTATTGTGAGCTGATGATGATGAATTACTTAGATATCTTCCAAATTACTTACAACATTAAACCAAAAAGGTATGGTGAAGCGTTGATCATCACATGTTAGTATTTTCACATCTTTGAATTTGGAATTTCGTATCGTAGGCCCCAAATTTTTGACTATCCATTCTGCCTGGAATAACATTAAATTTAGTTTTATAAAAATTTAACTGATATGGAGAGATGTTGTATATGCGCTTGCACAGCGCTTGTTCCCGAACGAGCGGTGAAGTCCGCCGTTAGTGTGACAGCTACTTGAATAAACAGTCTGTGCTAAGCTAGCTATCGTTTTACTACTCCCAATACATAACATTAACTACTAAAATACTATGTGTTGTTCCAGACTGTGGTCTATATGTATACTAAATTTCGCATTTATAATATTAGTAACATAGTAAAAGAAGATAAGGTAAATTATATCATGAAGGGAATCGATACTATCTTAAACTTTATTTTCTTAACATTTTGATGTTAACTCTGATTTTTAAGGAAACAAAATAATTTCACTATTTGTTTAAATGATGAAGTTTGGATGTATGGATGGATGGATGTTTTTAGAAGGTATTATTGCAGAGCACAGTCTCGATAAACGCATAGACTACTAGTTAAGTTTTTTTTTTAAATTATGCACGGAAAGTCGCGATCGATAGTTAGTCCTTATAATGAATCACGTGTAGTTTTTTTTTACCATGTTGTCAATCGACCAGCCGAGCGTATTGAACCTGGCCAAACCAAAGAAACCATCAATCGGTTCGTTTGTAGTTGTTATCGCCCAAATACTTATACCCTGAGCTGCGTATTGCTCGATGAATCTATAAAAAGAAGAAAAACTTTAGTAAAAATATTACAAGTATCAAGATGTTTTAGTCTGTGCATCAAATTTGTAACTAGTGTCATAACCATTTGCTACATAAAATCTTACTAATATTATAAATGCGAATGTTTGGATGGATGGATTTTTGTTTGAAAGTATCTCCGAATTGGATTGATCTAGCTGAAATTTGGCATAGATATAGAACATAGTCTGGAAGAAAACATAGCCTACGCGTCGACAGTTAGTAGTTTCTTAACAGATAATAAAAATTTTAGATTTTTTTTACTTTAATATTTTTTTTAAATACTGCACTGAGGAAGTTACAGCATAGCACTAGTAATAAATAAATCTTTACTTGTAATGATACCAAGCATAAGTCTGGAAATATTCCTTCTTCAGTCTTCCGTAGCCGGAGATATTGTGGTTTGTCTTCATCCAGATTGGTGGAGACCAGGTGGTCGCTACTATATGTACTGGCGCTGTCGCCACACGGTTAATCGCTCTTATCATTGGAATCTAGAAAATAAATTTAGTATAATCTCATTAATCGGGCACTATTAAAACCGGAGGATGACCGAAGTTCGGATTACTGGATTATAATGAAAAAGTCTAAGGTAATGTAAATTTATTTTTATATTTAAAACAACTATTTCTAACGTTTACGAATAAATGTGAAAGTTTGATTGGGTAGATGAATGTTTGTTAAGACGTAACCAGAAAGCTTGAACAACTCTTGATGTTTGGAACTTTATAACATTCTGCAGTAGAGTGAAGTTTGCTCGTTTTTATTTTATTTGTTTACAATAGTTGTATTAGAAGTTATGTGGATACAAAGCTGTATAGTACCTTAAAATCAAAGTCCTCAGAAGTTAGGTTAAAGTTCAATAGATCGACGTCATTTTCTGGTTGTTCATTATAAGCGTACGCATGTGTGGAGAAATCACAGCCGCCAATGGGAACTCGGATCATATTGTATTCCAGACCTTTACTGCTGTAGTATGAACTGGAAAAAATATTAAATTCGTAAAAAAAAGTTTTTTTTTTTTAAATATTGACGTCAGACCTAATGGTGTGTCTTAATTACTAGATTTAACCCAAATTAAGTGTTATATAAAAAACGTTAATTAAAAAATATTGTTTATACTTTTATTAGTGTCAAAAAATTTGTTATATGTCCTATACCTATCTAACCTAACCTTACTTTCCTAATATTAGAAAATGAATCGCTAACATATCGTCATCTCTCTCAAACTTATTGAAATACAGAGACAACAATATCTAAATGTGTCTACATTGAAAAAAAAAATTATCTTTTGTTTTGCTATTAAAAATCTTTTTTTTTAAGAACGATACGGCACGCGTAGTTAATAATGTCCACTTCGTAAAATAAACATCGGATTTACAGATAAAACATGTATTCTATATTTTTTATTTGTATGTTTATTTTGTTAAAATAGTTTTTTTAGGTTATTTATCATAATAATTTTGGACTGTAATTTCAACGGAACATTGAAAAAAACTAGACGCAATTAGTTTCGTAACCGGTTTAAGAAAAGGTCCTCCAATTTTTATGTTTGTTACAACTTCGTTCTAGCGATATTAATGTTTTTCTGTTTAAAATCAATATCCTATTACTTTGAGGTACTTATTAAAAATCTTATGTATGTATTTTGTATAACACTAACTCTATAAGAGATTGTTGCATTTCTTCGGGCAAACTCTTCCAGTTGATGCTTGCTGCGTCGGTGACCGCGCCACCAAAACCCTCGACCATTTGGTACTTCGCCTTAGGGTTCACTACCAGAGATGCAGAACAGCATTTCGCTAAAAAATACCATAAATTATAGCTATGGAAAACTGTGGAAAAGACAATACGCGATTATATAAAGCCGTGATAACTTAATTCATTGGAATTTTAACTTACGATTCCAATCAGAGTCATGAAATACTCCAGATCCTTTTTTAAACCGCGAGCCTGCCTGGAATTAAAAAATAAAATTAACCATTATGATATGCACCCATAGATGGCAGCACAGTTCTTCGCTTATCATAACTCTATCATGTTTGAATGCCCTCCTATCTTCACGTATTTTCTTTTATAATTTATCTAAACGTTCTTCGGTCTTCTCGCACTCCTGTCCATCCATCTTCATCCTTATTACGTTCTAAATTTAAATGACAAAATTAATCAAATAAGTTAATATATTGCGTTATAACTAATAATGTCATACTATAACTAATATAGAAGGCCAGTTTTGAATTCATATGCCAAATAACTTGGTCTAAATTAAAAAGAAATGTGTAATGCTGACGATAGATGACAACCCTATCGATATTCTAACTAACGGTCCATTCAAGAACGGGACGGAGATGGTATTTTTATCACGAATAAAATTGAGCTTTATACGATCGAAAGAACGTCTCTTTATAAAGAGCAAGCGAAAAAAGACGAGAAAAGTAAAATTAAACTTTATTTCAATCGTATACGATTCAATTTATTTCGATTAAGCTACTCTACTCTCCGTCCAGGTCTTTGTGAACGGATCCTAAGGTCAATAAGGCGTTCTAGTTTTCGTTATATTAAAAAATGTTACCTCTGAAGATGTGTACGTTACGTAGCCGCCTTTAACTGGCTTTTCTCTGGTGAATTCATCGCAGTATGTCGTATTACATACACATATGATAGACCGGTCTTTTATTTGTCGAGCTGCACACGGCTTGTCTAAAATATTATCAAAATTAACAACAGAACGAGTAGAGTGCGCAGCTTTAGCTCACAGGAACTCCACCGAGCACACAAGACAGGCGTGAAGTAGAAAAAATCCCACGTTTGTCGGATCTGCGGCCCGGAGGAGGAATTTGTAGTCTTCTTCACCTGATAATATTCTATTAAAGTTGAGAAGGGGAAGTTTATTTGCCGGTAGAGTTGTATAGGAAAGGGTAATATCCTCTTTATGTACATCACCCTCTCTGGCCATTACAGCTAGGCTCTGCATTTACATTTGGTCATGTCTATGGGCAATGGTCAAAATTCATTGTAAAACTTTGACATATCAAAGTGATTGTTGTTCTTAACTGACTTCAAAAAGACACTTAACATTGGCCCAATCCGATGAGGGAGAGCCATAAACAAGAAACAGAACAGAACAGACTTCAAAAAGGAGGAGATTCTTAATTCGTCTGTTTATTTGTTTTATTTTGGTTCGTCGATAACTCCGCTCCTACTTGTTTGATTTTCATCATTCTTTTTTTTATTCGAAAAGTACTGTGTGTTATTTTTATTATATAGACTAATAAAAACTTGTATGAACAAGTAATCAATGAAAAAGTTCAATGTCTCCATAGTCATTATCTTCGTCGCACTAATTTATATTTTTTCGATATAAATATTCTTAACATTAATTATTTGTGATGATAAAACTTGTCTTTGGTTTCTAAAATATCAATTACATACATTGTAATGATTGAAAATAGAATTACGTAAAATTGGGAAATAGGTTGACTTATTTGGAAGACTACTAAAGTTCTTCAATTCTTTTACATAACATTATGTACGGAATTAAAAAAAAATATATAATTAGTAGCCTATGTGTTCTTGCACAACAAATAAAATTTCATCGATTTCCATGTAAACATTCTGGAGATACCTTCAAACATCCATCCATCCATCCATCTAAACATTTATAATTATAGTTAGATTTAGTAAGATAAGGGGACAAACGAGAGGGAACACTAAAGTGTTCATCGACTCCCATGGACATCTGCAATACCAGAGGAAGCGCAGATGCATTACCAGTCTTTGATGATACGCTCGCTTCTTACAATTATTTGCTACTAACTGTCGCCCGCGACTCCGTTCGCACGGGTTTTAAGAAACAAATTTAATAAGTAGCTTATATGTTCTTCCAGACTATGTTCTACATCTATGTCGAATTTCAACTAAATCCATGCAACCGTTCTGAGGATATCTTTTGTTTAAAGGTTTGTACATCCATCCATCCAAACATTCGCATTTATAATATTAGTTGGAATATATTTATAAATTGTTTAATATAGCCAGTATTGGAACAGGATGACTATTCTTTATTTATGTTTTATTAATTATATAAAAATAATTAACAACTTACCGGAGTCAATAACATTGATGTATGTAAATAAAATAAAACTTATAATAAACAATTTCATTATGCACCAGAGATAATTAAATTACAAAAACACCTAGAATCAACTGTCCAGTGACCACGACTGATTAACACTGACAGATGTCCCATAGACCATAGAACTCGCGAATTTTTTTGTTGAAGCTGAGAGAAGTATAACCATCTCTTTCTTACACATGCAAAATTTACAAGTGTTGTCGCATTCTGCAAATTATCTATTGTTTACTGTATCATGTATCGGGAATATACGGCTTCAAATGCTAACTTAACACGTTAAATGCCACCGAATTTCCAACGAATCCACTTAATAATACTTAAAAATGGTAGTGGCATTGAAAGTGTTAAATCAACATTTGAAAAAATTGTTAACTTGATTTTTAAGTAAGTTTACAGGATATTCGGACGAATTAAATACTGGTCAATGTTAAGAATAGATTTATTGACCCAAAAATACTTAAAAAACAAATAAAAAAACACAAGCCAATTTTTTATTTATTTTATACCAAATAATTATTGTTTATTTGGTGCCATCTTCATTCTGAAATTCGACGGTCGTTATAGATGAAGCCTCAAGTTCAACCAATGCCTCTTTGTCTCCTGAAGAAATGACAACACTCTTCGCGTCACCGCTGAAATTTTTCAGTTGATATTTATCTAACTACTAGCTGTCGCCCGCGACTCCGTCTTCGCAGAATTGAACAAAAAAAACTAATAAGTAGCCTCTGCGGTCTTCCAGAATATGTTCTACATTTGTGCCAAATTTCATCAAGATCCGTTGGGCCGTTCTGTATTTACCTTCTGACAATCCGCATCTTATATATATATATATATATATAAATAAAAGAAAGTCGTGTTAGTTACACTATTCATAACTCAAGAACGGCTTTACCGATATGGCTACAGATTGGTGAGGAGGTGCCTTAGAGCCAGGAGACGGACATAGGATACTATTTAGATGGGTGGGCTACACTAATTAAGTTCTTTTATATATCCACGCGGACGGAGTCGCGGGCCACAGCTAGTTTATAATGTTAGTAAGATAAAATTTATGAAAATTTAATGACTACCTGTTATATATGATGACAACTATCGTATTCCCCGGTGTGAGGAAAGCTGCACTGTTATATACAGGATCGTTGCCATCTGAGTTACAAAAGAATACGTTCTCACTGAAAAGAAACATGTTTCCAATGATACTCAAAATTCTGGACATTCATACTACTAGCTTGAAAACGCTTTATTCAGTCAGAAAGAATGGTGCGTTGTTTTTACCCTCGATCAAGACAAGTAGGCAATGCACCTGCAATTGTTAAGGAGTGATTGATTCGCCATTTTGGCGGATTCATGTGCCTCATTTGCCATAATATATAAAATAAAGATGACAAAAGTTTCTCTTCACTGTTCACAGTTATCAAACGACGTTTTTTTAAAACCAGTGTTCAGGTCTAAGGTTTGCGTTTGGCCTTCTTTATCGCATTCTAGAAAGGTCCCAAGTATTTCCGCACTGGTGTTATTTCATTTTTATCAAGACATTGCATTAAAAAGCTTAAAATCTTACCTAGTTCCATCACTGCCTTCAGGGTTGGGGCATACAGTTACATTTGACATTTCTATCCTATAAGAATGTCTCTTCACGAACTTAGTGACTTGACCTAACGCATAGAACATCGGCTGTTTGTAAAACTCCTTCTTTTCTGCATTAACAAGGATGGGAGAATCCACATAGTTCTGTACCCAGTTAGGTCCACCTATCATATCCAGACAGATGTTCCAATCAATCCATCCAACTCCGTTGTTCAATAGGTTCTTAAAAACGAATACGGAATTTCTTTTTATTATAAATCAGTAGTATTTTTAGAGTCAACACTGTTTCAAATTTTAATATAATTTCAAAATTAAAAAAATCTTTTTTGAAATAATGGACGCAGAAAAAAATGCTTACTTCTAGAATATCAACAATATATGTTTCAGCTCTGTCCCAAGCTCCTAACACCACTCTTTGGTCTGTTGGACCAGTAAATCCTGTGGAAAAGAAACATAATGAATGGTTACAAAAACTTTCAGCCCCAACTTTAGACCTTTTATATATTAAAAAAAAATACTTTCTTAGTGCCTGCTACATAGTAACAGAAATCTTTGTCAGTCTCTAATCCAAGTATCTCGGACTGCTTATCAATAATATCAGTCACCGTGAGTTTCTGATATCAAAATCTCCGTTTGAAACATATTAATATTTTTATTTAGTCAAAGATCATGATAGGGATGACGATAAGTTTTTATACGACGATATATACAGATATTTAACTCTCAGAAACTCACGATAAATCAGTTTTCTTTTATCTATATTTTTAGATTTTAGATATTAACCTGTACAAGCCTCTGTAGATATGACAAACTTGTTGGGGTAATCCTTTACAGTCTCCTGCAAGATGGAGGCTGGTGTGATTTTATCTACATAGTAATGCACTGCAATGCCATCTATATACTCTTCAGCTTCCGGAGCTAGTAGCAACAACTGCAATAAAACTCTTTGATTACAACCTCTTATGTTCTTTCTCTGTGTAATACAGTCTGGACAAGTGTACCTTCCGAAACAATGGTACGAAACCATTTTTTTTTCTTATTCATTTATTAACCTTATTCTTAATATATTACATTTCATATATAAAATAAAAAAATTATACAAAATATTAAAAATAGAGCACCACCGGCTGCGGAGTCCCATGACTCAAACAACCAGTGGTCAGGGCTGCAGACGAACCTTCTCACGATGCGTGCGGTTTCTAGGATAACTGCCTTTTGTATCGGGCCCTTAATCCAACTGTTTAGCGAGAGCTTCGTACAGTACCATATTGTTACGATCTTTTTATACGTTTCTGTTTAATTTATTATGAAAACTCTTTTTATTAAACTTGTATACTTTTTAAATCGATGCTAAATAACTTCACTTTTATGTTAACAGTTTCATATTTCTTTTCTCCTATTTATATTTGTTAAAAAAAGTCTGTTTTAGATTCAAGATATACTTACGATGTTAAACCACATTGGTATTGAGTAGCGCTGATCATCCACCGCCAGAATCTTGACATCTTTAAAACTGGAGTTACGTAACATTGGACCTAAGTCGTTTTTAATCCATTCGCCCTGATAAAATTAAAAAAATAGTTAAAACAAGAATTGTGCAAGGAAGTTTAACGTCTACCCATATTTTAATAATATATAAGCATATTGAAGAGAAAAAATTAATTTCATTTTGTCAGAAAATCATATTAGTAAATGTTGATTCTTTAATATTACCATTTTCTCCACCGTCCAGCCAAGATGTTGGAAGTCGCCTAACGGTATTACACCATTTAAAGGTTCATTAGTTGTTGTTATAGCCCAAAATGGGATGTTATTTTCTTTATACAATTCTAAAAATCTGCAAAAATATTCATAACTCATCGATTTATCATCTTTAATTAAGAATTCAATATTTTACGTGTCTTGTTTAATTTTATGTGAAAGCTTTTCGAACCTTTTATCGACAGTATAAAACTATTAAAATTACATAATAAAAATTACTTTAAGAAATACAGCGCATATGTTCCCATATATTCGTCTTTCAATCTGTTGACTCCTGAATCTCCATAGTTATTTTTCATCCAATCTGGCGGTGACCAAACTGTACCTACCAACTGCAGAGGTGCTGTTGAGACATTCATGATAGCTTGTATAATTGGTATCTGTGAAATATAAATAAAACAATTCAAATCAGTGAAATTTTGCAGAATGCAGTTTGGGCTTAAAAATTCACCTTTAATATTTCAAATAAAGTATTAAGATAATCTTATCATTAGTATAATACTCTAAGCACTCATTTATATCATTAAAAGCTAATAAATAAGGTTTGCAAAAGTAAATAAATTGTGACAAAACAAGATTATGTTTAAATTCGTTTATCTTATCACGGGATATTCAAAATTATGGTTCTTCACTTTTTAAGATTAAAAAAGATAAAGATAACATACCTTGTAATGATAATCTTCGTAGGAGAGCGAATAGTTGGTAAGATAAGTATCATCGATTGGGTATTCATTGTAAGCGTACAAATGTGTGGAGAAATCACAACCACCAATTGGTACACGGCCCATATTGTATTCAATACCACATTCACTGAAGTATGAACTGAAAGCAAGCAATGTTTAATTATATCTAACCAATGGTCTTGGATGGAAATGGAATTGACTGGTCGACACTCTGAATAAGAATCAAATCAAAAAGGTATTGAGCGCAGGATTAAACATTATGCTAAAGACGTGGCATACTGGCCACTAAAAATCTTTGACTTTTTAATTAAGAAATATAGAAGAAAAGAAAAGAGAATCGAGCGAGAAGTGTTAACAATGAAATGTCGTTAATAGAGTTAGCTGAAATTTTTAATGTAAATTTATATAGGATATTATGGAATGGCTTTTTATTATCCCGGAAAAGTTAACATTCTATTAAACAGGATGGAATTATTAATTGAAACACATATAGAAATAATAGTTGGTCCCATAAAATAAGTCTTATAAATCTGGCCTGGAATAGAATGACATATTTAAGTTAACAAAACTAACTTGATCATATCTTGCTGCATATTAGGCGGTAGACTGAACAGATTTATGCCTGCAGAATCAGTAATTCCACCACCGAAGCCTTGGATCTTCTGGTGCGTCTTTGTTGGATCCACTTTTAAAACATCGATGCATTTCTTACCTAGTTAACAATGGCCGTAAAATATTAAATCGAAAATTATTCAAAATAAATATACAGCAAAATTAGTTACCTGAATAAGAATCTTTCTTGAATTGACCGTAACTTTTTCTAAATCTTGAACCTGCCTGAAATACGAGAAGGATTTTTACGACTAAAGGTATTAGAATAAAATAGCTGACTAAAGGTTATTAACTTGTCCAAAATTTTACAAAATTCTCATTTTGCAACTAATAACTATTATTGTCAAAAAGAAAACTTTTTTTTTATTCTGTTATTTATGTCTTTTATACCTTCGACGAAGTATAAGCAACGTATTGTCCTTTTTCTGGTATTTCCCTTTTAAATTCATCACAGTAAGTTGTGTTACAAACACATAGCACTGATTGTCCCTCCACCGGTCGCGGGGCACAAGGTCTCTCCTTCGAAGAACATTGGCTCGCTAGTCACAAAGTCAAATTATTATTATCACAGTATCGGTGGCGCAATGGTTAAAAGACATCTAATCTACAGAACCGGGTTCATTCCCGATCAATGTTTTTCAGTGTTCTAATTCTATATATACATTTATCTGACGTTCTTACGGCAAAGGAAAATATCGTGATGCAACCTGCATCCATAATGACTCAAGACATTCTGAACGCCAGTCAAAATATGCCATTGCAATAAACAAATGGGTCTATAACATCTACGTTATTTAGTAAGAATTGATTTTCATTAAAAATAGTAGAAAGCATTGTATTTTGCATGTAACGAAATAACTCAAAAACTACTGGACCTAATTTAGAAATTCTTTTCTCAATAGAAAGTTACATTGTCACCGAGTAACATTGATTATATTTATTACTAGAAATTGTTATTTCAAAATAACTATCAAAGTTTTTGGAGAGCGTCGGTGGCTCAGAGAGCATCTTTGGCTCAGGGGTCAATGGCACTTGACTTGCAATCAATGTGTTTTTCGAATTCCCATTTACATATGTACATTTATCCAAAGTTCTTAGGAAGGAAAACATCGTGGTGCAACCTGTACATATCTAAGAAGAAATTCAAAGATATATGTGAAGACAACCAACCCGCACTTAGCCAGCGTGGTTGACTATGGCCTAATCACCCTTAACTTAAGATAGGCTCTGAGCCCCTCGGTGGGGATGTATAGCGAGCTGATGATATCAAAGTACCATAAATGATAATTGTACTGGATTGTAATAATTAATTTAATTTCACTTACCAGTAATACTCTGGCACGTATTGAATAATAAAAACCAGATGACAAGACTAAATACCTTGTATATATGCATTTTAATACGAATTTGATATAGAAAAATACCAGAATATATTTGTTACCTTCAATAACACGCTTGTTAATTAAAAGAACGCTCGATACTGAAACAAAAGTACTAAGTGAACAACATTTTATTCGAGACAGCTCCAATATATCAAGTTTATCTAAACTTATTGTCCTTAAAGTATTAAACTTGCCTGCTATAAATACGAATGTTTGAATGGATGGATGTTTGTAAGAAAGTATCAACGGAACAGCCGCATGAATCTCGCTGAAATTTGGCATAGACATAAAACATAGTCTTAAAGAACACATAGGCTACTACTTAAGTTTTTTCTTTTAATAACGCGCGGACTGAGTCGCGGTTGACAGTTAGTTAAAATTAAAGTATATACCAAATAACTTATCTGACCAGGTGACAGAAACGCTATCGCGGTTAATCCCGTCATAAAATTTATAAATCCTTAATTCTAGAAAATGTCAATAGAAAAACAAATGCAGTATGAAAAAAATGTTGTGAAACATAGACTGTAGTGGCGCTAGTGTGCCGTCCAAATTTAGTTAGATTTACGTAAACCGGATATCCTGGTCGCATTAGTCCACTGTTAATGACCAAAAACTGTCACACCATCCTTGTCGTAGCTATCTTGTCGTGGTTTATTGTATAGACCGAAAAGGATATTTGAAGTAATGGGTATTAGTCAAATAAAAATTGTGATAACTCATTAGCTTTCTATGGCTTCCTAAGAACATCGTATTAAGGTGACATCAAAATCTGTGTAGGAAACACAAACACACTCAGATAACTAAGGTACAGTCAACCACGCTGGCCCAGTGCGAGTTGACTTCACACATATCTTTGTATTTCTTTGCAGATATCTGCAGGTTGCATGACGATGTTTTCCTTCAATCCATGAACGTCGGATAAATGTACATATGTAAATCGATAATCGAAAACATATTGGTGATTCGAATCTAGAATCTTCAGATTACAAGTTAACCCTTCAGCCACCGACGTTCAACAATTTAGTATTTTTATTTTGAAATATTAAAAATATTTTAACACAAGCAGAAGTAGACAAAGGAAAATATGGAGAACTGATCGCCAACCTTCGCTAGTCGGAGAGGCACCTCAAGAAGAAGAAACAAGTAGATCCTGGTGATTGAACTACAGCTGTTTGTATTATATTTGGACTGAATGTTCCTCAAGAAATGTTTGAGCATTTACTTAAGTGTTACATTTATTAAGATAACATATTACCATGAAACTAGCAATTTAAATAATAAATAGGTATAATATATGCTTTATGTCTGACTTAACCGAGTTAATATAATAAAATGCAGTATAATAAGGAATTGTTGATATATATATATATATAAAAAAGAAAATAAATTATTTTAAATTTCATTTTATTTTATTTATTTTAAAAGTATCTGCAGCAAACTATATTGCCTAATTCAAAGACTAATTGGTCAAAAAATCTTTTTTCCCTCTTATATCATGAAAAATCTTTCGCGACGATTTTATCTTGAACATTATTTTAATGTAATTTCTTACAAAGCAAAATATAATTTACGTTTTTTTTACTAAATTAAAAAAAATTATTAATATAGTAAATTTAAAATAGGAATTCAAATCACTAACATTCATCAAAATCGGTTCAATGTATCAAGCTCATACATTCAAAAAACCCGCGAAAAAAATTCCTTCATATCTGCCGGGTAAAAAATTTGCGTATTAAGCCGTGACCCAGTTTTTTTTTTAATTATATAAATGACTGTAATTATTAGTTACCAGTAATAAGAGATAGACTTTTAAATAAAAAGAGGTTAAGGTTACGATCGGAAATAGTAAATACTCTTGGATTATAGATAATAGGACTAAGCAAGCCGTTGTTATCTCTACATATTAATAAAATTGGAATGTCTATGTAATATCGATACAAAAATGTATTTCCCTTGCTTATAACGAAAAACTAATTAAAAAAAATTGTCTATCTGTCTGTCGCCTTAACGGCTGGATTGATTTTGACGGGACTTTGACAGATAAGTAGATGACACGCGCGTTTATATTCTATTTTTTTGTTTTTTTTTTAGCTTTTCAGATGTGTTTTGACAGTATAACTCCACAGCCATTATCAAATATGACGTTATTTCATATTTGTATAGAGATGCGGGGAGCTTTCAATTTCAACACCACAGGTTTGGAGCTCGCGTATACTGTAACCGCAGTTGAGTTGCTTTTGCTGAAAGTAATTAATAATATTTATTTAGTGGTTATAACATATATAACAGGTAAGCTGTCGCCCGCGACTCCGTCCGCGCGGAATTAAAAAAAAAACTTAATTAGTAGCCTATATGTTCTTCAGACTATGTTCTATATGTATGCCAAGTTTCATGGAGATCCGTTCAGTCGTTCTGGAGATACCTACAAACAAACATCCATCAATCCATCCATCCAAACATTTGAATTAATAAGATTAGTAAGAAGTAAGATTGACATCTGCATATTTAATAACGGTTTTAGGCTTATTAGCGACCTGGGCGAGATTTTTGTAGCACTTTGTATTCTTGCCATAGCTTTGCCCCCTTCAACACTGGGGATCCACACCGGCCCTATGCATACTTACCATTTACAGTCATCGTTATTAAATTCTACTGTAGTAATTGATTTCGCTTCCAGCTTCAATGGTATTTCTCGTTCTCCAATTTTTACACTTATTTTAGTCGCTTTGTCACTGCTGTAAAATTACAAAGACTAGTTGTAGTTAATCCGTATCGTTTATAATTTATTTATGTCAAAACTAGCTGTCGCCTGCGTCTCTATCCGTGCGCGATTAAAAGAAAAACTTAATTCTTAATAAACTTAATAAAGATAAAATTAATTAATGATTAGACTATGTTTTCTTCCAGACTATATTCTACATCTAGGCTTAATTTCAATGAGATCCATGCAGCCGTTCACAACAAAACACATCCAAACATTCGTACGATACGTTTGAAATTGGTGTACTTTACGACCGATAGGGGGCGATGCACAAATTTTAATACATTTTTTTCTATGACGATACACTGACGTCACAAATATTCTGCTAGGTCCACTGTATTTACAGAAGTGGTAGTAGAAATAGATAGATGTTTCCACTTTTAGAAAAAAAAACTATGAATCCAATTTTCTTGACGTGTATAAAGAGTAATATTGATTTTGCTAACAATTTAATTTTTTCATTCGAATGTAACGGAATAATTTTAAAACCAGCCAGAATTATGTGTTAAGCAGATGTCTATTTGCTGTGATATTTAGTTAGCTAAGACAAAAGAATCATTTTTTTTAATTCTATCGATATTCAAAAATAGAAGATAAATCCTTACTCGTTATAAACCACGAATACAATAGTATTCCGTGACGTTAGGAACGCCGCTTCATCGATGCATTTTGGTGAACAGTTCGCCTTCACTCCGATCCTTCGGGAACCTCTCGGTATGAATTTAGAGAAATGACCCATCGCATAGAACATTGGCTCTTTAACAAACTCCCTTCTCTCCGAGTCCACTATTATTGGCGAATCGACGAAATTTTTCATACAATTTGGTCCACCGTTAGTATCCAAGCAAAAGTTCCAATCTAACCAACCGACTACATTATTATTGAGATTCTGAAAACATTATTATCAATGTTAATGTTTTTTTTTTCATATCATAAGGTGGCAAACGGGCGAGCGGCCACATGAAATCGCTGAAATAGGGAAGTGACCGTTGCCCATAGACATACGCATATGCATTGCCTACCTTTAATCGACGGATGTTGCACAGAGAGAAAATATTTTCCCTTTCCATACATCCTCTCATCTGGAAAGTCCACTTCCACTTCCCATCCTTCCCTTATAAGAAAAAAGGTGGGAAGGGAAAGAAGACTAAATTAGGCTTCCGGGACGCACACTCATCAGAAGAAAGGCGGAATTGCTTCCACTTGACGCCTGTCTTCTGTGTGGTCGTGGTATTTCACCGGGCGAGCCGGGACAATTCGTGCGAAGATATTAGCGGGCTCTACCATTGTTAAACTGTACCAATGTACTGCAAATCCTAATAAATACTTGCTCATATCTAAACTAGCTGTCGCCCACGGCTCCGTCCGCGTGGGATTAAAAAAAATTGTAATTGATTCTCAGGCCTACTAATTATGCGTATAAAATATCACTAAAATCGGTGAAGCCTTTTCGGAGGAGTATGGTAACTAACATTGTGGACACGAGAATTTTATATGTAAGACTAGCTGTGCCCGCGACTTCGTCCGCGTGAAACAATGTCTTTGGGAAGCATTTTAATTGTTTAAGCTATTTATATTACTAACACTTATAATACATAATAACAAAATATATTAAAATCACAAAACATTCACATAAACTTCACATATTTTACAACAAAATTTCATCTCCTTTTGTTATTTTACACCCTTCAATTTTTACAAACTTGAAGGGTGTAAAATAACAAAAGGAAGAAGTTTCAAGCTTCAACCTGTAAAAATGCCGACACTTCTATATAAGATTCGAACGCCGTATTCACCCGTCAAAGTCAGTAAATTTGTCAATTAATTAATTAGATAATTAGTAAGGGACTAATTTTAATTTTAGTAGGGACTGGCTGTCGCCCGCAACTCCGGTCGCTCGCAATTAAAGATAGTAGCCGATCAACCAAAGAAGGTAACCAAACAAAGTGTAACAACGTTTGGTAGAATAATCTGTTTTTTATACACCAACTAAGTGATGCGTACTTCTATTTCTTCTTATGAGTAAAAGGATAGCTACTATCTAATATAATTTTACTTTAAACATGTTACGAATAAAATACTAACCTGAATGATATCTTTAATATAATTTTCAGCTCTCTGCCACGATCCTAGATCTACTTTCTTCTTTGCATACAACTGGTATCCTGGAATCAAAATATATAAATCATCTCTTAATAATTATGATAAAAATCAACTTAAAACTGTAAGCCATAGAAATAAACAAACACAGATTTACATATTCCATCTTTACGTATTTTAGCAATTGCCCGCGACTACGACCACACGGAATTTAAAACAAAAATATTAAGTAGCCTATGTGTTCATTCAGACTATGTTCTACATCTATACCAAGTTTCAGCGAAATCCATGAAAATGTTCTGAAGATACCTTCTTAAAAATAGTAAGACTAGCTGTCTTCCGCAACTCGAACGAAAAAAAAACTTATTAAGTAGTTTATGTTCCCTCCAGATTATTCTATATGTATGCATAATTTCATCGAGATCCGTTCAGCTGTTGTGGAGATACCTTCAAACAAACATCCATCTATCTAAACATTCGCATTTATAATATTAGTAAGATTATATTATAGGAAAATAAGAGTCATGGTTTACCTTCACATGCTTCAGTGGATAATGTAAATAAGTTTGGATAGTTCTGCTGAAATTTCTGGAGAGTCTGAACCGGTACGTCTTTGTCATAGTACCAATGGAGAGCTAATCCATCAATGTAGTCCAACACTTTAGGATGGTCTCTGATTATCTGCGAATTAGGCGTAGTTAAAATAATTTATGTGATACATATTGTTAGGTAGAAAATCCGACTTTGTACCGGTGTACTGGCAAAATATAGCCTTACTAAAATGTCGACATCTATGTCCCCTCACTAATCATTCTGACACTTGGCTTTGCAATGAAAGCGCGCCATTCGCGCGAAAGGATTGTAATTAATAATGTCTAAAAATATGAATGTGTGTTATAGAAAATTACCCTTTTATCTTTAGTGTTTCTTTTTGTATAAAATACTAGCTGTCGCCCACAATTCTTTCCGCGGGGAATGAAATAAAAACTTACTTAGTAGCCTATGTGTTCTTTTAGACTATGTTCTACATCTATGCCAAATTTCAGCGAAATCTATTCACCCGTTCGGGAGATATGTTCAAACAAACATACATCTATCCAAACATTCGTATTTATAGTATTAGTGAGAATTAAGTTAAGATGCAATCACAACAAAATGTCTTACATGGAAGAACTAAAAACATCGTAATTAGTGAAGTAAATAAATCGAACATGAACTTACGTCATAAAAATCAGTGGCAATCGTAAATCTATGGTCATCAAGAGCAAGGATTTTGGTATCTTTATGACAGGAGTTACGAATTGTAGGTCCAAGATTCTCCACTATCCATTTACCCTGAAAAATAAACTTACGTTAATAACACATTTTAAATAGGCTTACTTCAAAAAGAATAATACCTGATAACATTGAGCACTAGCCGTTCGGAACGCGAAATTAAAAAAATAATTAGTAGCTTAAATGTTCTCCCAGACTATATTCTACATCTATGCCAAATTTCAGCTAAATCTATGCAGCCGTTCTGGAGATACCTTCTTAGAAATAACCATCAATCTAAACTGTCGTATTTATATATTCATCATCATCAGCCCACTATACGTCCCCACCGAGGGGCTCGGAGCCTACGCTAAGTTAAGGGTGATTAGGCCATAGTCAGCCACGCTGGCCAAGTGCGGGTTGGTTGACTTCACACATATCTTTGAATTACTTCTCAGATATGCGCAGGTTGCATCACGATGTTTCCTTCACCGTAAGAACCACCTTCACCTTCCTTCATTTATATATTATAATATTATAATTACTAGTAGTCGCCTGCGAATCCGTCCGCGTGGAATTAAAAAAAAGACATAATTAGTGGCCATAATTATGCCAAATTTTTATCGAGATCCATACAGCCCTTCTTACAAACATCCATCCATCCATCTAAACTTTTGCATTTATAATATTTTTTTACGTACAATCTGATTGGTAGTCCATCCAAGGCAGGTCGTTACAGGAATATTGGTGGAAGCAACGGACGGCTCATTGGTCGTAGTGATCGCCCACACTGGAATCCCTCTTGAGCTATATTCAACTAAGAATCTACAATAAAAAAATGCTTTCAACTACATTGTTTATTGTAAATTAGTTAAAAAAATATTATTTTCATAATCTGAAGTAATATTGATGAAACTTAGTAATTTCTTTAAAGATCTAAGAAGTTCGATTGACCAATAAAAATAATCACAGATTATTAATTGCGACGAGTTTGGTCAGTAACCGTTGGTTTCTGAGACCAAAATTTCCGTATAAAACATATCAAATTGTCATCCCCGTCATTGTCTTTGACAAGACAGAGATAACAGTATATTTAAACTAGAATTTTGATCTCAGAAAGCAATGATAAATCTTCTAAGAGTTAACAAATAAAGGACAATTGGAAATCTTACTTCAAATGATAATCTGCGTATGTCTGGAAGTATTCAGTTTTAAGGAATCCGCAATTTGGACTGTGCTCGTTGAAGTATTTCATCCATTTCGGAGGAGACCATGTTGATGCTACAATGTGTATCGGAGTCTTGGATACTTCCATCATTTTCTTTATAGCTGGTATCTGAAAAGAAATATAGGACAACCTAAATTTCATCAGATGACGGCGACACAGGTTTTTTTTATATCATAAGGTGGCAAACGAGCGAGCGGCCACCTGAAATCGCTGAAATAGCGAAGTGACCGTTGCCCATAGACATACGCAATTGCATATGCGTTGCCTACCTTTAATCGACGGAGAAAAGGATGCACAGAAAGAAAATATATTCCCTTTCCATGCATCCTCTCATTCGGAAAGTCCACTTCCACTTCCCATCCTTTCCTTATAAGAAAAAGGGTGGAAAGGGAAAGAGGACTAAATTAGGCCTGCGGGATGCACACTTATCAGAAGAACGCGGAATTTCTTCCACTTGACGCCTGTCTTCTGTGGTCGTGGTATTTCACCGGGCTAGCCGGGCCAATTCGTGCAAAGATAATAAAGCGGGCTCTACCACTGTAAAATTTAAAGTTAATTTAGGAAGGCCTACGTCCAGCAGTCGGCGAAATTATTCTGTCCAATGCTGACCTTCCATAATTAACCAGACTGATTGTCTTGCTTCCTTAAATACTCTCCTATATTTAGCAAGATCTTTGGTACAATGTATTAGCAAAACGTGCGCTTGGTTTTTTAAAACTTAAAAAAAGGAGGAGGTTCTCAACTCTTCTGTATGTTTTTTTTTGCTCCCGGTTTTCTCATTTAATATGCCATGCTATTTTATAGTAAAGTTTCAATACTTCTGTCATAAATATAAGTAGAAAAACACGAAAACTTAAAAATATTGCTCAACAAACATTTCCGTGCTTTATCTTCTATTTTTACTACATTCGTGAGAAATGTGGATATATTGTTTTTCATATTTATCAGAAGATTAATTCTCCATACGTAAACAGTTTCCTTATAAATTTAAAAAAGTTTCTGGTATACAATATACATATTTAGACGGCATTATGTATCCAAAATACGGATCCATGCCGCAACGAAGATTCATCATCAGCTCACTACACGTCCCCACTGAGGAACTCGGAGCCTACCCTAAGTTAAGGGTGACTAGGCTATAGTTAATCATGCTGGCCCTTGAGTATTTCACACATATTATCTTTGAATTTCTTTACATATAGAACGCCGGATAAATTTATATGTAAATCTAAAAACATATTGGTACATGGCGGAATTCGAACCAAGGACCAACAGACAAGTCAATTGCTCAACTCCTAAGGCACTGAGAAACACTATTCTACCTTATAATTCAAATCTTCGCAAGTTAAACTGTAGTTAGTCAGCTGACAGTCATCTAACGGTAGCTCATTGTAGGCGTGCTCAATCAGAGAGAAGTCACAGCCTCCAATTGGTACTCGTAGCATGTTGTACTCTAAACCTTCCTCACTGAAGTAAGATCTGCAGATGAAAGGGAAAAGCGTTTATACTGAATAAAAAATGGTTTATTTAAAAAAAACCAATGTAACAATGATGGAACGAATGGCTGAGTTAAGTAACTAATATCAACACAAATCCATAATTAGGTACCTAATGGAATGTCCTAGGTATTAAATTTATACCTGATCAAATTATCCTGAGCTGCAGCTGGTAAGGTGTTCAGGTTGTATCCAGCGGAGCCGGTTGCCGCCGTACCGAAACCTTCGATTGTCTGGTATTTTGTACCAGTATCCAGTTCATATTCGTACTTGGCTTTCTCTAAGAACAAAAAGGGATGCTCTTAAAATACTGTACATATTTCTAGAACATTCTTTATTTATTCTTAAGATAAGAATCACCATGTATTTACAAGCTCTTAGACTATTTTTTTGGTTGTAACAGAAAACTTTTACAATACTTACTTGATCTTTTATTAAGCAGTTTTCCGACTTTTTTCTTAAATCTGGAACCACCCTAAAACATATTGTTAAAAAATTAATAATCATAAATATTACAATTTTATAATATCATATTTTAACACAAGTTTAATGCTGCAACGATTAAAAACTTCTTAAAATATAAGCCTGAATTTGAGTATGTTAATTGCGCCTGCCATTTTTTCGCTGTTAGTTACTATCTTTAAATTTTGCTATCACTAAATAAGTAGGCGACCTAATAACAAAAGTACTAGAAGAATTATTCACCTGAGAAGACGTGTAAGATATGTAACTCCCTTTATCAGGAACATCCCTGGTTCTAGTATCACAATATGTTTCATTACAAACACAAACCACTGATTTACCATCGATGACTCGCTCTGCGCATTTTCTATCCCTTGTTCCTTTCGAAGATCTTTTTCCTGTAGGAATATTAAAAACATAAACGTGCACTTCCACAGTCAAAACAATTGTATAAACACGTCACTTGCAGCAATAATACGTATAAAAATAAAATTTCCAAGTCTGGGTTCAATAATATAAAAGTATTTGAAAATACGTAAGCAAAGTATGGTCCAATATTTTTTATTATAAATAAATTGTTTGTTGCAGACTAATCATAGAGTAAACGATAAACAATCTCGTCTCATCATCGATTTTGTTTTGGGTCTTTAGCTAGGAAAACCTATAACTTAAAATTGATTTTAATCTACAAAAAAAAGCAAAAAACAAGTTGCCAGATTGTCACCAATGTCAGTTTTCGTTTGTTTATGAAATGGTTATTAAAAAAATATATTTTGTCTATAGTAATTGATAATTAAATTAAACAGAAAACTTACCTAAGTTTTCGCCTACATATAGCAACAACACAACACATACTATGTTAAAAATATTTAAAAGTTCCATTATCACATTTAAATTAATTTAATTATTTATTAATAAACAAATTAGTATTTTAAACGACGATACAAATTATATGTAAACATGTAGGTAAGTAAAAATCACTGATTTAAAAACCCTAATTCAAAACATTCATAAAAAAAATTTAAAACACAATTCACCAAGAGATCGTGAGTATTAGAACAAATAGACTAAATATATGTCTTCTGTTTAATATCACGCAATACTTTTTAAAACATGTAGTAACCTGTTATTCTAGTAACATAGTCAAATAGACTATGAAAAGTTTTTCCAAGAAAATATCACAATAGAACAAATAATAGTACAATTTTGTAACTTATCATTAGTTGTGGACATATTTGTGTTACGAAATGTAATATTTTATTGAAGACACAATTCTTAATTCAAATTAAAAATATATTTCACAAATTACCGTGGGTTTCAGACACCATAACATTTATATAAATCGTACCGTAATCCCTGTCTTTGACAAAACAGACATAGCAATATTTTTTAAACGGATCTCAGAAACCGACCGTTAGTGAATTAATCTATTTAGTTTTTTTTTTTATATTAACAAAAAGTGTTATAATATATTGACAAAATAGTCCAAATTAAACCATTGATCTTCCAGTGCCTCTTCAGTCTTGAAGGCTACTAACTTAGAATATTTCCACGTCAAGTTGACTGACCTAATTCCCGTCGATTTTCTTATATTACGTAAGCACGAAGTATTCCTACAAAACCATTGATCTATTGCCTTTATAATGCAGGAAGGGGGACAACAAAAACACTAAGAATTGTTACAAATTATTTATTTTTAAAATACGTATAAAAACTTAAATTAAATGCTATATACAATCTTATATTATTATGTTAATTCTATTTTATTTATGCTTTGAACATACCATAGTACATTTATATGACGTGTTTTCTATTAATGGGTTACTTAGTACACTAGTTTTTAAATTAGATGGCGACACTATCGCATCGTTTTCTCTTACATTAGTCGATTCAACTGGATTTTTGGAAGTTTTTGCATGTGTTTTTGTAATATTTTGTAATCTAGCCTTCAGGGCGTCTCTTAAATTATATATTAATGGATTTTCCATCTTTTTTGGTATAGATTTATCATTATATTGTTGTGTTTCTTTCAAATTAGGAATGATATTAGAATCTTGTTTATTATTCATTTTTGGTTGATTATTTGCACTCGTAAGACCAAAATTAGGATTTGTTGAATCTTCGTTTAATTGTTTCGTTTCAATTATTTCACTTGGTGAATGATTTGAATCGCTTAATTGTTGAAATCTAGACCGTAATGCCTTTGAAATATCTTTCAAGTTGGTATTTAAATTAGCATTTCTTCCATTATCCGATAATTTTGAAGGAATTTTTATAGGATCTTTATTTTGTACTTTTGTACTCGAAGTTAATAAAGGTTTAGGTGTAGTAAACGAAATTTTAACTTTACTTATTGGCGTGAAATTTTTTTGCTTGTTCATATTCAGTTTATGTTTGTCAGAGAGTTTTGGATATTTATTTATATGTATATTTTCATTTTCTTTTAATGGTCCCGTGTTTGCTTTTACTTTATGAATAGAATATGGTTTTGGTGTCAATTTTTTCTTCATTAATCTATGATCTTGTATTAATTGGGGCTGTGAGAGATAATTGTTATCCAAATTAGAACCGTTTGAATTTAAATTTCGACTAGTTTCTTTATTAGGTACACTTTTTGACAACCCTAGACTATTATCTTTTGCTTTTAATGTCGGTATATTTATGGATTGTATTTTTTTCTGATCATTAAGTCTTTTGTACATTGACGCTAATCTGTCATTAAAATCTAAATGTAAAGATTGTAATTTATCCTTCATATCTTCATGTTTTCTTGACATCGACTGTAAGAAATCGTCCTTTTCTAATCTCGGCTTACTTAATAACTGAATACCATGATTTGGTTGTTTGAATTCTGGTTTCATTGAATCTAATCTGTATTTTAAATCATCTGTAAGCGAATTTACTTTTTGTGAATTTAATAAATTTGTTTTTGGAAGGTTAATATTTGTAGGTGTCAGATGTTTCTGACTTTGGAAGAAACGTGTAATATCATCTAGAGAAGAAATTCCTGTGGCGTCTGATGATGCTTTTAAGTTTTTATTTCCCGCGTAAAATGGTCTATCCGAAGCTAATGATGGATAGCTACGCAACGTCGATGGATTAGCGAATGGTTCCGTTATCAAAGGCTTTAAAGACGTATCAAATATACTTTTATATCCTCCAATATTATTACGTACATTTTCTAAAGGTCTAAGATATCTATCAGTGAGAGGTTTACCTAAATAATTAGATTTTAATAAACTTGTTTGTAATGGATTCGATAAAACTGAATTACGATTAGAACTTTCATTCAATGGATCGTATTCCGTTTGCTTAAAATCTTCCGATTCTTTTTGGCCAGCATCTATAATATCAGTAATACCTTGTTTTATTTCTTCAAGACTAGGTATTTGTAACGGTGATTTAAATAAACTAAAAGTGTCTTGCAATGTAGGACCTTTTAAATTGTCATTTAACGGAATAATGCTATTATATTTAAAGTTACTTGCTTGAGATGACATTTCGTTTGTTTCTGAATCTTTTAGAAGTGTGTTATCACTGCCAAGTTCGTTATTATCATTGTCTTTTGAATCACTTGTTTGGAAGTTTGTATGTTTGCAACTTTTTGGGTTGTTTTCTTGTTTTTCGTCTAAATTTGATTCGTTGGTAATTGGTTCTTCATCTTCTGATGATGCATTGCTTTCATCTATTTCTGTATCTATCAAGTCTAATTCTGAAGAAGCACTTTTGTCTTCATTCAGGTCATAATCTTTATTTTCATTGTTCTCCTCAAATACTGCTTCATCTTCGACAGACAAAGGTGTTGTACTAGCTTTTATTTTATTTTCTTCTTTTAAAAGAGAATCTGATAGATTTTGTAAATCCTGAATAGTGATATCTTTTTCATTTGATGGTTGAGAAGTAACAGTTACTGCCATATTCTGGTTACTTTCTGAATCTAAATCTGAATTGTTTAAATCCTGACTTACATTAGTTTTTTCATTTATTGGTTGAGAAATTAAGGACTTCGTAATTGTATCTGTGTCTTGTAATTTCGATTTTATAGACTTTTTAATGTTTTCCAATTTCTTTAAAATATCATTTTTAAATGTTGCCAGCCCATTATTTTCTTGTTCCAACACAGAATGCTGTGCATTATTGTTTTCTGTACTTTGTTGTAAATTTGGGGTATCTACTTTATATGTATGATTAACTTCTTCGTGAGATATCTGCTCATTCATATTATCACTCGTTTCTGCAATTGAATCTTCCATTTCACTTTCATCTGCTTCTTTGCTATCATATTCAAAGCTATCTACAGCATCCGTTTGGTCGATTTTATTATCATCTTGTGCTTTTCTTGCAGATTTTAAGCAATCATCCAAACGTCGCTGCATTTCTTCAATAATAGCATCTTTTGATATTTGAAGCTTATTTTCCTTCTCTAGACTCGTTTGTATCTCATTAGAGTTGTTAATAACGTCCATTGTAGATTCTTCTTCACTCTTTGCCTGATCTGGTACATTTTCTTCTGAATCACAGACCTGTGTTGTATCAATTTGAAAATTCTCATTTTTATCTTCATTAACATCAGATATTTTTACGTCATTTTCTGTGCCAGCAACATTTAGATCGGATAGTTTACTCTTTTCCTCCGTCAATTGTTTACCAAATAAATCTTTTGGTGGTAGCAGCTCTATATCTTTTAATTTCATAATATTTTTTAATACTGGACTTGCATTATCGAATAATGGATCCAATGGGGAATTTCCTATGACTTTATTACTGAATACATTTAAATTATTTTGTTTTAATGGTATTGATAAATTATTATTTACCTTTTTAATATTTCTCATCTCAACTAGATCTCTTAATCTGCTCTTTAGTGCTGCCAATCTAACTTTTGGGTTGTTACTTAATTCATTTTTTAAATCAATGCTTTGTTCAGGAATTTTTCTTAGTTCATATCTTGAATTTATATTCGGTATTGGATTATTGACAATGTCTTCATTAGTAGTCTGTAAATTATTCAGTAATAATGGATTCATTTTGAGTTTAGTATTTAATGCGTTATTATTAACAGCAAAAGTTTCTTTAATATTGCTTGCACCATTATCCATATCAAATAATGTTTTTGTTAAATGGCCAACTGGTTTTCGTTTTAAAAACTTTTGTTTAGACATTCTAGGCATGTCATTATTAGCTAAGCTTGATCCTAAAGGGCTATGAATACATCTAGTTTCATGAACATGTGAAGCTTCTGGAATAGTATCATCTCCATATAAATCTTCTCTAGGATTAAATACTATTGTAACGGAGTTCCTTGAATTACCCGGTTCAGAATCATCAAATCCTGATTCTATTTCAAGTATACTTCTAGAAGCTTCTCTTTCTAAAGCTTCTTTATATTCTTCATCTGTCGCTTTCTGTATAGTCTCTAATACAGAAGATGCAAGCCCTACTTCAGGTTGAAGGAGCGGTTTTTGTTTTAATTGTTGTTCCCTGAAACATAATCCATAGAGAAAATACTACTAACAAATAATTTTAATGACATTAGTCTATATGTTTCTTTACTATTAAATGGGGTTGTTTAGTATTTTTGTATGTAACGTATAAATTTCAAAATTACCGATGGACTGATTTCAAAAATTCTTTTGCCTTTAGAAAGCAACATTACCATTGAGTAACAGAGTATAATAATTACATTTTTTTGAAATACCGCGCGGGCAAAAGCTAATTTACTTTTCTCATAAAAGATTGTACTTATTACGAATCTGTACTAACCTTTCCGATGGATGAGAATTTCTTAATATAAACGGTCGAAAGATCGACGGGGATCCTTGTGAATCAATTTCCGAAAGTCGACAAGGGCAATCGTCCGTTTCTTGAGTAAACGAGCCCATTGGAGAATTAGGAGACATGTCCGGGTCTCGAAAATCTGTGCCATCGTCACTTGAACACGGGCAACACTCCTCGAAATTTGTCTGTCTTGTATCACGAATACTTTCTGTTACCGGCTGACAAGAAATCTGAAAAAAATATAAGTAATATCTTCATAAGTATATTCCTTCCATTCTACATGAAAAATTTGCGATAATAAAATACTTTTATACGATTTTTCGGCAGATCTCTTGCGCAGCATTCAAAATATATTTTACGTTAAAAGCAAAGTAACTATTCTTCAAATAAAATCTTTCGCACAATATGCGTTTACACGACACGGACATTGCACTTTTGTGTTTTAAACTAAAAACTAAATATAGTATATAGCAAAAAAGGCTAACGAATAACGAAAAACAAACAAATTGAAATTAAATATTCTGTGTGTTTAGTGCTATAAATTATAGTGTACTTGTTAATATAAATATTACTTGATATTTGCACGAATCAGCGTAATTTTACTTATGAATAATTAATAATGTCACCACGGTGGTTACAGTATAACGAGCACTTTCTCCTTGATTTCTTAGTTAAACTCTTTTTATTAGATATAATATTTTTGAATAAAAAAAATAACTTACACTGTTCGGAAACACAATGAAATGTAATACCACAAATATTTCCAGCCACATATTATTAGTTAGGTCTCATTGATACACGTCAAACAACAACCAGCTTTATTACATTTAAGAAATATAGATAAACTGAACATCCTATATATCTATTTGATAACGTAATATAATGGGCACGCGTTAACTGACCGTTTGACATAGTACGTGACTTAAACGACATTAAAAAATAATAAGATAAAACATGTTCATCTCTTTGATATCTTCTTTAATCTCAAAAGATTGATAATGCAGTTTTCTTTTTATCTATTTTATAATCTAACTAGCGACCCGCCCCAGATTCGCCTGGGTGGCAAATATACATATGGTCTCTTACGAACTAAGAACGTTAATTTAATTTCGAACGAATGCGCCTTCCTTTATACCATTAACATTAATGAAGCGAAGCAGAAGGCACATCTTGAGAACAGACTTTAGGTAGGTCTAGTAGTGTTGGTGTTGCTAAACGTCTCTTGCCTTCAGATGCAATGGGTTCGGGAGATCAGGAAAAGGGTTTCCCACAACTTTCTTGTCAAGCAGATCAATATCAGTTATTTGTATTTTGCGTTAATAAGTTTTGTAATTTCATAACTTCTGAAGAATCTTAACGTTCTGGTTTTTACGTAATTAAAAAAAACTATAACGTCATTAAAAAACTTCAGTGACTTAAAATAATTTCCGCGAAATACAAAACTTATTTTTATGTTTATTAAATTACAATATATTTAAATAACAAAATTTATACTTTAATAAAAAAAATCTTATTTGATTTTGTTAACTTGACATATAAAATTAAAACAATAACCAAACTCCACTTATGTCATATTATGGCAATGTTATGATGCAACGTATCCTTCGAAAAATTTGAAAACTTTTCGTTTAAAAGTCGTTATAAGCTGTGATAGTGGCATAAACGTTATTCGCGATAAATATTTACTAAATTTAATTAAAGATCTATTTAATGCAATTCGTCAGCATTAAAGTTAATGTAGTGGCTACATTATCTTTGCTTACACTATCGAAAATTTGGTCGCGGTAATAAAATCACAGTGCATCGTTTACCGCATCTTGTAGAAAAACTAGCAAAATTGCACATTACAAGATGGATGATTTCTTAAAAATCGAAAAAATAGGTGAAGGTACTTACGGTGTAGTGTATAAAGGAAAAAATAAGATTACGGGGCAGTTTGTGGCTATGAAAAAAATACGACTTGAGTCTGACGATGAAGGTGTTCCTTCAACAGCTATTAGGTGCGTTATTCAAGTGTAATTTTATATAATAAAATCATTTTGTAATGTACATTTACCCTTATATTTCTCATATTAATCTTATAACACTAAAACATAACCTAAAATCTTGCAACGTTTTTGTTTATGTTTTAGAGAAATTTCTTTATTGAAGGAGCTCAATCACCCTAATATAGTAAAATTAGAAGATGTTCTTATGGAGGAATCCCGTCTCTATCTTATCTTCGAGTTTCTCGCCATGGACTTGAAGAAATATATGGATTCCCTTGGTTCAGGAAAAGTAAGTGTAAAGAAAAAGTGTTTTATGTTATACATACGAAAACAGTTTAGTTGTTGTTTATTTTTTTCCTGGTAGTGATATTCTATATAGCAATTTAAACACAGATTTCATATATGCTTATGCAAGATACATACTGGGTACGCTTTTACTTCCTTTAATTCCAATTAGATTAAATAGATTACTTACAGTGGGTTTCTAGAACAAAAATCCTTGTTAAAACATATTGTTATTTCTGTTTTGTCAAAGATGAAAAAAAGGGACAACAATATGTTTACAGAAATATTGGTTTCAGAAACCAATATTAAGTTATAAGCTACTACTTGTGAATGAAGTCTATCTTCAGCCAATATATTTATATTTCTACCATCCACACCCCATTGTGGGAAGATTATTTAAGTTACCTGTATATAAAGGTGCGCTTTGTTACCACAACCCTTTGCACAACGCTAAGGTCTATTTGTATTACATAATGTAGTTTCATAATTAACTTGCCACTACTTTTAAGTGTAAATGTTATATTACTATAAAGTTGTTGTAAACTCATGCTATAAAATAAGTTGTTTCTATAATTCCAGTTCATGGACCCTGCAGTAGTGAAGAGCTACTTGTTTCAAATCAACAATGCCATCTTGTACTGCCATCAGCGCCGCATCCTACACAGAGATCTAAAACCTCAGAATTTGTTAATTGATAAGACTGGTATTATTAAGGTTAGATTTACTTCGTAATATTCTCAGAAAGATTTAGCTTGCTAGAGAATCACATTGTGATGACTTTATACACCAATAAACTCAATACAATGTTCTCTACAAATCAATAAATTGGTCAGACATAACAATTACATTTTCAATTTACCAATCAACTCTTAATGTTGATGTAACTATTTGATTGTTCATGAGAGATTTAATATTTGCAGGTAGCAGATTTTGGTTTGGGTCGCGCATTTGGTGTGCCAGTGAGGGTGTACACACATGAAGTTGTCACACTTTGGTACAGAGCTCCAGAAGTATTACTGGGCAGTCAGAGGTATTCCTTAAATATTAATAATATATACAGGCTGTTGAAATAAAACATCAAAAATAATTTTGTTTATTTAAGAATTTATTACTACTATAATAATACTAGCGGACCCAACAGACATTGTCCTGTCTACACGTCTTTAATTTGAAAATTTGACACTGCGATGGTAGTTCCGTCTGTCGGATCCAATGTAAAACATTCCAAAATCAACAACTGCTAATAAATTAAAAATTAATTAAAAAAACTTTGTCCAGCAGACAAAATTGTGAATCTAAACCATTCCCAGATCCCCTTGAACACACACAAAAAAATTCTTCAAAATCGGTCCAGTCGTTTGAGAGAAGTTCAGTGACAGAAACACTCACATAAGAATTATATATATAAAGATTAATAGTATTTTCTAAATTTATCTTAGCTTAGCTTTGATAGCTTATACCATGTAATTTTACCACATTTCATTAAACTTATTTTTCAATTTGTGTTTTCCAGATATTCCTGTCCAATTGACATGTGGGCAGTTGGCTGCATCTTTTCGGAGATGTCTTCCAAAAAGCCATTGTTCCAGGGTGATTCAGAAATTGATCAACTTTTCCGCATTTTCAGGTAATAAAACAGGGAAACATACTGTGTTTTTTTATATTTTTTATACTAATTGAAATTAATGATTTATAATGGTATTCTTTGATATGTTTAACATGTGATTTTATACTATTGTTAACAGAATGCTGCGTACACCAACAGAGGAGATCTGGCCCGGAGTGACAGCCATGCCTGACTATAAACCTACATTCCCCAATTGGAATACATTCAACCTACACAATCATGTAAGTTTACAAATCTTTGTTTACAAAATGGTTGAAAATCTTAGAATATTAAGATATATCACAGAATATAATTTTGACTTAAAACCGATGAAAGCATACAAAAGGTTACTTGAACACACCTCTCATCTAGAAAAGAATCAAAACATCAATCAACACAAAATTAGCCCTTAAGAAAAAGCCTTAGAAAGCTGTTCTAAGGCCAACAGCAATTATTTCATAAAAAATCAATTTCAACATTGAATTCCAGGTGCAAAATCTCGATGAAACCGGTATGGATTTACTACAGAAGATGCTTATCTATGACCCGATGCGTCGCATCTCGGCGAAGGATGCGCGCAGACATCGCTACTTCCGCGACGTGGTCATCCCACCCGGCCTCGCTGTTCACAAGGCCTATATACGATACTCTGCGGACTACAACGATACAGATAACGCGCAAAGTGTATAATATCTTAAGTTCAGTGCCGTGATTTATACTTAATATGTGGTGTGATAGCATGATTCAGTTCGGAAAAGTATCAAGAAGGTTCACAACTTGTGTATCATAGTTGTGATGACCTTTGGTTTCTACAAATGTCATTGCAGTGATGTTCTATGGTTAAATTAACATCTCAAGGTTATTCAAGTATCAAGAATGTTTGGTGAGTGTAAAAGTATGCCCTGTGAAGTGACGGAACTCTGTATTCGTAAGTATATTTAGATTATTTCAATTTGTAAAATCTTTTTGTAGCCAAGCAAAGTTTTCACGTTATTATATCAGGGTTTATATTGTGACAATGTTTCGAAAGTGTTTCAAAGTTTCGTCTTTGAAAAAACATAGACAATTAATTTGAATGCAAGTTTCACAGCAGTGGAAACGTGCAGTATGTTTCGTAAAATCAAATATGTATCCATTATTTGTATAACAAAGCTATAATAGTTATGTTACTTAAAAAGGAACTTTTCGTAAACACTGTGACGTCATTGAATACAGGTATCATGTTTTGTAGACATATAGTATATTTTATAATCTCCAATATGATTGTATGGGTTTATCTATAGATAGGAAATAAATTAGGTGCCTTAGTATTAACCAACGACTTTAAATTATTCATCTTTTTAAAAATTTAATCACATTTATATGACACTTAACCCTGGGTTTCTAGAGTTTAAAATCTCCATTTAAAAAGTTGTTATCTCTGTTTTGTCAAAGATAAAAGAGGGATAACAGTATATTTTATGCAGACATTTTGGTGTCAGAAACCCATTGTTTATTACTACATATGTTTAGAGAACAAACAGGGCATTTTTTTGATAATTTAATTCTTAGCATAACAGAATCGGGTGTCAATTGTATATTTATAAATATATGTAAATTATATTTTTACATTTGCTATATATGTATCAGAACAATATCTGCTCTTTATATATTTATGGTTTATTTATTATATATTTCTCGAAAAATAAGAAAACAGCAGTAATACAATAAAAAGATCATGTAATAATATAAATAATTGTATAATATAAGTTAATCTTTGAGAATAGTTTCTGCCTATCCTAAATAGACTTCTGTCTTACTTTGGTCCCAAAGTTTTGAATTTTTATATATTCTCAAAATTTTGTATGTATTCTATTATGTATGAAGCATGTAGTTGAACCTGGAGAAGCATGAATCCATGGTTTTGAGATATTTTTCTTATGTAAGTTGTTGAAAATAACTCTCGCTTATCTAGGTTTGACAGTAAATAAGAATATTTATAAAATTGGAAAGCATATCTATCTGTGAGTAAAGAAACAAATAAAATTTGAATATAAAATTTTTGTAATGATTTAAATTAATTTTTATGTTTTATATTTTTGATATGAACCACAATTTAGAAAATTACCTAAAACTAAACTCCCTTAAGTGTAATTCTATGCTGCTTATTAAAACTGCGTGTCTTTAATGTTTGAATTAAATTTTTATATTCATACACTTGCCTGCACTTGATCAGACCAGCAGGTAGGTTATTGACCCCATGACCTTTTACCCTCTATCTTTCCAATTACAACCAATTTGTCCAGGTTGTCGGGGTGTCTCTGGGAAATATTTCCAAAGTATCCAAGAACTTGTTGGTAGCATGTCGTGGCTAGGCAATTAGATACACATGGTGTATTATTGTAAAAACAATTTAAAATATTTTTGTCTGTTCACTTTAGTTCTGTTTAATTTCCGAAATGGCTGGACCAATTTGATGGGACTTGTGGGATTTTACTTGTGTTTGTGGGAGTAACATAACCTTTTTTTTTTGTTTCACATTATCAAAGTCGCGGTCAACAGTTAGTATGTAAATGCCTATATTTAAATAAATTGGGGTATTTTATTCTGGCATTATCAATTATTTATCTCTTATTTGCAATACTTTATTTCCTTATGCACATCCCTTATGTCTTATCGTGAATTTTCACTGAGAAATACAAAAATATGTCAGTTTTTCAAGGAGAATGAAACATTTTTCTACTACAATTATGTGCTTGAGACTAAGAGATTATTTTAGCAACATATCTGTTAATTATGCTTGTACTCTATGTGTTCTTTTCCTACTGTTTGTTAGAAACAATAAAATATTTTGAAATTTGATTTAAATGAATTTTAATGTAGTATTTGCTAGTTATGTTCATGTAATCTAGGTTATATTATGTAGGTTAATATTGAATAAAACAAATTTTTAATATTTTTAATACAATTTTATTGCTTCCCAGTCCAAAAAATCTAATGCTTTATAGTAAAGAGCTTTAACTGCGCAGTGTATTCCCCGCTACACCTAACATTGTGTTCTGAAAGGCTACACAATGTAACATTTGATTATCGATAGTAGAATCTAAAAATATGTGGCATATTGAAAGTTATGGTACACTTTCAAACATTTTTGACTTTTCGATTAACATTCCTTACCGAATGTTACTTTGTCTAGGGGCGAAGCTATTCTTACGATGTTCCGAACAGCCTATTGAATTACAGTACACTTCTAATGTTTAGTGATAAAATGTAAAAATTATTTCAAAATTTATCACAAATATTGTGCAAACTTACTTATAGGATCATGTAAATGTGACTCAAATCTATATTGTGTACAAGCATTTTTTTATATCATAAGGTGGCAAACGAGCGAGCGGCCACCTGACATCGCTGGATAGCGAAGTGACCGTTGCCCATAGGCACGCAATTGCATATGCGTTGCCTTCCTTATATCGACGGAGAAGAGGATGCACAGAAAGAAACTGTTTTCCCCTTCCATGCATCCTCACATCCGGAAAGTCCACTTCCACTTCCCATCCTTTCCTTATGAGAAAAAGGGTGGGAAGGGAAAGAGGACTAAATTAGGCCTCCAGGACGCACACTTATCAGACGACACGCGGAATTGCTTCCACATCACGCTTGTCTTCTATGTGGTCGTGGTATTTCACCGGGCGAGCCGGGACAATTCCTGCGAAGATGTGAAAGCGGGCTCTACCACTGTTAAATATATTAGTCTCTAACGGTTTCCACTGCCTATTCTAATTTTGTGCAGTGTAAAAATCTTCATGCATATATTGTACTTTTTAATAAAATTACTAAGGCATCAGTTATCTTATATATATAAAATCTCGTGTCACAATTTTCGTTCCCATACTCCTCCGAAACGGCTTCACCGATTCTCATGAAATTTTGTGAGCATATTGAGTACATCTGAGAATCGGCCAACATCTATTTTTAAACCCGCGCGGACGGAGTCGCGGGCGACAGCTAGTTAGAGCTATAAATATTGAATACTTGACTGCAGATAGCAATATCACATTTGTAATGAATTTTTTTAGTCTTTTCATCATCTTTGTAAAAAAAAGCTAAGGTAAAAATGTGTATTAATACAAGTACTTATACTTAATTATGATACTAAAAAGGTTAAAGTTTCTATAATACTTATATAATGATTTATAAATCTCTTACTATGGGTTTCCGAGACCATAATCCCAGTTCAAAACTGTTACCTCTGTTTTGATAATGACAGGGATGTCGATACATTTTATACAAAGGTCTCAGAAACAAATTACTAGAACTAGTAGTACTAAATTTCTAAAAAAAATTGTTTATATAACTTATTATGCAAGAGTACATTAATTACTATCACATAATACCAATACGAACACTTAAAGGTATTAGTTTAAAGAATTAACAAGGACTTTAAAAAAATACTTTAAAAATACAAAAGTTGGCAACTCCTTTGCCAAATCCTGATACAAACTTAAAAGAAATTGATAGATAACAATATAATTAACTAAAAAACAACTTTGGTTCATTGCTTCAGACCAATAAAATATAACGGAAAATACATTGCCAATATCATAAAAAAGGAAAGGCGGACAAAAAGAAAATTAATAAATATGAATATAATCAACTAAACGAGAAACCAGGTCAGACTCACTTGTGTAACCAGACACAGAAGTGTAACAACATAACTCACGCCCGTGATGTAACTTTACCCAATTGTGTAATTATTCTCACTAGTGTAACAAGACTCAATTGTGTAACTGCCCAGTAGTGTAAAAAGTCTATATTGTGTAATTATTCCCATTCAACTTGACTCAATTGTGTAACAAATCTCAGAAGTATAACTAATATCAGTGGTGTATGGAGTAGAGAGCTGGATGGGTGGGCGGCTGCTGCAGTATGATGCGGTGCGCGACTCCGCTTAATTCCTGCTGGCTCAAGCCTGATACAGCAACTGTTGCAGGTTGGAGCTGAAACGAAACATTATCTTTATGAACAATATACATAATTTGAAACATCTCTGGTATAACATCTAATTCACCCTCTAAATTATTAACGCAAAACACTTCAGACAACTGTGTAAAAGGTTCAATTCTTGCCTTAATGAGGCAAATATATACACAAAAATAAAGTCTCACCTGCAGTATATTAGGCAGCATGGTCTGACAGGCAGATGTAGCCACGTGCAGCTGCTGTTGCTGCACTTGCTGCACGCCTACAGCCTGCAGAACAAAACAGAAGAATAACGAACACATTCAAATACTGCAATTATTTTAATGTTGTATGTAACTTACATGTATTTGTATAGGCTGGTGCTGTGGATGGATTTGTATGGTCTGCACTTGCAGCTGTTGCGGCTGTGGCTTGAAGAAAAAAACTCATTTAACGGCTTTATTTTAAAATAAAAAAAAATAAACTTCAGTCTTGCCTGTAGATGGATATAAGTATTTATTTTTAATTACCGTATTGACTTGTTGATGAGTTTGCTGCAATTGCAGGGATTGTACTGAAGATATCACCGGATATGTGTGCTGCCCACCCTGAAATGCGATTGTGACTTTAAAAATATAATAATAGAACATAAAAGAGGATGGACTAGCCAAAGTTACCACTAATTGTTACTTTTATAAACCGAGAAGAATAAGATTTGAAAGACACGAGGACGAGTAATAAAGTGAGGAAGATTTTTTTACCTGTACACCAGTGACGTGCAGAGGTAGAGCGAGTTGCGGAACCCCGCCCACCTGCACCACCTGCTGCTGCAGCTGCTGCTGTGGGATTTGTTGCGATTGCAACTGCTGCGATTGTTGCAACTGTTGAGATTGTAGCTGTTGCGATTGCTGCAGTTGCGATTGCAATTGACTTTGTGCTTGACGTTGTTGGTGATGTTGTTGTTGTTGCTGCTGCTGCTGCTGCTGTTGTTGTTGTTGTTGTTGTTGTTGTTGTTGTTGTTGTTGTTGTTGCTGCTGCTGCTGCTGCTGCTGCTGTTGCTGTTGTTGCTGCTGTTGCTGTTGTTGCTGCTGCCGTTGTTCTTGTAGTAATCGTTGTTGTTGATGATGATGTTCCTAAAAATAATTTATAATACTGTCAGGATTTTGTCTGGACCTGATAGAATATTAAAGATACGTATTTTTAGTATATTACTAAAACGAAATTAAAAGTTACCGTCATATGTGAGAGCATGTGTTTCTTCAAACTATGTAAATACATATAAGTCTTTATACATAGGCCACATTTAAATCTCTTCGGCGAAGGTCCAATAATCTGGACGGGTTGTTCTTGCGGTGGTTGTTGAACTTCTGGTTTTTCTTCAGCAATAGGTATTTGAGGTGCCTCCTTTTCTTTTTCTTCTTTTTCAGGTTGTGGTGTATTGTTTTCGGTGGATTCACTATCTTGTTTACCCATATGAGTTTTTAAATGTTTCTTATATGCACTTGATTCTATGTAGCCTGTGGAATATTAATAATTCAGTTATTTGTTGAATTTGCGGTATATTTCATGTATCTAGATACGACATTCGGATCGTCCAATAATCACGTGGGGTTCGAAAGGAGGGGTTCCGAAAAATTACCGAAACAACACGTGGACGGTCGGGACCTAAACTGTTTAAAACCTAAGTAACGAATAACTAATAATAGTTTGAATATTTCAATATTACTTTGTACTAAAAAAACACGTGATTTTAAGTATAAGGGAAGGGGTAGTCTAAGACCTCATCACTTATCACTAGAGGAATGATATCAAGGGGGAGTTTCGTTAGTGAGAATCCTGATTACTCACCCTTTCCACAAGTCTCGCATTGATACTTCCTCTCTCCAGTATGATGTCTCCGGTGCACAGCTAAATATGAAGCTGAGCTGAACCTTTGTGAGCACAGTTCACATCCAAAGAGCTTCTCACCAGTATGTTTACTGGAATGTATGCGTAGCTCCGTACGAGAGGTGCAACCTTTGAAGCACACGGGGCACATAAACCTGAAAATAGTCTCTTACTTACACATTGTCTTGTGTACTCTTATTGTGTAATTCCTTTAACTTTACCCGTGTGTGTACAATTTCTATGAACTGTGTAAAGTGTACTTTCACTGTGTCATTTATACTCACTTCTTGTTCCCGGTGTGTGTGACCATGTGGTTGTTGCGGGCGGAGGAGGTGGTGAAGCGTGCAGGACACACCTTGCAGCTGTACGGCTTCTCACCGGTGTGTGTGCGTCGGTGGTAGATTAATGCGGATTGCTGCGCGAACTTTCGGTCGCAGTATTGACACTCGTACGGTCTTTCACCTTTATTACAAGGGAATAAGGATTGTTTTACTATAATCCTTTTAAAATTGCAATTATCGGATTTTTATTAAAGTCTACTCTGTGCGTAAGTAAAGTTATCGGTAGATAAAATGTATGAAATATGGAAAACGTATAATCAATGTTGTAGTTAACTACAGAATGGGGTAAAGTGTACGATTATTGACCACTGGCTAATTAAAATTGTTTTTTTTTTTCTTACCTGTATGTACTCTCATATGTGCTGTAAGTTTGGATACTTCATAGAATCCTTTATTGCAGACCATGCAGATATGATTCCTGATGCCGCGATGTTTCTTCATGTGCTGACATAGCGTGGAGTGGCGACGGAATGTCTTGCTGCATTCCGAACATTTTAGTGGTTTCTCACCTGTATGCAGCCTAAAGTGCACCTACAATCATACACTTTGACTAAGGAACTAATAATTTTACTAATAAACTAAAAAAATACATAGATGGCTTGATAAGAAAAAGGTTTGTGCCTTTTAATTTTTTTTTGACATTTGACATTTTTGTCATATTGACATTAATCATTTGATTATTTTAGTGTATTTTTATTGAGAAATAATAATTTGAAATGGGTTTTGATTACTACGGTATATTGGGCGTTAAGCGTTCTTGCAAGCAACACGAAATAAAAGCCGCGTATCGACGTTTAGCACTCAAATACAACCCGGAAAGATATTGCGATGACGAGAATATGAAGAAAATATTCGCACTAATAGCCGAAGCTTATGATGTCCTAGTAAACCATAAAAGAAGAGCCATTTACGATCAATACGGCGAAGAAGGTTTGAAGAAAGGAGTCCCCGGTCCAACCGATTTCATCCAACCTTATTCATACCACGGCGACCCTTTAAGGACCTTCCATGAATTTTTCGGTACATCCAACCCGTACGCAGATCTTTTAGATTACTACGAGAAACCACTACCAATATTTGAATCGCCTCTTGGTAGGGGTTACAAGGAAAAGGATCCGACAATAATCCGACCTCTTTCTTTATCGCTTGAAGAGATTTATAAAGGTGGTTTAAAAAAGATGAAAATTCAACGCTTAGTGTTTACAAATGAAACATGTTCTGAACTTAAATTAAAAGAAAAAGTCCTCTCCATACCTATTAAACCAGGTATGTATCCTCACACTGAGATTAAATTCAAAGAAGAAGGTGATCAAGGTCCTACGAGAATCCCAGCTGATGTAATATTCCTAACAGAAGACCGTCCACATGAAACATACATTCGTTCTGGATTAAGCGATTTATTAACTGTTCGTACTATATCATTAAAGGAAGCTTTATGTGGTATTACATTCACATTAATGACATTAGATTCAAGAGTTTTGCGCGTCAAAATAACGGACGTTATAACACCGACATTTGAAAAAGTAATAGAAGATGAAGGTCTACCGTTACCAGCTTGCCCGACTAGAGCTAGAGGTAATTTGATAATACGTTTTCAAATTACGTTCCCAGATTATTTATCGAAGAGAAGTAAAAAGGCATTTGAAGAAGCTTTTAAAATAAAAGATGAAGACGATGAGAAATTTGAGAAAATGGAATGTGGTGCCTTTAATGCTAGTATGGCATAAATTTAAAATTTATTTGAATTTTTGAGTTACCACTATATGTTTTTCTCTTGACGTTGATTACTTTCTTTGTTATTTACTAACATTTTTTATTAAAATGGTGCTAATTTTTAACTATATATGAATAGCATTCAAATTAAAACTACGTATATGACACTTTAACTTTTGACGTCATTTGCAAAATATCTTTTTCAACATGAGAGATTCAAATTTGAACTAAATATTATTTAAAAGATATAAAGGTTTTACTAATTCGTATTTATTCGTATTGATAGCTTGGACGTTACAATATGACGTCACAAGCACAATCTTATTTAAAACTAACTGTGGGTTTCTGAGACCAAATCTACATAAAACAGCGTTATCCCTGTCATTATATTTGACAAAACAGGGAACAATTTAAGCCAGTCTTTCCCAAAGTGGGCGATTACGCCCCCTTGTGGGCGCTGCAGGTCTAAAGTTGCGGGTCATAGTAAAATTTTCGTTTAGAATTCTCCGTTAATATACATATATGGGTCACAATAATTAATTAATTTAATTTGAAATTATAGTGGTTTTTAAATATGTGAAAATATGGGGGCGCTAAAAAAATATTTATTCTCAAAGTGGGCAGTAGACAAAATAAGTTTGGGAACCACTGTTTTAAGCCATGATTTTATTCTCAGAAAGCTACAGTACGAAATATCAAAAACTCACCTTTAAATCAGTCGGATTATAAAAGCTTTTAGAACAAATGGTACACATATACGGTCTTTCTCCTCTGTGTCGTGCCAAATGCGACCTTAATGCGTAGCCACTAAAGAAGCGTTTCTCACAGATAGTACACTGATGCAATTTCTGTTCAAAATGAGTTTGTCTATGTCGGTAAAGTAGCGTTTTACTCGGGAATGTTCGCTGACAGACGGAACATGTCGGTTGTTTTGGCGGGCGTTGTTCATGCGTGCGCATATGCATACGTAACATGCCTGGACCCTAGAATAATAGAAATATATAATTTAGTTGAAAATTAGGGTTTTAACCATAATTTAATCTTACTAATATTATAAATGCGAATGTTTTTATGGATGGATGTTTTTTAGAAGGTACTTCCAGAATAGATGCATGGATATCGCTGAAATTTTGCACAGGTATTGAACATATGGAAGACATAGACTACTAATTAAGTTTTATTTATTCCCGCGTGAACGGAGTCACGGGCGACAGTTAGTGGTCTTGATTCAGTACAGTAGAGTGAGAAACCATCATAAGCGAGAAACTCGGGTTAGTGAAACAAGAACATTGCGAACTCTTGAACTCTCGCGTATCCAAGGTCAACTTTAAAACCTTACCTTAAACGTCTTCTTACAGACGGGGCACATCGGGGGCTTCTTACAGTTCGCCTTTATCCAGTTTGTATGAGATCGCATATGTAACTTGAGCCATCTGCCATGTTTAAACTCCTTGTGACAGAGATTACAGACATGACGGCCAGGAGACACTGATGACGTCACTTGGAATACCACCATTTGCATGTAGTTTTCATCCATGGTTAGTGCTTCTTCGTCTTTAGATGGAGCTTGTTCGTTGTTTTGTTCCTGATGAATGAAAATAAACATATCTATATATAAATAAAATTGGAGTGTCTGTATGTAACATAAAAAAGCATATTTCGTAGACGTCATCTATTTGCGTTGCTAATAACGAAAAACTTTGTCTGTTTGTTTGTCGGCAAGGCCGCGATTGTTCCGAATAATCTCGGAACGGCTTAGAGCCAGTGGTTCCCAAAGTTATTTTGTCTACTGCCCATTTTGAGAGTAAATATTTTTTTAGCGCACCCCCATATTTTCACATATTTAAAAACCACTATAACTTCAAATTAAACTAATTAATTATTGTGACCTATATATGTATATTAACGGAGAATTCTAAACGAAACTTACTATAACCCGCAACTTGAGACCTCCGGCGTCCACAAGGGGGCGTTATCGCCCACTTTGGGAAAGACTGTCTTAGACGGTAAGATAATTGATGCACGAGGGGAATTTATAAGCTACTTTTTTTAATTCTGCGCTGTCAAAGTCTCGGGCGACCGTAAGTACTTAAGTGTAATTAGTAATAGTGAAAAGACGTCAGTCTCTCTTAGACAGTGTTAATGAATCTAACATTTTTACTAAGTAAACTGGTTATATGAAATCTGAATCTCAAATTTGTAAAGTCGAATTATCTTAAGAATCTATTTTAAGAAGTAGAGAAATGATTTTTTTTTTCTCTTTATTTTTTTTTATGGACTTTTGTTCTTTTGAACATGTCAGTCCCATAATCAACAATCACGTAATCAATCAACTTAGGAGCTAATTACAAGCATATATTAAAGTATACAAACAAGCAATATAAAAATAAAAAAATCAATAATAAGAAATAACAAACAAAAATATTTACACTTAATTAATATCTATAAAGCCTTTACCACCATATTTCGGACGTCGTCAAAATGATTTTTTTTTAAATATTATATCTTATATACCTTGTTGACTTCAAAATTCGTCTTCTCTTCGTCGTCAGGTTTTTCGGCCTGTACCTGTTCTGGTGTGTTGGTAAAGAATTCGTCCAACATTTGATTGCTATTCGGCATTGGCACTTCAATATATTGGATGAAAGGCTGTTCCGCGCAGGTTATACTGATTTTATTCTCCTAAAACATTCAATGTACATATAATATTTATTCTATCGACAAATAATTGTATTGGACGCAGTGTGTTGAATTCAACGCATACAACACCCACTAGGCTGTGCTTTATTGAGGCATAAATAAAGATCTTCGCACATTACAACGACTTAATGCCTATCCAATGCTATCGTGCTATCGATATATCGACGAGTCATCAATTAGGCGAGCTTTAAGTGGACGAAGCATCGTCAACGACATGAAAAAGCGTTGATAGCTAGTTCGAACACTATCTATTAGTTATTTGAACCAGGCAACCGCGAAGTCAGGACCACGCGTCGTATACTTTCAACTTATAAGTTAACACATTCAATTTTGAATCTTAAACAATAAAGCATAAAGCTTAAATTTCAATGTCATACTGCGAGTTGAATTGGAGTGAAGTCGGTGTAAGGGATAGTGATTGAGCGAGAAGAAATTATTGTTATTGTTAACAAATTCATATCTCCATCTCGCTCAATCATCGAAGACCAATGGGATTACTCCTTATCCTTGTATGAACGTCGCCAGTGGTGGAACAATGGATGATATTTACCTTAATAAATCTTACTAATATTATAAATGCTAATGTTTAGATGGATTGATGGATAAATGTTTGTTTGAAGCTATCTCCAGAACGGTTGAACGTTGTCTGTTCTACACATAGACTGGAAGAACGTATGCTACTAATTACGTTTTTTTTAATACCGCTTGACGGAGTCGCGGGCGACAGCTAGTTATAAATTAAAATATGCTTACATTTTTCTTGAGAGTCTCTTCCGCTACCCACTTCAGCTGATCACGTATTGTGACGTCATTTCTTTCCACCATCTCCTTGAAGGCATGGCATCTGGATATTTGGTGCACACACTGAAGACATAGTTGAGATGGTAAACCATCACCGACCGCCACCTGGGAAACAAAAACTCGTTTTATGCCTATCACAAAGTTTTTTTTTTAAATTGATAGACACGTAATTGCATTTTTATTTTTAGCGACCTACTAAGCTGGTCGTTAAGAATTTCGAAAGAAAAAAAATAATATACAACTTTCCATTGCTTTTAAAACCATTATAATGTTACTTTAATTTAAAAGTTACTATAATGTAAGTAATTGTAAAATCTGATCTTACAAAGTTATTGGACAATCTAATACTAATTTAATACTGGAATTTAAATAATATTTAAATTCTCCATATCGTTCTAGTCGTCCAGGCGTGCGCGCGAAAAACAATGAGTTAAAAATAAATCAAAAGTAGTGTTCATGAAAAGTGATTGCAGCGCATAGTTAAAATATTATTAACATTATAACACATTTAAAATAAATAAATTATACAAATTGAAATTTAATTCGTTGCTTCAATATAAAACAATGAATTTGAAGTAAAAAAAAAAACGTTTTCAACTTATGTTACGAACTAATTTTAAAAGAAAAGGATAGCCAGATATTTCTCAATTAAATTCCGAGAATACGCAAGATCCCCAGAATCCTAAAATTGGTCTGCCATCCGATGACTTTTAAACAAAGATAGTGCGATAGGAATACGTCCGTCGTTGACAAACGGGATACGGTCTATAACGAGTGCGACAAAGACAATATATTTTTCAAAAATATCAAAATATTATATGTCATCTCACCTGCACATTGGATATTCCCATCAACATTGTCGCAGTAAGTTGTTCAAATAAAGGTCTCATATCCTTTTTTATTTGCAAACATGCTCTACACACTTTTTCTAGGTTCAAAAGATTTGATTTATTGACAGCAGCCATTTTGAGGTGCAGCTATCGACTTGTATTCGTCCTTGTTATACAATTTTATTTTATTAACACTCACAAATCAATTTTGTAACAAACTTAAGCTATATCACGCACAATTACATTAAAAAAAACTTATTTCTTATTAACGTATTCACTTTTCTACTAAATACAAAAGATATAACCACGCAAATATGTCACGGAGCTCACGAACGTATAGTAGATGACTGTAAATGAGGGAGATAGATATATACTAGGTACAAGTACATGTTTGTTGAGTAATGTAGGTGGGGATAGATACATGCGATTACTTGAAATTATTGCAAATTAAGATTTTTTATATGTATTCTTAACAAACTGAAACTTTTGTTAATTAAAACTTAAAATACCAGAAAAGAAAAATATTAAGTAAAGTTATACAGTTTTGCGTAATGGTTGTGGCATCAGATATACTTTTCTCCCTCTATTTAATAGAATTCCACATGGGTAAAAGAGATGGATATCGTTGATTTCTTTGTTCCGCTTTCATACGTGAATTTGTATACACTAAATCGATATACATACTTTCTTTAATTATGAATTAAATATATTAACTATTAAAATTGTAGAATGTAATTCCATTTAAAACATAACTGTATCTTGATTGAAAACATTATAACATTATAAACAAATATTTTAATTTCTTTTCAAAGTTTTGAAGTGGTAAATCTGTCTCTGTCTATCCTTTGCAATTTCTCTTTGACAAGACAAGGATAGTTGCTGTTACCTTTTTGTTCAGTTTTAGTTACTATAATTTTATGCTGCAAAGTTTCTTCTATTATTAATTGTAAAACCTTATCAATCTCAGTAAAATGATTATAAAATTATATTCTATATTATTTAAAAAATGAAAGGATTAACAAATATCAACACCCAAAACCAAACAAAATTATAGATCACCAACTCACAGATCTGATGTAATTTATTCTTTTGCACGACGACATATATTCTGTGTCATGGAAGAGCCAATCGAATAAATCGAATAATCGAACTGACCAATGACCAATCGTTTTTGTATTGTTAGTTGTCATTTGCTTGTCATTGTCATTTTCCATTTCCATAGTCCTTTTTCATGAAAAATCTAATAGAAAATTTCATCTTGAATTACGATATACGGATTTACACAACGTTGGAAAGGTATTAAAGCATTACCATTGATTTGGTATTGCTGTAAAAATAATAAAAACTGATTAAAAGGATTTCAACTTTGAACGACGGTAAATATTAACTAATAAATATCGTTAGTCTCATTTTGTCTAGAAATACATTGGGTGCGGTTTCAGGTGATTTTTTTTGGACATGCCGGAGCATTTGGAACTTCAACAATTGGTTGATATATCAGCGGGCAGCGGAGATGAAAGCATTCCGAACCTTTTGGAGAATAAACGCCCACTGATCAAGAGATGCCCTTACCTTGGATTACTACTTGCGACGCTATCATCGTTGTTCTTCTCATTATGCTCTGTTATTGTCAAAAGTCTGGTAAACATAGATCCCTTGCAACTGGCTATGTTTCGTTTCATAGGCGTTTTATTACCAACAATTCCGATTGTCATATATACGGAACAACCAGTATTTCCTGAAGGTAAGCGTTTGTTACTTGCTTTACGTTCTGTGGTGGGTACTGTTGGTCTGATGTTAAGTTTCTATGCATTCCGACATATGCCACTTGCTGATGCATCAGTTATTGTATTTTCGGTCCCAGTTTTTGTTGCATTGTTTGCTCGCGTATTTTTAAAAGAGCCGTGTGGTATATGGAATACTATATCCATAATATTAACACTTATTGGAGTAATACTGATAACACAACCACCCTTATTCTTTGGCAATGAAAAACCCGAGCATTACAGTAGTCTATTTGGTGCTGTTGCAGCATTCATGTCCACAATATTTGGAGCGAATGCATACATTCTTTTGCGTGTTCTCAAAGGATTGCACTTCTCTGTGATAATGACTAATTTTGGAGGTTATGCTTTATGCCAAACACTATGTTATTCTGTTCTCTTTGGCATTTTGTGCATGCCGAGTTGTGGAACGGAAAGATTTCTTGTTGTTTGCCTTGCTATATTCAGTTATTTGGGACAAATTTTACTTACAATGTCTTTACAAATGGAACAAGCTGGTCCTGTGGCTATAGCGCGATCTGCGGATATTGTGTTTGCATTCTTTTGGCAGATTATGTTCTATAATGAGATTCCTAGTAAATATTCAGTCCTTGGAGCTATTCTTGTATTGAGTTCAGTTATGTTAGTAGGACTTCGGAAATGGGCTCTTGGGTTACCTGCAGATTCTCAATTGAGGAAAAAGCTTGGTATTCTAGCACAATAAATATTAACTTACATGTCACTATATAACTTTTGAGGGTATAAAATATCCTTTATTTATAACAATCATTTAAGTTATTTGCATATTTAGTCATACATCTAGTCATATCTTAATTTCTAGTCATATTCCAAAGATCTTTAGTATATTGATGTGATTGAAATCTATATAGATTATTTTAGGTTATATTTATTAGTAAACCATTATTCAAAGGTTTGAGTACTTTTATGTATAAAAGTATCCATTATAGTATATAAAACATTACATACTCACAATTTTAGGGGATTTATAAGTGTAACAGATACAATAACTATTATAATACTTTGTAATAATAATTTCACCCTAAAAGACTGTTAATTAGGTCCACTCTTACATTGTGTTGTGCGCTTTTGCCTTTATCACTTGCATATCTCGTTCCTTATAGCTTTAATTTATAATTATGTTTATCCATTTATAAAATTAAATTATTCAGCACAATATTCCTAAATTATATTAAATTATAAAGTTATTAATAGTTCATAGATTAATAGACAAGAATGTGATTTATTACTTTTTTTTTAATTATTTTTTTACACTTATGACTACGGCTGTGTAAAAGTTTGAATTTTGTTTTTTATCAGTATCACTACAATAATGTCACATTTGAAAAATTATGCTGATTTACATTTTTACTGAAATATACACAAATTATGCACAAATTTACTTATCTTCAATTAGGTTCAAGAAAAATATGCTTTTTACTATTTTTTATAACACATATAGAATAATTTTTGTAATTTGTGTGTGTATGTCCATTTTTGTAATGATTTTTATGCCATCCTTATATTTACGAATAAGTTATATTAAGTTATAGATTCTATAATGTTTTAATTAGTATAAAGAGAAAATATCCGATAGTTCGTTAGTTTCGGATAAACTCAAAAACTACTTATCAACATACTTTATCCTATGAACCTTGACTATTTTACTTTTTTTTATGTCATAAGTAAAGTTGCGATAGGATTATAGAGTTATATTCAACGATTACTATTCTATCTAGTCATTATATAATAATAATCAAATTATGTTTTATAAATACTCAGATTAAACTGATATTTACTGGTTTTGTTAATATTGAGATATTTGCTTAGCAGGAATCATACTTAAGCCAATTTTACCTTATGCATAGATAAAAAAATCATGTTGTTTTTCTGTAAATCGGCATTCATAAAATTATTAGCTGACATACATGTTGGATACCGCTGTTCTGTGTACATAAAGTATGTATAAAATGTAAAAGTTAATGGATTGTGATATTTTTACGTTTAGTGTTATCAATATGTAGGTATACTGCTTATTAAAACAAAAATATGTATTAATGATGTACTGCTTTTTATTTCATCCTGACCAATTTAATAAATTCTGTAATAGTTGTCTCAGCTCAGCACAGCTGTATGAACGATGAGAAAAATCTTCAATGCCTTATGTCATTTGAAATCAGATTACTTGTGTAAGCCATTTCATATATTCTGTAATTCCTTAACGTAAAACGTTATTTAGTCTATGCTATAAGTCAATAACACTTTTGTTTATTTAATATAACAACATTAATCATTTGTATTACGATCCAAAAGATTATTTAAATATTTGATTCTCAAATATAAAATAGAAGTATTCAACTTATCATGTTAATTATCTGACGGTATTTCGTTATCGTAAATTAAAAGTATTGTAATTGCTCGTCTGAATGACGGCCATGTTTTTCTGACATTCGGGAAATGAAAAGACAATGTAACAGCGGTGTTTTTGAAAAAGTTGTTGTTTACAATTCTAAAGGAAATTTATGAGTTAAAGAAGACTATGTTTTATTTGAAAAAGTATTCTCCGGCTGTGACTCCCACAGCTCAGAAGTGGGATCATACGAGAACAAGCATTGTTTTCGATCTACGCCTACAAAGTTCAGATAAACATTGTTAGTTGGAATCCTTTGGCGCGAATGGCGCGCTTTTCTTACCAAATCAAATGTCAGATTGATTAGTGAGGTGACGTAAGCGTCGATATTTTGGTAAAGCTAGTGTTGTGCCGATGCACCGACACGGTGTCGATTTTTCTTCACAATAATATACAAGAGATTGTTGGTGCATGTTGCAAAGTAAAGCAATCTTCCAGTTACTGGAACTACTTAAATAAAGGTGATTGTATTGACTATATTACAATGATACATGTATAATATTATATATAAAATGTTATGTTTTCATTGTTTGATTAATATTTTTTTGTAGTTGGATATATTTTCAGATTTAAATAAATTCTGTGTTTACAAAAGGGTTATTATAGTTAAATTAAATTCTTGGTAATATTATACATTACAATTGGCCAAAGCATAAGGCAATTAATTCAAGGTTTGAATCTTCTTTATTCATTTATAACTGTAATATAAATGGTGTTATACTTGAATTCCTTAAAAAAAATTGACAAAACTTTAAATGAAAGTTAACTTTAGTAACAAGATATTATCGCTGAATAAAATTGCCCGAAAAGAATGGAAATAACAGGGCTTCCTTCTTCTAATCTCACGCTTTAGGAATTACTTATTTTGTATTATTTCCTGGTTTTACCTGTATGTAACTATGATGTTAAGGCGAGTTGAAACTCCTATGCCCTAAAGTGTAGCTTGTATGTGGGGACCATTGATGTTCATGTTCACGTATACTGTCACATTCTTATTTTATCATGCTATTTCTGTATTGTTCTTTGTTGCGAAATAGATAGATTATGATGGAAGACTAGTATTATTGGTTACTCGGCTGGTAATTGTCAGTTCCAGATGCCTCGATGGAACTTGAGGAAAATAATTACGGAGAGCCAGGTATGCCCAGGTGCGAGGGCCATGGTAAAAATGAAGACCATCATCGTGACCGGCGACCGCTCAGGTTTAAGAGCGACAGTCGCGTCTTGCGTCCGCTCAGGTATGAGAGCGATGACTAATGCTTGCGACCGCTCAGGTTTAAGAGCGACAGTCGCGTCCGACGTCCGCTCAGGTGTGAGAGCGATGACTAATCTTTGCGACCGCTCAGGTTTAAGAGCGACAGTCGCGTCCGACGTCCGCTCAGGTGTGAGAGCGATGACTAACGCTTGCGACCGCTCAGGTTTAAGAGCGACAGTCGCGTCCGACGTCCGCTCAGGTGTGAGAGCGATGACTAATCTTTGCGACCGCTCAGGTTTAAGAGCGACAGTCGCGTCCGACGTCCGCTCAGGTGTGTGAGCGATGACTAATGTTTGCGACCTCTCAGTATAGAGAGCGACAGTCGCGTCCGACGTCCGCTCAGGTGTGAGAGCGATGACTAAAGTTTGCGACCGCTCAGGTTTAAGAGCGACAGTCGCGTCCGACGTCCACTCAGGTGTGAGAGCAACGGCATAGATTAATATCCGTTCAGGTGCGAGGGCAATGGTCCAAATTCGCGAATGCTTAGGATCGGGATCTACGACAAAAACCAAAGCTTACCCCGATGCAAGAGTGCAGTGTGGCGGGACAACCCAAATTCTCAAAATATGTAAATGTGTAATAAAATAACTGAATATCGATTTTATAAAGATATTCAAACTATTGATTTATTGAAATTATATTTAAAGAATCATATTATTTGGCACTGGGCCTTTGACACAAAGGCGAACCGTGTGTTAGAGTTAATAATTATTACAATAATGTATAACTGCAAATTTTTGTATAAGCTGGAATTAAGAGACACCAAGGGTGCTGCATAAAACAGCAGCAGGAATTAAAAAAAAACCCCTGTAGCAGTCGAGATTTTCACGGTAGTATCGTCTGGATGCTGATTATTGGAGTGAGTTGGGTAGAGACGCTGCGTCCATATGGGAAGTCGACGCCGGAGCTTTTACTAGACTGGAGATTGGCACATGATAAACTTTAGAGAAAGCAACTTTTGTCGAATGTCTTATTTTGATTTGGATTTAATTCCTAGGGAATATGCTGAATTTATATACTGGAATGCTTTCGCTATATCTTCGGAGCATTATTATTAATCGGATGAAGGATTTAAGAGTGTCGAAGATAGTGTCATGAAGTTACGCGAGCGGTAGGATTTAGATATAATTTGGAAAATAAAATAATAAAGTTAATAATAATTAACGAAAATGAAAATACTATAAAACGGAGGAAAAGACAGGTATTTGCACACCTGTATGAAGATCAGTTTACAACTCATTCATAACATAACATAACATTATAGATATAAAAATTAAAAGTAAAAAGAAGTATAAAAAGTTCCATATGTATCGGAAACAGAGATGATGACATCTGAAAGCGAGCCCGGTCTTAGTAGCATGGATTATGGCCAGGTTGCGTCGGAGGGCGAAGTTTAAGTTGTAACGCGAGTCTCGGTCAGGGTTCAAGGTGTATAGAACTGCTGGAGACATGGAGTTATATGGAGTACAGCCGGAAATAAATGTTGTATATTCCGTACCACCTTTGGAAATTGAAGCTTACACAAAAAAAAGATTCCCAAAAGCTGGATTGGATGCTGTATAGTGATCCATTTGCTACAACTAGTTTTCAATGACGTGGCAATTTGGATTTCTCTGTCATGAGTATTGATGGATGGTGCATGAAAGGTATACAAACGATATCAGACTTGCTGGTGTTGAGTTTTGACAGAAAAATTTTGTATACAAGACAAGCAAAGAAAGCTATGTGAGCCACGGTCTTCTAGACAAGACCAAAAACCTAACAAAACGTGAAATACACATAATAATCAACATATTTTAGTCATTATAATTAACTGAAAAAGTTTATTACTGGAAATATATGTAAACTAAAAAAAAAGTTAATTAAAGCATGTTTTTATCTTAAAATATATATCATTTCAAATGAAAGGAGTTAAAATGTTAAAAAGTATGGTACAAGACAAGACTGCCAGTGATGCGACGCGCGATGTATTGAACTGATTAAAGATATGTTCATAATAAACAAAAAAAAAAGTTTTTTTTTTGTGTTCGAGCAGCGCCAGTGATCGAGAAATTGAGGAGTAAAAGATTAGCGCGGTTTTTTTTACGTTTTGTAAGCTAGCGCTTGACCACGATCCCACCTGGTGAAGTGGAGATTTGGTCGAAAGATGGTACGCGCTAGCTTAGTAAGTGCCTATTCACTCTACTATGGTTTGGGCCATGTTACGCGGAGGCATGATGACGATATAAGCAAAAAAAAAAGAAGTAATGAGATTGAATGTGGATGGCTATAAAGGTAGAGGAAGACTAAAAAAATCTTCCATCTCTTCAACATTCAAAGACCCTTGTCTTGCCAAGTCAATACTGCGGTTTGATGTTTATCATTAATATATATAATATAATATATTTTATTTATGTATGTATACAGATATTTATTGCCAAATCTTGAGGAGCGTGATAAGAAATACAATATTTCACGACGCTAGCTAAAGTTTTGATGTTGAATGTGGTTAACATTTCTTTTTCTTTCAAAATTAATAATTTAATTAGTCCATCATCACCAGATGCACTACAGACTCGGTTAGGCTTGGGCCTGATCCAGAAAATTTCTTCAAGTCAGTGCCGATATTTTTGAGATCTCGTTGGGCATTGTTCAACCTTCCCAATTTCGTCTTTTGCATGATCTACGTCCAGAGGAACCAGAAAGTTGACTTTCTCCTAGAAGCTCTGCAGTCACTTACCTTCTTTTGGTTCTGACTTATATGGAAATCGTCACCATTTATTGTATGCCTGAATCACAATTTTAAACTGTAGAATAATTTAAGAACTGAAGAACAAGAGAGTTGAAAAGAAGAGTTGCTTCTCAGCTGCATTCCCAGGTTTCACAAGTTTAGTGGAGGTGGTTATCCAGGTTCCGGTTCGTTCTTTGCTGAAAAATATGCTTCCATCTGGATCAAGAAAAAAACGGTCAATGAACGGATATGTGTGGACCGCCGCGCTATGGATTGCAGGACCAGGATAGTGCGCTGTACTCTCCTCCGAATTGAAGACCAATTGTACCGGTTTTCGGCCATCAAGGTTTTCACTTGTCTGGATCTGGTCTCTAGTTTTGCCAGGTATCAATAACTGAAGAGTCGTGCTATGGAACTGCGTTCATTGATCAGTTTAAATACGATCGAAACCCGTTCGTGTTGGTGAGCGTGTCGTCGAACGTCGTTTTCAGCAGACTATTGATGGAATACTGTTCGAAGCCAAGATTTGGTGTGGATGTTTCGTTATCGCTTCTATGGATGTAACTGAGGAGTTGCAGTGGTTGGTAAGGTTCTGGAGCAGCTTAGTGGCGGAGGAATTGTCGTTTTTTTTCCTCTACGCTGTTTATTTTCTTGACTACGAGTGCAAGCGAAGTTCATTCTGGTTACCATGGAACCGAGGCTGTATCAGAGTTTTTTTTTTAAACCTATAAACCAGCGCGAACTGGATGGATATCTTGACCACTGGATACTTTGGAAGATTAAATATTAGGTTTTATTAGAAGATCAGTAAAATTAATCTTTTAAAAAGGGATAAAAGAATAATCATTGCGTGGCAGTGGAGCCCTGTTTCTCAAATGTGGAAGGAAATGTTGACTGAATGACCGCCGGAGCACAATTCTACGGTGGTGCGTGTAAGGGCGAATTAGATGGCGTTCGTTCGAATGTCAGAGACCAGGTCGCATGTGGGTGCACTTAGCCGCGACCCAGTTGAGAGAGTTGAACTTGAATTCCTTACGTGTGTTTATGTCTTGGCTGTCGAGGATGGGAAACAAGAATGGATCACCTCTGTCCAGTTATCCGATGAAAAGTCGAAGACGATTAAGGCAATGCTTTAAGATTCAGATTTAATTAGATGTTCACAACATTCATAAATAACCGGATTTATTGAATTGTTCAAGATGATCATAGTAAAGAGGAAGGAGATGAATAATGAAAATAAAGATCTAACCTATTTATATAGGTCGACCTAGTACAAAGCTAATGTTCAAATTTATAAAGTTACTGTTCGATTTATATTTTTTTGGTAACCTATTAGTCTAGTTTAATTAAAATAACTAATAGTTTTTTTTAAAGTTGATGTTAAAACAGTTAACGATTGTGATCGAACGATGTATTCTATATGTATATTCAACAAGTGTTTAATAACTACAAGCGAAGGGACTCGCTTTTAGCAGGAAGGCCGAGCTGTAAGCCATTTCATATATTCTGTAATTCCTTAACGTAAAACGTTATTTAGTCTATGCTATAAGTCAATAACACTTTTGTTTATTTAATATAACAACATTAATCATTTGTATTACGATCCAAAAGATTATTTAAATATTTGATTCTCAAATATAAAATAGAAGTATTCAACTTATCATGTTAATTATCTGACGGTATTTCGTTATCGTAAATTAAAAGTATTGTAATTGCTCGTCTGAATGACGGCCATGTTTTTCTGACATTCGGGAAATGAAAAGACAATGTAACAGCGGTGTTTTTGAAAAAGTTGTTGTTTACAATTCTAAAGGAAATATATGAGTTAAAGAAGACTATGTTTTATTTGAAAAAGTATTCTCCGGCTGTGACTCCCACACTTGTAAGCGTGAGAGTATATAATAACGATCACGTCAGTTGTCCAGAGTGGTAGGCAGAGTTTGAGGATTTTTATTTTATGTGATCCTCGTCAGTTACGGGTACAGCTTTTATACTTTTTCTAGAATAGCGGAAGATAATATGTTGATAACAAGAATTTCTACAATTTCTTCATTATTTCAAAAACCAAATCAAAGTCCAGATACCAAATCTAGCGGACCTTGGCTCTTTAGTTATTGACTAGTTCGTACTAAAGACTTATAATATTTTATATATCTTAATTTTTTAATTTAAACTAAAGGTGGAATAAATTATTATTTACATAGGAAGTAAGTTTAATTAGACCAATGATTTAAGATTATCTACAAATTGTAGTCTTTGATTTCAAATGTAATTGTCAAAGTCATCATTTGTCAACTTTGACAAAATTCAATCAATTTTACTTTTCCACGGAACTTATATTTTGTATCTATTTTCTTTTCAAGGCAGGAAAAGTAGTTTTGCTGTAATATAAGTTGATAGAAATAAACTTTAACAATGGCGGATCGTCTCACACAATTACAAGATACGATAAATCAGGTAACTCGTTGACTTAAAGCAAGTGATTTTTATGTAAAATTATAATTTTTAACACAACTTAAATTAATTGCAGCAAGCTGAACATTTCTGCAACAGTATTGGTATACTTCAGCAGTTTTCAACACCAAGTAAATTCCCTGGATTCGACCGCAGTGGATCGCAAACGCCACAGCAACAACAAAATCAAGAAGACTATGCTATGCTCTTTGCAACGTTAATTTCTCGATGCGCAAAAGACATTGATACACTTATAGAGTCTTTGCCAAGTGAAGAGAGTTCCACTGAGCTTCAAGTGCAAAGCCTAAGAAGATTAGAAGCAGAAAATAAGGAGGCAGCGGAACAGTTGGAAGAGGTTAACAATCTAAATTATACCTACTATTTTTCTGCACAATTTTTTCTTAAAAAATAGTAGTATTCTTCAGTGACAATATCTTACTATTATTATCTTATGATATTATGCTTTTTTTCTTTATATAAACCTATATTATTACTTTGATTGCTTCTTCTACGATCTTACTCATTATTTAAGTAATTTAAACTAGCTGCACCTTTCTATATCATTACAGGTTGTGCGCCAAGGAGAAATACTACTGGAAAAGATACAAGGAGCTCTGAGTGACATTGCTCAGTGTCAACTTGATATGCAAAACCCAGCGTTAATCCTCAATAAAGATGTGAAACCTCAGCTATAGGATATGTGGAAGTATGGAAGTAACCATAAATCAAAAAGATATGATAAAAAAAGACTGTTTTAGATATACTCAATGATTTAGACTTCATTATTTCATACAGTGCTATTAAAAAGTGTGGTTTTTGTCTATTACAAAAAAGATAATTGTTGTTGTTTGTTGTAATGTTTTGTTAGTTGCCAGTTTGTTAAAGCGCAACAAATTTAGCCCAATGGGCAAAAGTGAATCCAAAGTTCCCATCTTGCCTGTATCTGTATTTCATTATCTGTTGTTTTGCACCTATAAAGCTACACCTCTTTCATAAACCGGATAAGTTTCTTGTACTTAGGATTTATAAACTTATTGTAGTAAATAAAGTTAATTTTATAGACTGGCAACACATCTTTAGTCCTTTAATTGTTGCGAAATTCTATAGACGTAGATGATCATTTTGGTGTTCCCATTTTGTTTGCCACCTTATGTGTTGTGCAAATCAAAAGTAATCCAATTTTCTTTTAATTATTGTATATAAGTATAAGTAACTTATGTGTCATTTAGGTCTTGTTATTGGTGGTAGAAAAAAGAGAGTGTTCAAGTGAATAAGTAGATATTGAACCCTATAATCTTTATGTATGTATGAAATTTTAATAAAATAATTGTCTAATATTTTTCTTTGTTTTTTTTTGACATGACTGATTATTACATTACAGAAGTGATGAATAGACATTTATTTTCTTCCAGTGGAACTTTTCTGCTGATAATTGTGTATATTAGTTAAATACCAGGTTATATATGCAGGAACCCAGAACTGATATGTAAAAACGATTTTTTTTGGCCGAAAGTTGATGATTTTAATTCGACATACTTAAAGTAAAAGTTCTATCACTAGAGGGCATCACAGATGAAATTTTTACAAGTTTTTAAATTATTTCGAAAATAATTCAATATTTTTTAATACGATTTAGTGCAAATTTCATAATCTTTTAAAGGTTTTTATTACTTTTCAAAATTATTATTTTTACATACGTTATGTTGCGGACTTGGATGACTGATCATTTCGGAGTTTCCGCATCTCGTTTGCCACCTTCTTAAAAAAAAAAACTAGTATTATAAATGCGAATGTTTCTAGAACGATCTATTCTAAACACATATTAAGTTGTTTTTTTAATTCTGTGCGGACGAGAGTAATTCGTGAAAATAAAAATTATTTTTTCTAATAAATCGCGGGTTATAGGTAACCATATACGCGGTGAAGTAGAGCGACAAATGTATGTCTACCGGAGAAGACAAGTTGATATACATCTGACACACCTCAGACCTGTATCCGAGTCAGTCCGGGTCGAAACTACTTACTTAATATCGAAACCCTGCTTGCTAGACTATAAGGGCTTAAACATACTATACGACTTCCTCTTATAATTTGTAACAGTGTGTGGGTTTTTTACACATGTATCTGGAAAATGCGTTGTCTAAATTAATAGACCACCAGATGTGATGAGTGTTTTATACAACTTCGATAATCTGTATGCAATTTAACAAAACAAACTCATTGAAAAAGAGAATAATAAGGTTTAAAATTGAAGTTTGTAATGTAAACATTTAGTGCGTATTATTTTTTGGAAAGTTCGACTTTTTATGCTAATGAAAAGTTCTATTAAGATTTTAATTACATACATAATGTTATAAAGATCCGTGTCAATGTGTTCATTTGCATATGGCAACCCACATTACTTGTAATAAATATCAATTATTTTTACAATTGTAATTAACGTGCGTTCAAGATTTCAATTAGTTAAAGACGCACGTTAAAGTCGGCCATGTGTAAACTATACGTACGGCCCCAAACCAAAGACTAAACAGAGGCAACCTCTCGCTCAGTTCGCGCGCATTTACCTGTCGCTTCGCACCTGCAGTTGATAACCGACCGCATCACGATGACTACGTTCGGAAACGAACGCATCATTTTTTGAACGAACTTACGATAGAATAATATTTAGTTTCTGAACGCTTATACTATTTAAAAAGTTGTAAGAATATTTTTTCTGTGTTACTTTGTAATGATCGGATTATTGTGTTAATTGTGTTTGTGACGTTTGAAACGTTTATTTGTGGAATTTTCATTTATAATCGAGTGGGAGTGGATGTGAAAACTGGAGAAGACCCGCAGGAACGGGTCGACTCTCCCTTTGCGTTACAGCGAAAGGTAAAATAGCCTAAAATAATTAATATTACACAAAATTATAAATTTTTTATAGCGTTGGTCACCGCAAATGCAAAATAATAAATAAAATTGTGACCTTTATTTCTCTAGAACTTCTAAAAGTAATTTTAAGTGAGAAAATCATTATAATTTTTCAGGTAAGTACCATTTGTTAGAAAAATATATCTTTCAAGACAGAATTAACGTTTTCTAGTAATTTCTGGTGTCTGTAGTTTGCATGTGAATTGGAGGGTAGGACAGACTGTAAAATGTTGACTTGCCCAGCAAAAGAATTAAAACCAATGGTTAAATAATATTTTAATTTTGCATGATAAATACACCGAAGATAGAAAGTTAAAGAAATTAAACAAAACGTATGAAACGTGTTTCTTTGGGTATGTGAAGTTATCAGAGTTATTAGTCCGTTTTTTAAAATAGCAATCGTATAAATCAAGGTAAAAAAGCCAAGCTTTAGTTATGAGAAATTATGAGAAAACGTTATCTCTATGCGGATTCTAAAGAGATTTATATAAATTGACATTTGCATGTTATATTTAAATAGAAAACGTGTTTGTTTAAACGCGTTAATGAACGAATTATACAAAATGTTTAGAAACTAATTTGGATCTAAAACGTGTTTAGCTTTCATGTCATTATAATTAAAAATGAATAAATGCATTATGACATCGAAAGTTTTTTTTTTAATGAGAAAACGGAGTAAGAACTCTGAGTGTTCTGCCAGGATCACGTATTAGGAAAACAATTCACCTTTCACAATCAGAGATAACAGTTTTAAACAGAGATTTTGGTTTAAGAAACCCACGGTTAGAAATAATATTAGAAAATGTTGATTTAACCTATAAATTAGTCACCTAATTTCAACGATCGTCACTCTTTTGGATGTGATGTAATAATTGCTTATTGTAATTATTTTATTAATAATTGCGGCCTTATTAAATAATAATTGCTACTTCTTGTCATGATAAAATAGTATGTGTAATAGTTTTTTTTTTCACTACAATTCATGTTTAATTACGAAAGTGTAACTTTTCATATAATTAATTAATAACTGGAAAATAATTACTATTTAATTAATAACACAGAAGTCTGCTACTGCCAGTATTAGTAACATAGTCGTGGTATCGTTCGTAGAAATATTAATTACTAGTATTTCTGGTAATGTACGGAATTACATATGCAAAATAATATTGATATCTTGGTCGTTTCTATGATGTATGAAAAGGATGGCAACTTTGGTGGTCTTATATTTAAGTTTTTTTCTTTTTAAAAACTATTCTAACCGGTAAACCGGCCAGTACTTTTCAAATCTGGCCACATGTGAAACTTATTACGTCTATGATAAATAGCAGACGATAAAAAAAAAACTCGTCTCGATGAATTCGTGAAAGTGTTGACCTCTGGAACCGGCTTTGAGTTAGACGTCAGTTGTTTTCCGACCGGCGTCGGTTACAGGTGACAGCTTCTGCACCGGCGTAATAGAAACCCGATGACAGGTCGCAAATAAACTGTAACTATCTTGTAAAGATTAATTAATAAAATTAACATAAATTACCTGCATATATCTGCGAAGAAATTCAATGATTTGTGAAGTTAACCCGTACTGGGCTGTGGTTGACTAACGAATAGTCACCCTTAACATACGATTGTCTCCAAACCTTTGGTGAAGACGCTAATATATGCTAAAATATAATATAATACGAATCTTAAAAAAACCAAAATAAGCAAAAGGAAGCCTCTATTTGTGGAGCCGTTGCTCCGTTTATTTATGAGGCGACGTCATTGTAAACCGCATATAAAGTAGAAAATCGAGGTTTTTTCATTTGTTTGTCGTTGTTATTATCATATAGTGGAGGTCGCGGTCAAACGACGATTTGGTAAAGCCCACGTGTGCTATTAAGATTTTATTGTTGAAAATACAATAATATTTAATCAAGAATCTTGCCGCGTATTTATAAATCGACTATGTGACGATAAAAGTTACTTCTTATATTAAAATTGTCTTTTACATATGTAACCTTTTTTATCACATGGGTAAACGATATAGTTAATTCATAACTGTTTCAAGTTAATAAAAAAACTAGTGCCAGTTTCTAACGAGAACATAAACATACAAGTATCACCCCTTCAGTCTTGCCTTTTAATAACATTAAAAAAATGTATACAGTAAAATAAAATACATATGTTAATATAAATACAGATATGTATATGTTTTATATTTCTGTATATTTAACGATTTACGTCAGAAGTCGCGTCGTGATTATGATAGCCACCCTTATCGCTCTCGTATCAGTGTTTTGATGAATTTTCAAGCAAAACTTACACTGTTTTATAACTTTCAGTCTATTATGGTTCTATGGTCTTAAGGCACGCATACTGAGTTATACAACCTTATCATCATCAGCTCATTATACGTCCTCACGGAATGGCTCGGAACATACCACTGGTATGTAAAAAAAAAATTGAACTTACGGGACTTCGAATATTTGAACATGTCAAGATTCTTGTAGAACCTTAATTTCTCCTATTTTATGCTTCACCCAATTAGAAGTTTTCTTTAAAAGTTACCAAAATACTTCATTTTTATTTTTTTTGTTACTATGTTACTTTAGTTATAGATATCAAGCCGATGTGTCTATATAAATTAATCGATATTACAATCGATATCATTGTAATATCGATAAATACAATAAATGATGAGAAACTCTATCTAGCATTTCAATTTGCAAGCAGCCATTTTGTTTTTATAGCGCTATTTCGTGTTCACCTTGACATTTATAAATGTCCGAGTAGGGTGTGAATCTTCAGTTAATAAGCTGGCTTTGACAATAAATGATGTTAATATTTTATTTTAAGGTTATAACGAGCGAATACCAACAATTTTGGAGATATAATTATCATGCTTCTTACTAATATTATAAATGCCAATGTTTAGATGGATGGA